TATATATATATATATATATATATATATATATATATATATACACACACACACAAATTATCACAATATGCATCTTGTATATATCCTGGATATATGACAATATTGTTTATATGCATCTTTTTTGACGGTATCAGTTTTTTTAAGTATCACAATGTGTATCTTATGTTCATATGGTATTTGCCGGAACAAAATTCACCTAAAATGCCCTTTAATTAAAAATTTAGATCAAAATTATCAAAATTTATTAATTTCCTAATTGATCATTTGATTTGTAGTTGGGTTTGAATCTCACGATAATCACAAATTACTGAGTTATCCCTTGAATCTCTCTAGAGGCAAATTGATCATTTTACCAATCTTGTTTAACTAACAATTACCTTGTCTGCATACCATACACACCCTCAATGATATGACCTTAACGAGTTTTTAATACTTGACCTATTAATACAGGTTGTTTCATACTCATAAAAAAATCATGAATTTAATTAAAATCTGATTTTAAGTTACATACCAAAAAACCCCGCCAACCCAAAAGGTCAATTTACTTAATAATTCATTTAAGGTCGTATGCCAAAATGACTCCTGAAGAAAAGGATTCATACTCACGAGAAGATATGGCTCCAATCGCATTCACCGAACACCCTGCAAACAACGTCAATGTTGTTCATTGAATTATTCCCACAGTTTATTATGCATACCAACCCGGGATCACCTATGAATCTATAACCCCAATCTTCAACTTGGCCATCAATTTCGGGTCCCCTTGATTCCTCCATAGCTATCATGGCACTTTGGATGTTTATCAATTCATATTATCTTATCAAACAAACATGGCAAGAACCAATAATCTTATTCGGTAAAAAAGCGATGGCAAAAGACCGAGAATCTTATTCGGTAAAAGAACGATGGTAAGGACCGAGAGTCTTGCCGACAAGTGAGAATGACAACTCTTACCTGGTTAGCACTCACCCGATAAATTGTTGCACATGAAGCTATTTTATGGACTAAAATCTTAATGGTAAGGTGAATGATAGTGTTGAATCTTACTGATAAGCGCATCCTGGAATTGGGGTAAACGACCCACAAGGGCCTGTTGGTAACTTCGTGAGCTTAACGGGACTTGCAACTTATTCAGACAGTTATAGATGATTGTTTGGTAATTGTTTGACGATATAGAAAGTGGCTTATTCAGTAAACTGTTAGGGTAAGCTTTATGCAGAATGTCAAGTTGTTTCCAAACATGCCCCTCCCAATTAAAAAAACGTGTTCCTTCCATCTATGAAAAAAACATTCCCAAACAAAAACCTTCCTAACCTATACAAACAACTTTATACATGCAATAGTTGATGGAAAATCAACCAAACAGCCCCTAAATCACCTAACGAATTGATATATATACCTGATTTTCCTCTCACGTGATACTCTACTTTTGCAAAAACGTCTCCTAAGTAACAATCATAGAGGAGAAAACAAGCATGTGGTTGAAGCTGTTAAATTGAAGCTGAAGTTATCATACAAACAAAGGTCAAAATATAGAAAATGAAACATGACACTTGGATCACGAAACCAAGAAGCTTTTCTCGACATGGAACGTAGATATATATATATATGTATAAATCAGTTACCCGTGGTTGTTATCACAAGTACTTTATAATCATCCATATCGCCACAAGTAGCATAACAATCCCGACAACGGATAACAACAAGCCTAAGCAGGAGCAACCACCCTTGGTGCGTTTATTCAGAATAGCCAGGTGCTTCTGCACTCTCTGTTTTTAGTACACCAAACCAACTTGTTAATATTCAACCACCAAAAAGAAGCCATCTACTAGTAGAAATGGCCAACATGGGCCTGACGAGGGACCAGAAAGGACCGACAGTCCGCAACCCGTTATACTTTTCATGAAAATTCAAGGCCCCGTCCACAATGGTAGAAAAATTCATAGTCCCTCTAGCTCACGGTGAAAGAGACACACGGTTTTAGAAATGTGTAATCATTACACTTTTAATTAACTAAAAGACAATTTTACCCTTAACAATAGAAAGGGTAATTAATTTTCCATCTCATAATTAAGGGTACAATTGGTGGAAAGATCAGTTCTCGATCGTTGTGGCCAAGAGGTTTTGTATAATTTTTCTAAAATAGAGAGCTAAAAGTCATAATCTCGAAAAATGTAAATTTAACACCAACATATTCTCTATTTTAGAGATATCAAATGTAAATTTAACACCAACAGATTCACTATTTTAGAGATTTCAACATTTATTATACTAATAAAATATTCTATAAATTTATCATCTCAATACACTTTTTAGAAAAATTTGTATAAAACAGTAATAATTCAATCTAATTGGTGGTAAAGAACAAAAAACTGATTTCTGTCCCCACATATCAAGTTTCAAAATTCTCTCTTTAAACTTGGAGTTTTATCTAGTTTTCTCTATCTTAAAAAACAATATAAAGAATCTCTTGAAGCAAAATCGAAAACAAAAGACTTAATTTTCTAATTTAGAGAATATGTTAGAAATGCTCTTAAAAGCTAATAGACTGTTTGCAATGACACTGTTAGAGCATCCACAATAAAGACATTTTCCAGAAGGTTTTCACTAGAACTTCTACCGTCGCCATAGTCACTAATCACTAACAAGAACCCAACTCTTTGTACAACAACCCAACTTCTTCTCTCATTTCTTGTTCCATTATTGTTTTTTTGATCATTTTATTATATTTTAATAATCTACAGAACATAGTTATAAAATACCTAGTAGATTAATTAAATCTGTAAATTAATAATTTTAAATTGCATGATAAAATAACGTAGTTTAACTTGATTCCTATTTTGGGTAACGTACTTTCAAAACTTCTATTTTGGTACCTAAGATGTAAAGTTTTAAACATTTAAGTACCCGGATAACCGGTTGATGCATTAACCGGTTATCATTCTCATGTGGCGAGTGATGGGATGAAATTGGGTTGAATAGCAAATAATATTGAGTTGGATACCACATAACTCGCCACATCAGCATGGTAATCGGTTAATACTTCAACCGGTTACCCAGGTCCTTAAATGTTTAAAACTTTACATCTTATGTATCAAAATAGAAGTTCTAAAAGTACGTTACTCAAAATAAAAATCAAGTTAAACTAAGTTATTTTTTCAGGCAATTTGTCCTTTAAAAGCATTTATTGTTCTTTGGGTGGTTTTTATACAAATTTTATTTATTTTGTTTTTAGAGTAAAGTTGTCTGACACAGAAGACTTTCTATGAGCACATGAAATTTTCTATACCAAGAACTTGTGTCCTACAGATGAATCTAAACCAAACCAAGTGAGCAGAGTATATCCCACCCATCGGAGGTTCAATCTGGGGAGGGTAAGATATAGGCAAACCTGAACTCTACCGTGAATAAGTAAAGCAGTTGTATCTAGAGATGCACAAGGCCTGGACTTCTAAGTCCGTTTTCAGTGAGCGAAAAAAACAGGATCGGGTTTTTTTAGAATCGGGCATGATCGGGTTAACCAGGCTTTTCCAGGTCGTTCTTCCAGCCGGGCCTGATCTGGCTTTGAGGCCTGATTCAGACCAGGCTTCGGGCTCACTAGGGCCGACTTTTTCTGGCCAGCCTTTAGTCTTGGGCTTTTTTGTGGATCTCCGGTTGTATCTGTGAAGACCCCCGACTTATGAGAAGTGTGTGAAAGAAAAAGCATGTAAGCTTGAATTTTGAAAAGCTGGAATATAAGTAAGCAATAGCAAAATACAGACAGAGGCAGGTATATGAATAGCAGCAGTGAACATTACATATTGTTTGGCTGATCATTATTTAGGTGTAAATGAGCCGAGCCGAGTCGAGTAGTGGATTATTCGAACTCGGCTTGAAAAAATTATACTAGGACCGAGCTCGACTCGAGCTCAAATAACCTTTTTCAATGTAGGGCTCGAGCTTGAGCTCGTTTATGGGCTCGTACTCGCGATTGATTAACTCGTTTATTGGCTCGAGGTTGATAACTTTTATATTGTTATTGTATTATTTATAAACATATTAGCATGTTTGGCTCAAAAAGGTATATGCTCGAATTGCTTGGCTCAGCTCGATTCGAAAAATTTAATAGAGCTTTCGAATAAGCTGAGTTGAACATTGGTTTTATGAAGCTCGACTGTTAAGTTAAACAAGTTCTATTTTGTGTTCGAGATCGACTCAAACTTGAGAATTATTAAGATCTCGAGCTCGAGTAGCTCGTTAAAATCTCGACTTGTTTACACCCCTAATTATTACGATGAAGGTTTTACAAGTATCTTTTTATTGGTAAGAGTGTCACCTTAAGTCGGGAATCTGTGACGTCCACATGATGGTCAAGGTCATCCTGCATATCAAAAAGAGTAAAGCATCAGAGAGCTTTCATGTCACGGGCGTTACATTCTGTAGCTTGTAACTTTCAGTAAGGAGAAATTTACAGAAATACCCAATCTCCCGAGCCCTTTTCATTTTATAGACATTTTCAGACCTCAATTCAGTTTTTAGTCAATCCTTAAGCAGAATTCCACTTTCCGTGTAAGGATCCCACTTTTTTTTTTTTGCTGAAAACCAATCTTTATGCCTATGCGTAAGGATTGGCTACAAAATGAAATGAAGTCTAAAAATGGCTAAAGAGTGAAAACTCTTTGGTAGATTGGCTATTTTTGTGAATTTCCCATCAATAAGTGGCTCAAGCAGCCATTATGTATACAAGTAAAAGAGAAAGGATGACATACGATGAGCCTAGTGTGCAAATCAAGTTCCTCGTTTACTGCCAACGCAATATGCTTTGTACTTATCACCGTCTCCTCCAGTTTTTCTAGGCCTTCATCTTGCTCTGTAACTCAAAAGTATCATGAATCATTACCAGAAAGTAACCACATGAAATGGGAACCAGGCCTTGAGAAAGGACATGTCCTCCTTAAGGGTGTGCTTGGTATTCAGACACGCAGGACATCTCCTCAATGGTGCGTTTGGTATCGAGATAGGCGAAACATGACAGTTGTTCAGCATATAAGACCGAACTGGACAAGACAGAATAGACAAAATGACCAATTTACTCCTAATGAGTTGTTTATATATTTTATACATTTTGATTAGTTTATGTAATTTATTAAATTATAATAAAATAAATATTGTTATAACAAAATATATCATTAGAAAGTTTTCGTCAAGACAATTAAAACGAAACTAAAAAAAATGATGTAGCTCCCAATTTAAATTTTATACATTTTCTATATTATTTTATTATTATTAATATTTAAAATTGCATAAATTAACCAAAATATAGAAACCGTATAAAAATAATATTTTGATGACAGTAAAGTGAAAGTTTAAAGAGCATAAAACACAATAAATAAAATTTAAATAATGAACAAAATATAAAGATGGAGGCGTATTTGATGTCTTATAAGAGAATTAGATTTTATTTTATGATTATATTGGTAAAATTTAGGTCTTGTTACACCACGTTCTATGGGTTGGGTGGAGCAAGTCTATTCTACTCTGTTCCACATAAAACTCCTACCAAACGTGGAACGATCTCTGATATGTTCTGTTCTGTTCTGTCCTGTGTACCAAACCCACCCTAAGAGTCTGAAAGCTATGATGTTTTAATCAGCCCTCATGTTAAGCACTCCAAGTGGTATATTGTATATACATTTAGAACATGTCTAAAAAAGTAATATGAAGCAACAACTTGCCTCGCATAATCTGTCTTTGAAGCCCAACAATGCCAGAGTTGTCTAAACCAGTTGTCCTGCTCATCGCATCAGCTGCTTTAGTATCTGGCCCAAGTAGACTGTCCCTATTAGCGAAGTTTGACATGTTCAACGCAGAGCCCATCTGTGTGACCTTTGTTCTCAAATTTGCAAGCATATCTTTACGTCGATTCATCTCTTTCTCCGTTCTACAAATAACAGGTAAAATTTACACTATAATTATAAGTTAATGACACTACCTATTATGATATAAGTTTTGGACCATAATAATTAAAACTTCCTGTTATGGTATCATTCATGGATTGGGCACTGAAAGTTAGTCTAAATGGGTATAGATTTTGGATGTAATGCAAAAACAAGTGATTGAACATTAAGAACCCATGAGAGAGAGAAACAAGTGTTCTGAGCATATTTCCTTCTACAACACAATAGTCATCTTTAGTGAAGGTCACACATGACACATCCCCAAGTTGAAGTCAAAACTACTTATCATATCAATGACACAAGAGAAATCATTTAACCAAATAGTTCTGTAATTGGTTGCTAGCCTTTTCTCTATCATGCTTCATCATCCTCAGACTAACCATCTACTCACCAGCCAAAATAGAGTTATCAAATCATGGACTAGTTACCACCTTCTTAGGCTTGAGAGAAACTACTATCTCTTGCTGAAGTTTAATAACTTGTAGAATGACACCAAGCAGTCCGTAGGCACTTCTTACTCACCAAAGGAATCCACCACCCGGTCTGTGGGTGTAGTAATATAATATATGATAACAAACTTCTATACTCGTTGAATTTGCATGCAATGTGTGACACATCTAGTAATGCCAGGTTTATGCCATTACCCAACCGGTCAAAACATAACAGGTTATGGGGTTACCCTTACCCATTGCCAGCCCTAAACCTCACATGTTAGGTCAAATCATCTAGCTAATTAATTCATGTGGATCTGTTTGCTGTTGTATTACAGATATAGACTAATAACTTCGCTATGCCAGAAGCATCTTGATCTCATACAAACACATGAACACTCAAAAAACTGACTTACAATGGCTGTCTAGCAGGAAGCTTTGTCAGAAGAGACTGTAAGCTGTCAAGTCTGGTTCCTAATATTGTAATTTTCCTCCTTGTAGCAGAAGCATGACGCTGTGCTTCAGGCCCTGAGCTATATGAACTCATTGCAGATATCATGCTGCTGATATCATCGGAAAGTTTAGTCGCTTCATTATATTCCCTCACCCATGGATCCGCCATTTATCTGTAAGACAAACAACAAATGCTGTTCCACATCAATTATCTCCACTTGGTAGTAATTCCTACAAGTCAGGATCTCGCTAAATTATATATACGAACAGGTCGTATATATTCACGGCATTTTTAGCCTTATAAGCCTACAAAATGGAAAGCAAATTAAAATTCGCTAAATTATCTATAAGAACACGTCCATTCCTGAGAACTTCAGTTCTCCAACATTCTGACTAAAGAAATCAATCTGCATATTGGTGCTACAGAATTCCAAATTTGGAGAAATCAAGGCGCCGGCTATATCATTAAAGAGCAATCACATAGCATATACATCTCTTTCTGTAAACCGTAAAAATCATCAAGATCAACAGATATGTTGGGAAATAGATCATAACAGATCGATCTCTAACCGGTAAATCAAAATAACGAGATCGATTAAACGAATGACGATAAGAATTACCTCTTTCGATCTGTAATTTGAATCGCGAGATACGAATTCAAGCTGAAAATAGATCCAATTATCGCTCTGAACGATGATGATGATGATGATGATGATGATGATGATGATGAATGAAATTAGGATTTGTGCCAGGAAAAACACGGCGCCACCATTCACCGGCGAATTTGTCTTGCCTTTTTCGTCGCCGTCTACATTACACGCATGCTAATATAATAAAAGGGGGGAAACTATTCCAAATCCAATATTAATAAGTACAGAAAAACGTACAATTGTTCATGCGCAATGTACATTCAAATACAGCAATCTTATCTGAATTTATGAATTATTAATCTAGAAAAAATTAATTGCGATCAAACGACGACGTACCAGCCGGATGACTTGATGCGCGGTGCACGTTTCAAACGCCAAACGTCAGTTTCTTTTTGGCTTTTTCTCGTTTTGGCGCTGCGTTTTTGGTTACATATCTATAAAAATTTAAATAATTTGATCAAGTTTTTATTTTGAAATAAAGTTGATAATGTTATCAAGATATTTTTAAAAATTAATAATTTGCTAATTTTTTTATATTAACTTGGATACCCAATCCGTTATACAAGCCGACTAATTTCAGGACGATCACCTGTTTTGTAGGTAGTTCAGGGTCACCATATTTGAACCTTTGTGGTCACATGAGAATTTTTTCCAGGGACGGACCCATAAATTTTTCCAAATTGTGCGACTATTTGACTATAAGAAGAAAAAAATCAAACGGTGGTTTTGTTTGACTATAAAAAACAAATATATGGTATTTTTTTAAAAGTGACATCATTTGACTAAGAAAATGACGCTAACAAGATTTGAACTTGGGTCTGGGTGGAATAAAAGTCTTGCAAACCAACTTTACCAAATAAAATTTGTTCTCACTGTAGTTCCAAAATACATGCGGTGGCACACAACAAATTAACACGGTTGCACATTTCACAAACCTAGTTTTTTTACCCTTCAACGGAAGAATAATGTTGTGGCTCGTGCCACTGTATGTGCCACTATAGGTCCGTCCTTGTTTTATTACTCCTTGGAGTTAAACCTGGAACCTACAGACAMTTTTGATTTTTAGAGTTCAAGCTCAAATCAATCAGACACCATCTTTGTGGTTAATTTGTTATATATTTTAGATCAAATCTAACAAAATAGAATCATTCCATTTAGTTCAAGTTAATTTTTTTTCAAATATTACAAAAACTAAGGTGCCGTTTACCAAACTTTTACCCGGGTAGGCGCTTACCAAGTCACTTTACTTTACCGGAAGAATATGACAAAGGCTAATAATCTTACTCGGTAAGAGCGAAGGCAATAATCGAGAGTCTTACCAGGTAAGTGAGGACGAAGATTCTTACCATGGTTAGCGCTTACCGGGATAAATTGTTGCATACGATGCGTTTTAGTGAATAAAATATTACCCGATAAATAAACGATAGTGTTGAATTTTACCGGTAAGTGCTTACCGGGTAAGTGTTTAGGTAAACGGCCCCTAACTATATATAAAACAATGCATTAAATGTGCCCCAAATCTTGATTGGGGACACCAAATGACTCTGTCCTTCTATCCCTTTGATGGATAGAGATGGGGACAGGACCATCGAACAACCAGAAAAAGTCTGGGCTCGCTTACGAAAAGTAGAAATAGAAGCAGATCAGTTTCGCATTAAAAACTTGCTATATATAAAACAATGCATTAAATGTGTATTTTATACACCAAAAGACATTCAAGTTATGGTTTATTTTTCTTTTGTTAACCCTAAACCAATTTGTACACACCTCGATTAATATTATGGGTTTTGGAGGAACAGTCGGAAATATCTCCAATGGTCTCACACGATTTGAACTGGTGACTTTAGAGAAGAATCTCTAAAAGTATGAGAATTACTGTCAGTTGAGCTAAACCTGTAAACTTCATTAGAGTTGAGTAATACTTTTTGATAATTTTATTAATTTTTTTTGAAGAAATCAGCATTCTTACATATTATCCTTGCATGTAAGGGTGCTCATGGTTTGGGTTGATCAGGTTGAAGACATTTGAACAACCCAACTCAATGCTTGAGGTTTGAAATATCTTAACTCAACCCAACCCAATGCTTGCGGTTTGAAATATCTTAACTCAACCCAACCCAACCCAACCCAACCCAACCCGTACGGGTTGGTCGGGTTGATACTTTGGTAATTTTTTGTTATCATCAACCATTTGATACAACTTATCCATACTTCTTACATATATCACATTCAGTTAATTTTCTCAATTTACATATATATGTTTACATTTACTGAACATATATACGAATGAGTTATATATAGATGTTAATAAATTGAAAATGTGTGTATATGAAGAGTGTACGTGATAGTGTAACTGTCTAATCTATATATTAATAGAAATTCAACGATAATATTATATCCAACAAATAAAAGGATATCGGGTTTATCGGGTTGGGTTCAAATAATAGCAACCTAATGCCTACGGTTTGAAAATTTTACGACTCGATTAGACATCGGGTTGCTTCAGGTTGAGTTATTTCGCGTTGGCTTGGGTTGGATTGTTCGGGTTGGTCGGGTTTTTGAGCATCCCTACTTGTATGTGTTGATGTATATTGTAAAAGAAAAGTTCATTTTAGAACTGCATTTTCATTTTCAATCAGGAACAATCAAGAACACGTCATGTGTCCGTATTTTTATGCAACCAATTTTCGTTTGATAGACTATAAACTCATGGATTTAATCAAAATAATGGATGCACTTTCAAGACGCTTTTAACATTCTTTTTTTCACTGTCAAGATGATAGAACGGATGCACATTTGCCCCCTCTGCGCTTCTTAAATCCGCCCTTTGTGAACCAATAAGTCACATACGAAGGTCGAATTTGAAGGTAAGATAAAATACTAAGGTCACGTCTGGTTTGTAGTATTGGATTGGATTTGGAGGAGTTTGTAAATTGGATTTCATATTAATCTCATGTTTGGTTTGAAGTAGTTAGGGCCCGTTTGGTTTGCAGGATTGTTTTTGAACGATTTGGATTTCATGGAAGATTTTGGATTGGAACGGATTTGAAATCATTGGTGTGATTGGTATGTAAAATTTGGAACGGAATTGGATTCCATTATTTATAAATAATTAAATTACATTTTTATTAATCGATTATTACAAAGCAAATGTTTTTGACATTTTCTAAAACCCTATTCCATATAATCCTATGAAATCCGGTGAAATCCCGAGCACTCCCTAAGGATTTCAAAATCTTATGTTTGTAAGATTTCAATTAAACCCCAAGATTTCAAATCCAGACAATCTAACAAACCAAACATGTGATTGAAATGGATTTTAAATCCAAATCCCCCTAAATTCATTACATTCCTGCAAAACAAATTGGATTTTATAGGATTTTGAAATCCCATAGAATTGGTATTTCACAGGATTTGTATGTAATAATGGTTTTAAATATGTTAAAAACATTTGTTTTATAATAATCAATTAAAAAAAAGGTGATTTAATTATTTTTATCATTATTTATAAAAAAATTATAATTTCTTTTATAAATAATGTAATTTAATTTCATTCCAAATCTTACAAACCAAGCAGAACCTCCCATAAATTCCAATAAATAACAATTATCTTGTGAACATGTTGATCCAATTCATAATTCAACTACAAACTTTATATGTTGTGCCCAGCTATAGTCTTTACAAGTATTTACAAACTTAACAAGAGCTCTTATTTGCCAATCCGACCAAACTAAAACTCGGTATATCTCACTCGAAATAACATGTGGGATTTACCAGCCCTCCCAAATCTCCTATCGAGCATCATGAAAACCGAATCAAACTAGCGTTAAATGGAAGGAGCGGGTATAATACCCCATCTCCGTCTTACGTCCTCCAAATCTTCATGAAAATGCTTCTCGTAATAAACACACATAAGATCGGTGGATTTCATACCTGCCCGAATTGCCCAAGGAAAGTAATGCTGGTAAAATAACGATCTTTGCTTGTCGTTGAACCTTGCCGTTCCTCCGACCACAGAAAAGAAGCACATTGGAAGCAACATTTGCTCGAACTCTATGACTTTTAAGGCTGATTCGCCAATCAAATTGGTTGGAAGGCCAAAGAGGGTGTGCCAGAAATCGTGCACTTCACGTGCACGCATAGCTACGTATGCGAGCTCTTCGGTTTCCATGAACCTCACTGGCGGCCTATCATCCGGGGAGAAGTTTCTAGATCCCATGAACTTTGCATATGCAGCACCAAATGTGTTTTCTGGTAGGTCCCACGCGTGTCCTACGTTTTTAGAGATGACACGAGGGCGGTCCAAAAGTATTTCCTGAAATAGAAAGACTTGTTATGTCAATGTAAAGATGCCAATTAGTTCTTCTGTTCCAAAATAAGTGTCCACATTTTTATTTTAGTCCGCCTCAAAACAAGTGCCTACGTGACAATTCTACCCCTAACTATGAAACGGATAAATTCATTAGAGCATCTCCAACAGATTCTGCAAAATGGATAATGAAACTCCAAAATCTCTAAAACAAAAATACATTCAACTCCAACAGATGCTCCATTTTGGACATTACAACATTGATTATATTATTAAAATATTCATTTCCTCTAATAAAATATTATTTCTCTTTCTAAATATTTATTTTTCAAAGTTTCGTATCGGTGGAAATATATTAAATAATGTTTCTCTTTCATTGTAATCATTTTCCGGGTGTTCTATAAATTTGAAGATTTTTACACTCTCTTCCTACTTTCTCTATTCTGAAGAAAGGTTTTGAAGAACCTGTTGGAGCAAAAAGCATGGCTAAAATCCCCAAAATATATATTTTCTCCATTTTGGAGAATCTGTTGAAGATGCTCTTACTTCGTCTATTATTAAGGTAAAACTGTCATTTAGTTGATTAAAAGTGCAATAATCACACATTTCTATAATTGCCTTTTTCATTGTGAACATCTATTTTGGGGTGGAGGGAGTATCTTACAACCATTAAGAGGAAAAATATGTTGAGACTCAGGGGTCTTCACGAACACAGCATCTCTGCCTATTGGGGTAGAAAAAAGGTTTGCGTACATCCTACCTCCAAACCCTACTTCTGCATGGGATTTACTAGGTCCATTTTGGTTTATGTGGCATTAAAAATGAAAGACAAAAACACTAGCTTTCAAGTTTCAGAGTTAAAAGGTAGCCATAAATCCATGACCCCATTGAAACATGTGTTATGTCACTAATCTATGACATACCAATTAACCTCAATGTCTTAAATATTAACAAAACCTCATGCAAATATGTCCGAAAGGTAATGCAAGAGCGGATCCACTATGGCGCATACGGTGGCACGGGCCATGGCTTTGTTCCTTCGTCATAGCGTAAAAAAAACTAGGGTTTTGAAAGGTGCCACTATATTATTTTGTTGGGTGCAACCGTATACTCCTTGAAACTACAATAACAACAAAGTTTCTTTTGGTAGAGTTGGTTTGCACATTCTTTTCCCCCCTTCCAGGCACGGGTCCGAATCCCATTTGTATCATTTTCTTAGTTTTTACCTTTTAATTTCAGAACCATTATGTTTCTGAAAAAATTGGTATAAAAGACTCGAACACAAGACTTCACATACAAAAAGCAAAAAACTAACCAACAGACCAATGATGATTTTGTAAGAAAATATCCTTGGCATCGTTTTTTATAGTCAAATGGCGTCACCATTGAAAATTTCTAGGTCCACCTATGAGGTAATGATGTTTAGTAAGCTATTGGCTTTACCTACTTCATGAATTGAAACAAGGAAATGGTAATAGATACTATCATAAACGGCAAAAACAATAAGCATCTACATAAAAGGTTAGCAGAAATCATACTCTGCCTTCAGGGTTCCTTTTCATCCTTTCAAGTACCCTCTCAAAAGCGGGCTTCCCAGTTGTTTCCCCCAAAGCGGCTATCAGATCGGCTCTTCTTGGGTCCACTAATGCACCAACTGCAGACCCAAGAGCAACTGCAGCCTGCTGCCAACCCCTAAGTCGGACTCGGGCTCCTTCTACCATGGTGGATGTATGCTGAAAGTATAACTTAGATCATTTCAAAAGCATAATATAATTGACGATGAAAAAAGGCTTCAATAATTACTCACTAGTCACTACCATGAATTTCATGTTAGGGGCCGTTTATCAACCGCTTACTGGGTGTCACTTGCCTTAATGGGTGAGCATATGCTAAGGATCAAGAATCTTACCCGGTAGGTAAGAGGCATAGCAAATACCAACAATCTTGTCCGGTAAGCGAGGGAGAAGACTTGGGTTTGTTTGTTAGCAGCTTAATGAGACTCGCAACTTATTCGGTTAGTTATATGACTGTTTGGTAGTGACTTAATGATATAAAAAAGTAGCTTATTGAGTAAGCTTCTAGGGGGAGATTTATGTAGAAAGCCAAGTTTTTTTCCTAAATTACCCCTCCAATTAAAAAACATGCTCTTTTTATCTATGAAAAAAACCCTCTCAAACAAAAACTTTTCAATCTATACAGACATATTAGGACTTAAGGTAAAACCAACCAAAAAGCCCCTTACTCGGTAAGCGTTTTCCAGGTAAAAGATGCTTACCAACAATCCATTCTAATTATGTTACCCGATAATATAGATGAGGGTGGTGACTATTCCCGGTAAGCGCTTACCCATATAGCATTTGGTAAACGGCCCCTAAGTGTCTAACTGTCTGTTAAGTTAAACCTACGTCACGAAGTAGGTTTTTGTGAACCCTTTACATCTAAGGAACGGTAACAGTATATAAAGACCCACTGTGCACCACCTATATCCAGCTTTAACTTCAACTGGATAATCTTAGACCGAATTGTCCTGATTGTCATATATAGCCTGAATTGTGCTAATTCTAGCTAAAATTTTGTATGGAATAATCACTGTTCAGCAAACAGATGCGAGTATTCACATCTTCGCAATAACCTAAAACCTAAATTTTAAATTTTCCTTCCATGTAATTTTAGCAACACATGCCCAATAGATTTACAAACAAACCAAAATTACCAAGCCAAGGAAATAACCAGCATGTCAACATCAATTTCTTTTAAGCATTTCATCGAATAGGTGGTAGACGAACCTTGAAGTAAACTCAAAGCGTGTAAACTCATCTTAGAAAAACCCTTTCTTAATCAATCAAAGTAGCACATCAAAAGAACAGATTGCAATCAAACTCAAATCGCTGAACATCAAACACAATCAAACACAAGACTATGAAGATGAAGACAAAGAAACATCAACCCTGATCAACCACATCAGATTGAACATAGACAATTTTAAGAAAAAGAAGTCTTACCAGAATCAAGAGTGAGCCGGTTAGTGGTGGTGCGCCCTAACCAGAAGCGAGAGTGAGGAGAAAATCGAGATTGAGAGACGATGGTTTGAGAGAATGAACAGGCGAGGGAATGGAGGGGAAATACGAGATCTGAATGGTATGGGGATAGATTGGTGATGGAACGAGTCGGCTTATTGAACCATTCAGACCCATTAAATTCTTTTTGCCACACAAATTATATCTGAATAAGTCAGACCTTTCCCAATTTAAGAAGTAAACAAATGCACTTGGGGGCCGTTTACTAAACTCTTATCCAGTAAGTGTTTACCGGGTAATTTTCTTTTCCAAATGAACATGGTAAGGGTTTAGAATATTAATTCTTACCCGGTTAGAACGGTAAAAGGATGGAGAGTCTTATCCGGTAAGAGTGGTGAAAGGATGGAGAGTCTTACCCAGTAAGTGAGAGTGAAGACTCTTACCCGGGTAATTGTTGCATACTATATCGTTTTAATGCACTACAATCTTACCCAGAAAAATAAATTATAGTATTGACCTCTATCGGTAAGTACTTACTAGGTAAGCATTTGAGTAAACGGCCCCTTAGGTTCATGTAAATGTGAGCTTCAAATCTTAAATGCATTTAAGTAGAGAGTTTGGTTCTTGTGGTAATAGCAACTAATTAACAAAAGGTAATAGCCACTAATCAAGAAAAGGTAATAGCCACTAATAAAGAAATTTAACCACAAGGGTGGTGCCTGATTGGTTTGAGCTTGGCTCCAAAGGTCAAAAGTATCAGGAGGTCCCAGGTTCAAATCCAAGGAGGAATAAAAATCCCCTTGTGGCCATGGAGGTTCAAATGCGGTGACTCCAGGCTATCTGCAAAGCAGGTGGTCGCCCTGGGATTAGTCGGCTCGCATAGCGGGTTGGATATCCAGGTTAATCAAAAAAAAGTAATTAAGAAATTTGAGGTTAAAGTTATATTGCCCAACTTAGTTGCTATCAAGAAAACCTTTGATAGTTTCCTTTCAATGGGAGGTAGCATTACATTGGGCAGCATGTACACTTTAGGTTGCTGGACATTCCAAACACAAATATAAGATACAGTAGCATTACATTGGCATAATATTAAGTATTTGCTGGACATTGGGTTAAAGCTGCTGTTGTTGGGTTTGAAATCACAGTATCAAAATGGAGGTCTGTTTTGAGATATAGTAGCTGCTGTTGTTGGGTTAAAGCTGTTGTTGTTGGGTTAAAGTAGCTGCTGTTGTTGGGTTTGAAATCACGGTATCAATTTAGGTTTTATGATCCGAAAGGAAAACATTTATCAACTGGTTGGTTGAATCGCGCTGTTATATATATACATACATATATATAGACTTTGGATCATGTGAGACCAAGGGTTTTTCGTGAGACTCGTAAGACCAATTCTCAACCCTTGGATTAGATATACAATCTAAACATTCATAATCACAAAATTGTAACCGTGCAACTTTAGACCATTAGATCATTAGCTTATAAAGTTGATCAATGAACATAAATTGGTCTTGCGTGTCTCACGAAAAACTCATGGTCTCACGTGAACCCAACCCTATATATATATATATATATATAGGCATTGCAATTTGTACAAGAGAACCCAGATGAAGTATGCCCAGCAGGATGGAAGTCAATGAAGCCAGATCCTAAACTCAGCAAGGAATACTTTGCAGCAGTATAACAAGTATAATTGGTTGGATTATAAGCAACCCCCAATGCTTATTATGTTTTGCATAATGCTTTTCTACTACTACTACTACTACTACTACTACTGCTTATTTGCTTTTCCTATGTCAATCTGGAAGTCCCCCTAGGCTCTAGCTTAGATAGAAGATATCTAATCCATGTAGTTGTCTGGCTAAGGGGACGTTTACTAAAACACTTACTTACCGGATAAATTTCCTTATCGGATGAACATGAGAAGGGTCAAGAATCTTACTCTCAAGAATCTTACTGGATAAGAGCAATGAAAATAATGGAGAGTCTTATCCGGTAAGTGAGGATGACAACTCTTACCCAGGTAAGCRCTTACCCACTAAATTGTTGCATTCGATATGTTTTAATATACTAAAATCTTACGCATCAAAATAAATCACAGTGTTGACTCCTATTGGTAAGCACTTACCGGGTAGGCAATTGGGTAAACGACCCCTAAAGTTCGATTTCAGCGTAAACTGAAACTAGTTGAGTGTAGGCCAAAACTGAAACTCAATAGGAATTATAAACAAGTGAACTCTATATGATTTCCCAACATGTATAACATCATAGCATTCCTTCTACCTCTCCTGTAAGTTCAACAAAATCACACGACAAACACAGAGGCGATGACTGGTGCAGAAATCAAACCCATAAATAACTAGTAGTAACAAGATTGAAGACGCGGAAATCAAACCCATTCAAGAACAAGTATACACATTACTTAAATCCTAATACGATCCCAGAAAACAAAGAAGACGCATAAATCAAAACCATGTAACAGGATACCTGTTTTATTCTTCAATAAAATCAAACCTATTTAACAGAATACCTTAAATCGATAAATCAAAGAAGACGCAGAAATGCAAGAAGAATTGAAATCGAGATGATACCTTAAATCGAGAGCTTGGGAAACAGATCGAGAGCTTGAGAGATCGAGAGTTAATCCAGAGAAGTCGAGCGCAAAGAGACGATTTGAAAGAAGAGGTAGTCCTAATAAGAGCTTTTAAGCTCTTAATTGGGAAAAAAGAAAACACTTCGCTCCTATTATAATTGTTGAATGGTTCGGTTTAAAATGAGTAAGTGATCAAAATAATTAATAGGTTAATTAAGAGTCATTTATGATGTAGTATAAAATAAAATATAAATGTTTGGTAATTGTGTATAATAAAATTAGGGTTCTTAATGGTTAATGAAAATCCAGCATACAGAATCATTCAGAAAGTTTTAAAATCATTAAGAGACAGAGTTGTTTTATCAAACAATATTCATCTCTTAACGATTCAAATGTTATCTCTTAATGAAACTGCTAAGAGATAAACAAACAACTTCTGAATCTCCTTAGGTCTTGCCGATTTAAATTTAAGAGGATATTCAAAGTTTTTTCTATTAAAAACAAACACTCCCTTTAAACTTGTTTTGAGTGAATTACGTTGATGGTCTACGTGGTTATAAAGTACTAATCATTTTTTAAACAAACTATAGAGACCAAAAATATAATTTGTTCTAAAATTTAATGCGATTCACATTTTTTTAGATTTTTAATTAAAAAAAATTATATATTCAATCACAAATCAAATTTATTAAAATAAAGTACATATTTAATTAAAATCTTTGTATTAAAAAAAACTATTAAATTCAAAAAAAAAATAGTGTTAAGAAATATTAAGTTTAAAAAAACAAAGGAAGTCAAGATAAATTCACATATCTTTTGGGTTGAGAATTAAATATGCGAGTACGATATTGAAAACTAAGTTCGGTTAATGTGAGATTATTAATATATATACATGGAAGAGTTCAAACAATAACACATTCATTTTACGAGAACGCAATAACACTCTTTTACTATAAACAATCACATGTAATACAATTATTTTATCATATACGATACACATATGATACTTGAATCAGATACGTGAGCGATTTTCGATGCGATATTGGTTGCAGGCCAAATCGCCCTTACACCACTAAACCCCCTCACAAGTATTATCACATGTGATAAGGGTGTTGTTGATATGATACTATAATCCATCAAGACCATCATATGTGATTCTTTTTAACGTACTTTTATTCATATTGTGAAACAACATTGTATACTCACATGCATTGTTTCGGTGTGAAACAACACATGATCAATGGTTTCATATTTCTCGTTTTTCTTTTGTAGTTGTCATTTGATCATGTCTCTCTCTATATATACATATGAGTGAGTGAGTGTCGCTATCTCATAACACAAAGAACCCGCTGTAGGAGTCCAACGTATATTCCCCTCGTGTAGGAGTACATGATGCACTTAACGGACATCAAGTTAAAGTTGTTAACTCAATGCGCTAATTTTATTACGTGATACACAAAATAAAGACCATTGACACTAACTCACGGGGGGGTATATTTAATGGAATTAATGACATGAAAAACAATAATTAAGGCACACAAGAACAAAAACCACAACTGTTTTGTTTCTTTAAGACTGGAAAGGTAAAAAGACAGACTTATCTATTATGTGAAGGTAGTGATGGACAAACAGGCCCGGCCTAGGACTGCCAAAGGACCGGAACCGGGACCGGCCTGGGCCGGGACCAGTAAGGACCGGAAAGCGGGACAGGTTCATATATTGGAGCGATTCATGGGACCAAGGCTGGGACTGGTTATAGGACCGAAAACCGAGACCAGTTCATGTTTTGGAGCGATTCATGGGACCGGTTATGGGTCCGACCCAATTTTTTTTAAACTAGCCGTTAGGTGGTCGTTTTTTTGGATTTTTTGTCTTCTAAACACTATAAATAAGTGTATTGATCTCAATTCACAAAAAACGCAACAAAACCTTTCACAACAAGTGTATTTTCAAACTATTTTATAATGTATTTTTGGAAGACAATGTAATTTTAATTATAATAAAACGCATTTTAAAAGTGTATTTGAATGACCCAATTGCAAATTTTACAATGTATTTTAAAAATCTATCATTACAAAAATATATATATTTAATGGTCGGGACTGGGACCGACCGACCATAACCGGTTATAACTAACCTTAACCGAACTCGACATTTTTGACCGGGACCGGTTACGGCCGACACTGTTGAAGCACGAGACCATTAAGGCCCGACCCGACCGTAACAACTCGTCCCACATGGATAGAAGGTGAGATTGTTAGCTCTTATAAGTATCAAGTAGTGGGCCACGAATAACTTCCACCATGGTTTTAAGTTGGATTCGAAGTTACTGGGTCAGTCTATTACTTTAGTCTTTGGGGGTGTTACAAATGGTACTAGAGCCGATATGTATACAATCGGCATGGTGGGGGCAAACCTCACCGGGGGTATGATGAGTCATCGAGAGGGGGTGTTTGCAACATCTTAGGTGAATCCCACATTGTTGATGACAAGGAGGAAGATTTTGAGCAGGTCTGACGAGGACGTCATGAGTTTAAGTGGGGGAGTTTGTAACAACTCGTCCCACATGGATAGAAGACGAGAATTGTTAGCTTATTGTAAGTCTCGAGTGGTGGGCTACCAATAACTTCCACCATAGATATAAGTTGGATTCGAAGTTATTAGGTCAGTCCGTTGCTTTGTACTTCAGGGGTGTTACACCAGACCCGCTCGGGACCAGTTTTTGGCCATCCTACATGAAGGTATATAATCTACTTAGCATACCTCAAGTTAATAGCTTAATTCAAGAGACCAATTTGTTATATGAAACACACGACCACTGATATATTTAATGGATTAAAAAAAAGAATTAAGAACCCAAGAACTATAGTTAGTTCGTTTCTCCAAGACCGAAAAGGAAAAAAATTACGAATTTACCCCTAACCTGAGGGTATATGATGTACTTCACAGACCTTAAAGACATCAAGTTAACGATGTTAACTCAAGAGACCAACCTATTATATGAAACATAAAATAAGGACCACTGATATATTTAACGGACCGTAAAAATCAAAATCAAAACTATAAAATAGCAAAAGTGTAGGGACCAAATATGTAATTATCTCAAAAACAAATTATTTTCAAGTTTGATAAATTTGATGCTAAAAATTTAGTTGACGGGAGGCCGTACAGCAGTCACATAAATCGAAGAGCACACAGACCACCATTAAAATTTATCTGAAAATTGAGCAGTGGGCGATCGGAGAAAATCATCGCGCCGCGCACGCCTTTCTTTCCACTTTAGTAGCTCCATTAAAGCAGCAAAAAGCCCCAAGAAGGCGTTTGCTGCGGGGAGGGATGTCAGACCTAGACCGGCAAATCGAGCAGTTGAAGAACTGTGAACCGCTCAAAGAGTCTGAAGTCAAGGCACTTTGCTTGAAAGCCATGGAAATCCTCGTCGAAGAAAGCAACGTTCAAAGGGTGGATGCTCCTGTTACCGTAGGTTTACTTTTTAACCTATTTATTACCAGATTCGTGTGCTTAGGTTGATTTGCATTTTGTTGATAAAGACTATGTATCTATCCGTGGACACCTCTGGTAACTGATTTTAGGGTTTTTGTGTGTGTGTCAGTTTATGGGCTGAGATTGACCTAGTGCTTGTACAGTGAAAATTTGGTTGGAGTTGCTTCTTCATCGAATTCATTAGCTGGAACTATGCTTGGCATTATATATTGCATTTTCAAATGGAAATTTGTAGCGTGGCTTGGTTTGATTATAAAAGGAAGGTTGGTAGTCTTTGTAGAGACTGGGAAGAAAGGGTCCTGCTAATTCGGTAAAACCATTAGAAGTACTTCCTTTGCCTTCAGAATACACCCTCAAACTATCTTTTTTCCTTGGGGAGTGGTGGGGGGCATGTGAGTAAAGCAGCAACTAGTATCTTCTTCAATTAAGCAGGGTTTGCAGTGTTGGTAATTTTAGTATCATCAATCATTTGTGACTGTGATTTACGTGTGATCAGTTTGGTGATAAGGCAAACATAAGTGAGTTAGGAGGTGTGGAGTGCACAATCACAAATGCCGTCTTTATCACCTTAGATTGTCATAAGGCAGGGTCAACGGGGCCCGCCCCCTTGCGGGGTTCCAGGGGAAGCACCTCTAGCAGGGTCCAAGGGGCAGGGCCTTTAAGATAAGAGTTTCTTTTGGATCATCCCAATACGAAATTCGTGATACCCATGGCATTAAGGGACGAATTATTGTATTTGGAAAGTGAACTTTCACGATCCAACGAGATTATCCGGTCCACGAATCATCTCCAATCCCCAATCCTAACATAAAGTGATTCAGTGAAGCAAAGCTGGTGATAGGTTTGGTTCCGGTTAGTTGACTTGATTGTAAGCATCTTACATGGTTATCATCGTGTCGCTAATGATAACAAACTAACAATCCCCCTTCCAAGAGAACCCTGATTTGAAGTACAAGGATGGTATGACACTTTTTACCAAAACTATCTTAAGTTGATTAGGTATTTGAATATTTGATGACTGCTTATTGAAGAAGAATACAAATTGCAATTGCTTAGTCCCTCACTTTTAATAATTTGATCATTTCTAAGAAAATTTGTAGTCCCTCTATTATGAACATCTGTGGTGGGTATCACGACTCTAGTGCATCAAAGAATCTACTTATTATCAGCGTACATTTTCAATGTTGTGATGCAACCAGCCCTTGGTTGATTGCTAGGATATATGGCGTCATGCTCAAGAGAACCTAGTATAACGTGGTGAGATGCTTAGGAAGTTGAAACCCCTTTACATTTTGTCATTCCATCTTTCAATCTTCAGTCATGTTCTTTGAACAGCTCGGCTACATGGTCTATGGTCGGAGCAATTATCATTGGCAGCTCAACCAGTTAGAAATACCAAACCAAGAAACTCACATTTTTTATTTATCCATTTGTCCTGTCATTTTCATGCATCCTTCAAACATGTGATATGATCTTATAGTCTCAAGTTCTTGGTTGTTGCAACAGTATACCTAAAAGGTTGACCCATCTACCTCTGAAATGAGTTGCAAATGTACTAGTTTTGGTAAATACTGAATGCCTCTTGGTTTCAAACTTGAACACAAATCAATGTTTTTGTTCCATGTAAATCGACCCTTTTTATCTGACATGATGACATCATGTTAGTGTGGAAAGAAAACTCGATATTAACTTGAATAAGCTGAGAGATAAACAAAACAAGGTGTAAAAAAGGTAGGGCCCACAAGGAGAAAGGTTGGGGGGGAGGGTGCATGGACATGCATGTTTTTGATTTATCAGCCTTAGACTATTCTTTATTTGTGAATCATCTCTCATTTACGGTTTACCTTGAGCCAATATATGTAACATGGCAATACATGTGGAAAAATCATCAAATTTTCTAATTTCTTATTTATTAATATAATCTATTCCTAGACTTTTTCTCTCACTCATGGGTTAACCATGCTTGAACCATACTATGTTTTTATGTGTTGCTCGTTTTGAGTTTTATGTTTTTTTGTTGTTTTACTGTTGAGGAAGTCTCCTTGAGGCTTATGCCTTGCGGCACTTGGGGAAAACACCCCACCTCACGTTTCATCTTTCAAAATCATAATATACATGTATGAGTGTGCTCCCTTTTTACGAAGCTGTGGCATTTCAATCAGATTTTACAGTCTCGGTTTGTCTAGATTAAATTTAAAGCCTATCCATTAACTTCAAAATAAAAACCACAAAAATGATGTCATTGGTCTCAAAGCAAATCTGTAGGAGCATCAAACATTAATATGATTGAGTTTCATAGAATCTGTTTATCCGACTTCGCTAGCTTGCCTACTACCCTTGTGTGACCCTGTTACTACTTGTTTAAATACGTCTCTTCCTCGAGGTACTTTTTAGTTATTTTAATTTTGTCATTCTTGGCCTACTTTTTTCATGCACAGATATGTGGCGACATCCATGGGCAGTTCTATGACATGAAAGAGCTATTTAAAGTTGGTGGTGATTGTCCAAAGACTAACTATTTGTTTCTTGGAGATTTTGTGGACAGAGGATTCTACTCCGTGGAGACCTTTTTGCTTTTACTTGCCCTAAAGGTAAATTTTGTATCTTAATGAATTCACTCAATACAAAATAAGCAACACAAAGCGAAGTGATGAAACCTAGCAGGTGAAGGCCCTTGGGTTCTGGGACATCATAGGAGTTCTTCCAAACAATCCTATCTAAGGGGCCTTTTACCAAACTCTTACCGGTTAAGCGCTTACCTAGTGTCACTTACCTTTTCTTTGAAATATATAATATTTATATATGGCAAATGCGACAAATAAACTCACGCACCTTCCTCACCTTTGGTGAGGTTTGAACCCTTGACCTCCTAGGAGGCCAACGGCTCAGATACCACTAGGCCAAAGGCCCTTTGGTGTCACTTACCTTACTGGTAAGCATGGCAAGGACTGAGAATCTTACTAGGTAAAAGGCATAACAAGGACCAAGAATCTTACCCAACAAACGAGGAAGACGACTCTTACCCAATAAACGCTTACCGAGTAAAAGACGGTTACCACAATCCATTTTGATGGCCAAGAATGTTATCCGACAAGGTAAGTGAAGGTGATGACTTTTGCCTTAAGCACTTACCCGGTAAACGTTTGGTAAACGGCCCTGCCCTTAAGGCGAACTCCTCTGGACATTCTTTCACTCATATCTTTCATCTCTGCTTGGCCTGTGTCAATCATGGTACATGTAGGTTACAAAGAAAAAAATAGTTACACATAATTTTGATATAAATACTTTTCTATGCTAATCAATGCGGTCCTGGAAGCAAGATGCTCTGTTCTTTATGCCACTTCTTTGACCAGATGTGTAGTTACTTAACTTCACCGCAAATAAAAATCAAAAGCCAAGTGATTTGCTCCAGGCTTTAGGATAAGATTTTAATCAGCAGTCAGAATTCAAAGCATGATGGGGAGGTTTCAGAGTTTGTGGTCGGTGAATGGCCTAGAAATTGGAAGGAAAAAATTCTAGATTACATACCAGCTAAATGCTACATGCTTTTACATTATTTGTGATTGTGATTATAATATTAGGATGGTTCCTTGGGAAAAGCTTGTAGGAGTTCCGGACAATTTATTATTTCGAAGAGTATGGTTTATGATTTAAGTGAACTATTGCAGAACTGTGTAGTTGGTAATTAGTGGAGATCTAGGAATCTGAAACCCTAAGATCCCGTTTGGTTAGCCGGATTGGATTGGATTTTTGGAGGGATTTGGAATTGAATTCCATTCCAATACCCATGTTTGGTTTGAAGGATTTGCCGCAAACCCTAATTTAAATTCCACAAACATAGGATTTTGAAATCCCACATAGGCGCTTGGTATTTCACGGGATTCGTAGGAGATGTAATAATGTTTTAAAATATGTTAAAAACATTTGTTTTGTAATAATTAATTAATAATAAGGTAATTTAATTATTTATAATTTTTTTATATATTATTTATAAAGAATGGAATTCAATTCCTTTCCAAATCCTACAAACCAAAGATTTCAAATCCTTCCAAGTCCAAATTCCTCCAATTCTAAATCCTTCCACGAAATCCAAATCCCTCAAAATCATTTCATCAAACCAAACACCCCCTAAGTAGAGTAGATCTAGTAGATATGTTGGTTGTAGATAAGGAAAGTGGCATCAACATGGCATCACAAAACGTTCAATAATTTTCCACCGTTTAGGAAAAGATCATAAATTTATTTCTTGATTTTATAGTCTTGTAATTTCGTATTATTTTAACGTATAATCTTGCAATTCCTTATGAAGAATAGACACCCATCTCTTTACCAAGGGATTTTCTTCACTTCCTTCTCCATTTCTAGTCTAATTTTTGACCTATATTCATATGGGTAGTAGAACAAGCTTCCGGTTATGGCTGCAATTAGCATTTCAATATGTGTATTTTTTTTAGCTGTTCTTTAATGAAGCACTGCTGTAATCAGGTGAGATATCCTGATCGGATAACATTGATTAGGGGCAATCATGAGAGCCGACAGATTACACAGGTATCCTATTATATTTAGGGGGTGTTTGGTTAGAGGTATTAAGCAGTAATCAATGGGAATGAAAATAAAAGAAACTGTTTGGTTTTATATAATATAATGGGCTCATTCCCCCATAAGCCCAAATTTTCATTCCAGGTTAAACCGGGGGGAATGAAAATTCATTCCCATTTTCATTCTATGTCATTTTCATTCCTATGCCTAAACCAAACACCCCCTTTATTTGCAGGCTAATTTCTTGAATTTTTTTAAGTGCTTATCGCTATTCCCTATTCTAGGTATACGGATTCTATGATGAGTGCCTGAGGAAGTATGGCTCTGTCAATGTTTGGAGATATTGCACCGATATATTTGATTACTTAAGGTGTGCTAACTTCTTGCACTTTTTTTCGATTATTATTATTTGAAATTGTTTCTAAAGATGAATCGTGTGAGAATAGGAGTTAAGGTGAGAAGTGCAAGAAGGGATTTGGACCCTTGATCACTTTTAATTAGTGTTGATCTAATGCTTCAGATTAAATCCCAAAATAACCCATAAATTGGCTTAGAAGGGTATTTTCAATTGATCTTCAATTAGGATTGATCCAAGGGTGGAGATCCATTCTTACCTTTCTCACGATAACTACTATTCTTACCGGAAACCAACCCTTGTTCTAAAAGGCTCGCTGTGGCCTAAGGCTTGTCTTGGATGCACACTTTTTGTAAGGCATTATTTGTTTTTTTATTATAATTTTTTCACCTTTCTAGTGTTTTATTTTTAGGTTTTAATATATAATCTACTTGTTTATGGTCTTAGATTAGAGTAATAGTAGAAAACATATATGTTTTTATATATATGATCTGCAAATTTGGCACCATAAGTCACGCCTCACGTCATTTAGAACCTTGTTATTTGATAGGTAAACCACCAGTATGTTTGACATCAAGGCGGAATCTATCAACAGATTCAGCTATTTAGGAAGAGGAAGCAAAAAGAAACAGAGTGCCATAATCTTTTCCGAGGTTTTGATAAAACAAACTAATGCAAACTAATTTTGGGGGCTTTTTGGTTGGTTTTCCATTAAGTTTTGTATGGATAAGGTTGTCTGTGTGGATTAATCTGCATGTATAAGATCGGGAAGGTTTTTGTTTGGGAAGATTTTTTCATAGATGGAAGGAGCGTGATATTTAAATGGAGGGGCAGGTTTGGAATTTTTTTGGCTTTCTGCATAAAGCTCCCTCTAAAAGCTTACTGAATAAGCCACTTTCTATATCATTAAGCCACTACCAAACAGTCATTAATAGTTGATGGAATAAGTTGCTAGTCCCATTAAGCTCATTAAGCTGCTAATAAACAGACCCTACTTTTTCTCAACAGGGGTTGTTTGGTTGGTTTTCCATTAAGGGGCTGTCTTTTTTGACTTGATGGCTTAATGGCTGATTGAGCTTATTCGCTCAGCTATGAATCAAACAGCCAATAATACGAAAGATCTTGAAAAATTCTCCAAAAACTTTAAAGATTGGCTGATTGCTTTTCTTTTCTTTGAATTCGATCAAGTAGTTATAATATTTGTCATTAATGATATTGTGATCATACTGGTATTTTAGTATCTTTTATGTTCCTCAAATAGTACTCTCTCCATCCCCAAAATAAGTATCCACAATGAAAAAGACACACAGTTTTAGGAATGTATACCTATTACACTTTTTAATTAACTACATGACAGTTTTACCCTTAATAATAAAGATAGAAACGTTATCCATCTCATAATTAAGGTAGAATGGGAAACTAGACACTTGCTTTTAAAAAGTGGACACTTATTTTGTGACAAACTAAAATAGAAATGCGGACACTTATTTTGGGACGGAGGGAGTACTAGCTTTTCTCTCATCATAAATAGAGTTGTAATCCCCAAGGTTTCATCGTCTTTGATTGAATTATAACAAAAGATCAATAGTCTTTAATTATCTTTTCTGATCGTGCACAATTTTCTCGAGGGTGATGCCAATAGATCCTAGGCTTCTGCAGTTACATAATTATCTTATTCTTTTCCCCGAACTTTTATCTATAAGTTTATCATCGGGTGTCAGTAGAGATGGCAACGGGGTCGGGGTTATCGGAGTTCATAATCCCCATCCCCGCTTTCTAATCCCATTTCCATCCGGGAATCAGGGGTTCCGTCTATACAATTTAATTTATTATGTGATGTTTTTATATATTATGTATATAAAATGACAAGTTTATGTTTAAATATCATATAATGCTTTGCATTTGTAAAGGGTAAACATAAAAAATGTAGTTCAGACACAAATATATCAATTACAATACTTAATAATTGAAGTTTGGTATAAACAACATCATTATATCAACGAAAGTTTCCCATGAACAACCAAATCAATAATTTAATTCTTTTACAAGTTTTCATCATGGAAGACTGATTATATTTATACATTATATATACTCATTGGGTTTCTAACTATATCATTAAACTTGGTATATATGTATGTACACAGAGAAATATATAACTAATACTCGGGGTTGGGGATGAAGGGTATCCCCATCCCCGGTTTATAAATTCATAGGGATTCCCCGTCCCCGGTCAACTCGGGGATTCCTTGGTCAAACCGAGGTTGGGTATCGGGTTCCCTGTCAGGTACAGGTTCTTTTTTGCCATTTCTAGGTGTCACAATTTGTCATTCTTGTTGCTCCAAAAATTGATAATTATATCTTGCTTACGCCACTTAAACTTTGACAATTTACAGTTTGTCCGCACTCATCGAGAACAAAATATTTTCCGTTCATGGTGGTCTTTCTCCTAACATCAACACGTTAGATCAGGTTTGAGACACTAGAATCGTATCCTTTTTTTCGAACCAATTTGTTTTCTAATTCTTCACTCTAATTGATTATAACAAGACCTATTTTCCAGATTCGAACGATTGATCGGAAGCAAGAAGTACCCCATGATGGTGCCATGTGTGACCTATTGTGGTCCGATCCAGAGGACATTGTGGAAGGCTGGGGTTTAAGTCCCCGTGGTGCTGGTTTCTTGTTTGGTGGCAGTGTCGTTACTTCTTTTAACCACACCAATAATATCGATTACATTTGTCGTGCACATCAGTTGGTAATGGAAGGTTTTAAATGGATGTTCAATAACCAGATAGTTACGGTCTGGTCAGCTCCAAATTACTGTTACAGGTAAATTTTCACACTTTACCGAGCTCTTACCGGCTAAGCGCTTACCGGGTGAGCTTGGCAAGGACCGGGAATCTTACCCGGTAAGAGACACAACAAAGATAGGATCTTATCCAGTATGTGATGGAGAAGACTCTTACGGTCTTACCCGGTAAGCGTTTTTACTAGGTAAAAACGCTTGACAACAATCCATTTTGGTGGCCAAAAATGTCACCGAATTGGTAAGTGAGGGTGGTGACTCTTGTTGGTAAGCGCTTACACAGTAAGCGTTTGGTAAATGTCCCCTAAGGAGCTGTTTAGCTCTTACCTGGTAAGTGCTTACCGGATGTCACTTACCGGGTGAGCATGACAAATATTGAAAATCTTATCTGGTAAGAGACATAGCAAAGACCAAGAATCTTACCCAGTAAGTAATAGAGAAGACTTTTACAGTCTTACCCAGCAAGCGCTTACCGGGTAAAAACGCTTACCAACCATCCATATTGGTGGCCAAAAATGTTACCGATAAGGTAAGTGAGGGTGGTGACTCTTGTCGGGTGAGCGTTTGATAAACGGCCCCTCAAGTGATTATAGCCTCTTATCTAGTAAGTAGTTTTTACCGAGTAAGAGATAATGTTGTTTACGAACACTTTCTGACCGATTAAGGGTCAAGAAGCTTACTTACCCGGTCAGAGCGTCTTACCCAATTTTTCTAGTAAACCCATGTCTGTACGGTTGTCTTCTGATCAAACTTTGTTATCCCTAATTAAATTTTAAATTTTTGTATTGCAGGTGTGGTAATGTAGCTGCCATTCTTGAGCTGGATGAGAATCTGAATAAACAGTTTCGAGTATTTAAAGCAGCTCCACAGGTTTGTCGTTGAGATCCCTTCCTGCTTTACGAAGTGCAACTCTAGTTTCTCATGAATGCTGACTGAAGGGTATTTAGAGGCGGGTCCAGAAAAATTTCCAAGCGGGACACAAAATAATTAGCATAAAATAACGCAAAAATTAATTATAAAAAGTCCGGTTCAATTAAAAAATGATATAGAAGTGGTTATTTGCATCTTGTTTTTTTTTTTTCCTTTTCTGCTGCTATTGTCAAAAAATTGAAAGAGAACCAAGGGATTCAAACTTAGGGGCTGTTTGGTTGGTTATCCGTTAAGTCCAATAATGATAAAGTTGTCTGTGTGGTTAGATCAGGAAGACTTTTGTTTGAGAGAGTTCTTCATAGATGGAACGGACGTGCCTTTTAATTGGGAGGGACAGGTTTAGAAAAAACTTGGCTTTTTGTATAAAGCTCTATTCTAAAAGCTTATTGAATAAGCCACTTTCTATATCATTAAGTCACTTCCAAATAGTGAAGTATAGCTGACCGAATAAGCTATGTAGGGAATGTTTCTTGGGAGCTTAATGAGCTTAATGGGACTTGCAACTTATGCGATCAGTATATACTTGATAACCAAAAACCTTCTCAATTTATTCAAAGAGATTAATCCAGACAGGCAGCTTTATTCATAGAGGACTTAATGGAAAACCAACCAAACAGCCCTTAGACTGTAATTGACTAATTTCTGTTGGAATGAATGAATTTGGTTATTTTTGAAATGCAGGAATCAAGAGGGGCTCCGGCTAAAAAACCGCCACCGGATTACTTTCTATGATAGTGGATTCCATGAATTCTTTACCCCATGGTTCCGGTACGCATGCATTTACTAGGAAGTTGATTGTATACTTTACAATGAAGGCACCCAAAGGATCAATTGACGGATCTGCACCTGGCTCATGGTTGGGCTGCCGTAATGGTGCATCACTGCATCCCGATTTCATTAGCCGTTCTCATTTGATCCCGTTTGCCCTCAAGAAAGTTCGGCTCACGATTGTGTTAAGGAGTAGTGTTAATGTGTGTTAGTATTGTTGTGCGTACCCAATTATTTCGAAAGGTGTGGTCTCATTCTGTAGAGCTTTAAAACGCATACCTTTGATTGTGGGAAACTAGTGGCGGTGAAGCGCCGCCACATTCCGCCAATGGTTCGGTTTGGGATGGTGGTGGTGCAAGTGACTTTGGGAGAGTGAAGTTGGCATATGGATCTTATAAAACACCTTTCCAGTTGCTTGTGTTTAGTTTATATTCTATCATCATCTTTCTTGAAGATCTAAATTTCTAACTCCAGGTGGACATGGAAACTGTCACATGAGAGTTTGCAAGGTAAAACCAAATTAACTTTTTAGCCGCTTTCGATATCGGATTCCTATTTTAGTCAAATTCACGTAGATGCTTTACGCATGTGCATAAAAGCCTTTTTTATGAAACAAAAAATAGAATTTGCAAATCATAAGGGTGGTGTCTGATTGGTTTGAGCTCGACTCCAAAGGCCAAAAGTATCAGGAAGTCTCAGGTTCAAATTCAAGGAGGAATAAAAATTCACTTGTGGCTACGGAGGTTCAAATACGGTGACTCCGGGCTATCTGCAAAGCAGGTGGTCGTACTAGGATTAGTCGGTTCGCATAGCGGGTTGGATATCCAGGTTAATAAAAAATATAGACTTTGTACAAATGCCTAAGGCATTTGTGTAAACTCTGGGTAAAATGAGGAATTTGATTGAAAAATGGCTAAAAAGTGAAATTGATTGGTGCATCTGAGAATTTTTAATTGGATAGTTGTAAATAGCCTCAGGGCTATGGAACAAAATGGTAATGGGCTTGGGTTATGAACTTATAATTTGATGATCGAGTCGATTCTATGATTATAAGTTCATTTCATACCGGACCAGACCGAGATAGGGTTATATACATTCTCATTATGAGAAGGGGTCATTTGAGTGTATAACCTGTGTCTGCATCCCGAAAGCACCCTTCACTTTTTTTATTAAAAATAAATTTTGACATACTGTAAGGTATGGGAATCAATTAGTTTCAACAATTCATTAATTTTAATGGAAAATATTATATCTGTTCTTTTTAGAAAAGATAAAAAATTTTATTATTGTAAAGGTCGATGGGGAAAAGAACACTCTTCCGTCACCACAATTTGAGTGGAAATATACTTCTAGTATGACCACATCTGGTGTCGGGGTGATATTCATGCGTTATCGTTAGTGGTGTAATGACACGATAATTTACGGTAAAAAAATTTAATTATTATTTTTTGTGTGTACGTATACGGAGGGACGGTTGAAGAAATATCTAGTAAGAAAGAAAGATCAAGAGAAAATTCATGTATAAATCATTCAAAAAAATCCGAAAAAATTTATTTGACAATACATATATGAATCAATGTTATAGATTATTTACCAGTTCACATATATCTATACTATATTATAAAGCATTTGACAAAAACTTTTAAAAACCATTCTTTATGCATGAAGCACTGTTTAATAATGCATATTACTTAAAAATTAGGAGCTGCTTTTCCGGCCGAGAAAGCTATTGAGTGAATGGTCCCAAAAGGGACGGGAAAAAGCCACAATCTCTTCCAGAAATAGGAGCTCGAAACATTTAAGATTATAAGTAAATTGTGTGTAATTACAACTTATTAAAGCTCCATTTTTGAATTCGTATAACTAAACGCAAATAAACGTAATCAAATACATGATAAACATCTCATTTTAAATATAAAAAATTTAAAATATAATTAGGATAATCATTGAGTATTAACAGAATCATTATCTTTATAAAAATTATATTGTTAAGCCAAGAATAAATTATTTCGCTATTAGACCTAAATTAAATTATAATAAAAAATTGAATTAAAGAAATTATACAAAAAACGAGATTTTAAATTGCTAATTTGATATTAATATCGATATATTTTTTAAAATTTTATGATATATTCAAACTTATTTTTATTCAAAACTAAAAACATTATCTTTATCAAAACCACATAAAACGTATTACATATTAAAAGAGACAATAAATAAAATGAAACATTAAAATAAAGATGTATTTCGTTGAATTACACAAGTACCCTTCTAGTGTATTTAAATTCATACATAGAATGGTGGGTCTGTATTTGATAGACAGATAATTCGACTTTGCTTAAATATAAGACATGATGATCTGTCTGGCTTCAGCCATTCAGTTTTCGACCTTTTGCTCAAATTTATTATGAAATGGTAAAAAGTATAGTGATATTCCATTATTCCTTTTTTCAGGGGGTGTTTAAGATTGCTTATAAAAATAATTTATTGACTTATTTCGGTGTGACATCATAAATAACTTATACCGGTGCTAAACCGGTAATAAAAAGTTTTTAAAGAAATTAAATCCTTCTAACTTATAATAAGTTGATAAATATTTTTATAAAAAAAAAATAAAAAAAAATACATAAGCTATTTTCAAAAAAACAATCCCAATCACCCCTAATTCTTGGAATTAATATTATCATCTCCAATTTTATACGTACAAAAGTAGGTAACGTATTTCGTTTGATTTGCTCCCCAGCTCCACATGACACGAGGCAGCTCGTTTTCTTCATTTTCTTCAAGTTAACTGCAATCCATGCTCTTAAACGAGCAAAACATGCTGATTTGACTTTATTTTTTTTGAATTTCTTTCCTCATGATGTGTTTGAACGATTGAATACTTCTCCAATTTCAATCCACTATTTCAAGTTTTTCCATAATTCTTCATGGGTCGAAGACTTCTCTTCATCTTTTTAGTACCCCTATTATTGCTTTCTTCATCTACTCGTGTTGAATCAGGTGAAAATGATTTCATATCTTTTGGTATTTCCGAAAAGGGTCTCGAATTTGCTAAGGATTTACTGATAAACAATGCGATTTCATCGTTGATTCCTCTTCAATTGCCCCAAATCGAACAAAAAGTTCAAATCCCATTAGTTGGAACGGTTCGTATGGTTCTATCGGATATTGTTATATATCAGGTTAATGTTTCTTCTTCGATTGTTCAACCTGGTGAGATTGGTGTTACGATTGTTGCTTCTGGTGCGACTGCTAATTTGAGTTTGAATTGGAGCTATTCTTATAGCACTTGGCTGTTTGATCTTTCTGATAGTGGATTGGCCTCTATTCAGGTAAATGTCATAGCAGCGCAGTTGAATAATTTTTTCTGGTCTTAGGTAAATTTCTGAAGTAATTTGTTATTGGTTTGTATGTGTGAGAATATGTGGAAGTGACCACCAGATTAATCTCCGAAACAGCCTTTGAGGAGAGAAGGGAGGTTCCAACATATTCAAAAGGGAAATGGTTCAAGTCTAGCTGACGTGGGACTCTACCATGCCCCCTTTAATGGAGGCTAGACGGGTACAGATTGTCATAGGGTATAAGAGAGGGTAGATGGGTGAGGGGTACTAGACGAGTGTAGATTGCCCACAATGTTTAGCCCCTTGAGTGGTAAACCTTGGTTGTGATACCATGTGAGAATATGTGGAACCCTAAATTACTCTCCAGTAGAGCCTTAAAGAGAGGTTTCAACATATATAGAAAATAAATGGTCCAAGTCTAGCCAGACTAGGATTGTAACACGCCCCTCCAACGGAGGCTAAATGGGCACAAATGGTCCTAGGGTGTCGAGAGGGGGTTAGATAGGTGTGGGGTGCTAGACGAGTATAGATTGCCTCAAAGTGTTGAGCCACTAGAATAGTATACCTTGGCTCTGAAACCATGTGAGAATATGTGGAACCCAGATTACTCTCCGAAGGAGCCCTTGAGGGGAGAGAAGGGAGGTTCCATCATATATTGTAGAGAAATGGTCTAAATCTAGTTGATGCGGGACTCTATCAGTATGATCTTCTTGTAGCTACATACCCTAATCTTGTCATCAAACTTGAATATGGTAGTTCCTATTTATGAAGATAAAGCATCATTTTTGTCATTCTAAACTTTTTTTAAGTGAATAAAGAGTGATTAGTGACTAGCATTTTGGACCATTCTATTTGGAAATTTGTTGCCAAACTATTAACACACTTGCAAAAGTCTGAAAATCCAAACACTCAAGTTTGCAGAAAATAGCAAATGGGACAGTAAAATTGTCTGAAAATTTGCAATGAAGAACCATTATGTTCATTAATTGCCATCTGCAGTGTTCTTTTACATTTTTGTAAATATGTTGGTGGAAGTGTGTTTACCATGCAGCGGCATACTTATTTGAGCAATAAAGTTTCAACACTAGAAACCAACTTATTGAGTTCGTTATGATGGAAAACGGCATTTTGAACCTTCTTTTTTAATGATCCATAGATGGCAAGCAAGACCGTCAGCAAAGATTCATTTTGTGCTAATCTTGTCATAGGTTACAATAAATTCTGTAGTTATCTATAACATGTTTCTCACGATATGCTATGGCATTTGTAAGGTATGTTCTCAAGTGTCAAACATGGAAAGGGATTTATTATGTGTTTTTATACGGTTTTTTAATGGGAACAAAATGAGAGTTTCTTGCTCATAAAGATTTCGTTTATTTTTCCTTCCGATTTGTTTTTGTGTTTGAAACAACCACTCTACCCTTTGAGGTAGAGGTCAAAACTCCCACCCCTCCCACTCATAGACTCTCTCAGGCGGGATATATTGGGGTTTGTTTGGTTTGTTAATTTGTTTTTGTGGTTGCACCTCTTGGAGCATCTCCAACGGGAGGTTCTTATCAGCAAAAAGTGTAGTGACTTATAAGAACTACCATTGGAGAGAGTTCTTATAAGTCACCCACATTCTTAGAGTTCTTGTACAAGAACTTTGGTTCTTACCTTGTTTTTTTTGAAGTATATAATATTTATATACGGCAAATGCAACAAATAAACTCACACACCCTCTTCACCTTTGGTGAGGTTTGAACCCTTTACCTCCTAGGAAGCCAGGGCTACGATACCGCTAGGCCGAAGGCCCTTTGGCTTCTTACCTTGTTTTTGTGTGAAAGACATATTATTAGGTTTTTATATAATTTTTGTATCCATATTATTGATGTTGATAATACATGGGACCCACAAAAGGAGGTTCTTATTAGTCACTACTATTGTAGAGTGTTATGTTAGTTCTTAATTGTTGAGTTGGCAACGATGTGGCCAAAGAAAGTGCAAAAAGGTTCTTAGAGCATCCCCAACAGATTGTTGAAGAATTTGAAGATTTTAGGCAAAATTTTGCTCCAATAGATTCTCCAAAAATGGAGAAAGCATGAGAGAGTGTGAAATTCTCCAAATTTTGAGAACTCCCCAAAAATGATTACCATGAGAAAGAAACAATATTTTGTTATATTCCCACCAATAAGAGACCTAGATGTTAAATGTTTACGAGAGAGAAATAATATTTTATAACATGTATAAGATATTCTTAATTTCCAGTAATATAATTATATTGTACTCTCCAAAATAGAGAATCTGTTGGAGTTGAATGTAATTTTTTCTTAGAGATATTGAGTTTTGATTATCCATTTTGGAGAATCTGTTGGAGATGCTCTTAAACTTACACCGCCTTTTTTAGTAGAAAGCTAATGAATTCTTCGTTTTGCAAAGGTTGAAGGTATGGAAATCGGGTTGACGCTGGGTTTAAAGAATCAACAAGGAAGTCTTAGCCTGTCTCCTGAAGATTGTGGATGTTATGTCCATTATATCTCCATAAAGTTAGAAGGAGGAGCATCTTGGCTTTATCAAGGGTATCTTTTCAGGCCTTCTCCTTTTCACTTGTTCTGATTCAAAATTATTCATGATGTATATATATATAGGGTCAGGTACCGTAAAAAGATGAAAAACTGAGGAACACCCTAGTAATCCTTCATTTGTACAGTATACACATGTGCATACAAGTAATTGAAGATGTTTCTTAGTTTCTATACACGTATGCATAACATGCATACAAGTAATTTGTAAGTAATTTTTCCTGTTATGCACACATGCATAGAAACCAGGAAACATCTTCAATTATTTATATGCACATGTGCATACCGTACGGTTGAAGGATTACTAGCGTTTCCTCAGTTTTTCAATTATGGTTTTCCCATGCACAAAATAGCAATCCACTTTCATAAATTTATGTATTATAGCATTGTACTTCCAGTTTTTCTTATTACAGCAATGTACTTTCAAATTATTTTTTATTAGGATATTGTACTTTGAAAATTTTACCCATTATAGCATTGGGTAACCTTTTGATTTAAATTTACCCGTTATACCAGGTTTCCATGCCACATAATTGTCCACGTAGACTGTCCACATGTACTATAGTGACGTGACTTTCTTACTACATCATTGTACTTTCAAAATTATTTTATTATAGCATCTACTAGTTCTTATTAAACACTGTATTTTTAATTTTAATATTTAGATATTTTACATGTTATTTAATAAATATATTAAATTAATTAGATTTTTTTGAATTATTTATTAATGTAACAATATTAAAAAATTGTAGATCACAATTTATTTCGTTAACATTTTAAAGAGAACTTTAAAAGATATGTATTTATTTTAACAACATAAAATAAGAAGTGTTACCTTTTTTACAAACAAAATATATCTCGAAAATAATGTTTCATATTTGTTTAGGAAATATTTTACCCTAGAATATTTAATTTGCATGCAACTTAATAAGAAAAAGACAAAAATAAAATTTTCTAATAGATCATAGCAATGAAAAATGAAAATCACTAATAATAATTTGAAATAGGTTTTTATTTTTATTTTAGTTAAGTCATCAAAGTGATGTGTCATCCACATCACCTCATTAAAGCCACACAAGCAAAAAAGTCAAGAGGTTAACCGGTTTAAAAGGTAACAGGTTACCCATTGCTATTATAGGTAGATTTTTAAAAGTACGATGTCTTAATAAAAAATAATTTGAAAGTACATTGTTATAATAAAGAAAAACAAAAGTAGAATGCTATAATATAAAAATTTATGAAAGTAGGTTGCTATTTCATGCATTTAACCCTATATATATATATATAGAGAGAGAGAGAGAGAGAGTGAGAGAGATAGTTGGGTTCAAACAATAACGGTACGTCGGTACCATTTTAGAGGACGGTCGAATCACATGTGATTTTACACTAACATCAAGTACAAAATCACATGTGATTCACACGACTTTGCCCCCTCAACCTAAAGACGCAGCCGTAGGGTCGCCCGCACATTTTTTGGCCTTTAATGTAAAATCACATCTGGTTTTTCACATGATTTGGCCGTTTTCATATTTTTCCTTAAATAGTTAGCATTCTCGTTTGCTCCTCCCTCTATATATATATATGCAAAAAGAATGAGTCCCTCCATCCCAAAATAGATGAAAATTTTCCTTTTTGGCTAATTTTTAATGCATATTTACCTCTTTGCCATTACTGATGATTGAAAAGTATTGGTAGCCATGATTGTGCTACCCAAGATTCCCGTATTTTCTTATAATTTAGGGGTATTTTAGATATTTGACTAATAGTCTTATCGTTTTCATTTATCTAATGTCAAATGTTGCATTTGGTTTGAAGTGATGACTTTTAGAACCATAAGCATGGCTTTCATTGCTAACTAACAATTAACCGAAGTATCCTGGCAAACCATACAAACCCAGTATGTCCCACTTGTGGTGGGGTCTAAGGAGTGTAAGATGTACGCAGACCTGACCTCTACCCAAAGGGAGAGTGGTTGTTTCGACGAATACCATCGACTTGTGAAAAGAGGGGGACCCACAATCGTGCATACGGTGGTACGGGACACCCCTTCGTTCCTCCGTCATAGTTTAAAAAATTAGGGTCGTGAAGGTGACCACCGTATTAATTGCGACCATTTCTTTTAGTAGAATTAGCTTGCATAGTCTTTTCGCCCCTTCCCAGCTTACATTTGAATCTCGTTTGTATCATTTTCTTAGTTTTTAGCTTTTAATTTCAGTTTATTATGTTTATGAAAATTTTGGGATAAAAGACTCGAACACAGGAGCTTACATGCAAAAAGCAAGGAACTAACCAACAAACCAATGATGATTTTGTAAAAAAAATCCTTAGCTTCGTTTTTTTATGGTCAAATTGTGGCACCACTTGAAAAAAAATTATAGGTCCGCCTCTGTGAACTACATAAATGTAAAAACAAGAACCATCCTTGCCATTTGTGTCCAAAAAATCGTTCTAATTCTTGATTTTTATTATTATTATTTTGCATTTTAGCAAGAAAGATGGTTGGTCAACTTTCTCTTATTGAGCTCGTTTTTTCCAGAATAGTTGATTATTTTGAAGACGACATAGTTTCTGCAGTCGAAGATACCATTACCAAGAATGTGATGGATGGGGTGATGAAGCTTGACTCGATTTCTGAATCACTTCCAAAAGAAATCGCTTTTGGGGATGTTGCTACGTTAAATATCACCATTACTGAGGGTCCTATCATGACCAATACTTCTCTTCTTATTGGTATTGATGGGTTATTTACACAAATTGGCTACGGAATAACTTCTGGTCGTTACGGTAACAGTTTGTTGTCAACTGGTTCGTGTAATAATGCAGAGAAGATGGTCGGGATTTCGGTGCATGAAAATGTTCTTAACTCGGCATCAGTAGTGTATTTCAATGTAAGTTCTCACTGATTATGGATCACTAATCATATGAAACTCATAGAATCTTTGGGATTAATTTTGTAACACTTGAGTGGTTTATGTGTGTGTGTGTATAGGAATAGTTCTAGGAGAAAACCCCCCCAAAAAATGAAAAATTGAGGAATACCCTAATAACCATTCATCTGGACTGTATGTACATGTGCATACAAGTAATCAAAGTTGTTTCTTGGTTCTTATGCACATGTGCATACCGGACAAATTGCTTACAAATTACTTGTATGCACATGTGCATACTGTCCAGATAAAGGGTGACAGGGTGTTCCTCAATTTTTCATTTTTTTTTTTTGCGGTTTTTTCTGAACCTGACCTTATAGGAATAATTAAACGAGGACCCTTATATAGATAGTCCCCTTCTTGCACAGGCCCAATAATTCGTACAAACTTACAAACCATATTTCATGTCTTGTTTCATATATGAGACAACACACGTGAAAATGCAGTGTTTATGTAGTGTTGTTTCATATGTGAGACATTCAAGGCAGTTTTTCCATCACACGAAACAGTCCTGGACGTTTCACATATTAAGCAACATTGTTTACAGTGCATTTTCACATGTTTTCTTTCATATGTGAAACAACACATGAAAAATGGCTTGTAAGTTTGTACGATTTATTGAGTTTGTAAATGATTATGCGTCTCTCTATATATATGTACATATATATATATATATATATACACACACATACCCATACACACACGTATAGATACATACATATGTGTATATATCATGTATTATAATATGTTTATATATCATAAAAGTTATTATACTACCCTCATCTGATGTTTGTTTATAGATATAAATAATTAAAATATATTATATCATTTATATATTATAACAACTTATTCACCATTTTCCTGTCTTGTCCTAGTCATACCAAACAGTTGGTCCATTGTAGTTCCGTCCGTGTATCAAACACACTCTATTAGTGACCACTCGGTTGTAGTTGTCACTCCATGTAGCTCTGTTGGGGAGAAAACACACATATATATATATAGGATCAGGTTCAGTGAAAACTGCAAAAAAATGAAACATTGAGGAACACCCAGATGTTCATCTGGACCATATGCACATGTGCATAACATGCACACATGCATAAAAATCAAGAAACAATTTCAATTACTTGTATGCACATGTGCATACTGTCCACATGGATGGTTATCGGGGTGTTCCCCAGTTTTTCATTTTTTTTTGGGGTTCCCTTGAACCTCCCTCTCTCTCTCTCTCTCTCTCTCTCTCTATATATATATATATATATATATATTTGTGTGTGTGTGTTATCTAAGCACATGTGTGCTTTCTTTCTTTAATTATTAATGAAATATATACGTTATCACACTCGTAAAACAACAGCCTAAACTCCAAGGTTGAGTTTTTTTGCCACTTGGATCGATGTCGGAACTCACTTGCATTTTCTTGTTTCAGACAAATAAGATGTATTGGATCATCGAAAACTTACCAGAGCAGAAGCTATTGAACACCGCCGGATGGAGATTTATAATTCCAAAGTTGTATAAAGAATACCCAAATGACGAAATGAGCTTGAATTTTACTATTTTGTCACCTCCGATCATAGAAGTTGAAAACCAGGGTATCGTTGCTTCGGTATCCTCAGATGTCATCATCAATGTCGTGGATAATGGCGATGTTATTCCAGTTGCTTGCATCTCGATGGTATGTATATGTTACCCTGAATATCCCATATGCCCTCGGTTTAATTCTTGGCGTCCACAACAATTGTGGCCACTGAGTTGATCAGGTCTGATGTCTTACAGTCACAATTTGCCGGGATTAATCTGGGCATAGACTAGGACACCCTTCCAAAAAAAATGTTTTATGCAACTACTTCCTCCCTCCGGGAATAAGAGTCCACGTTTCTATTTTTGTCTCAAAATAAGTGTCAATTGTCAAAAGTAAGCGTCTACTTTCCCATTCTACCCTTAATTCTGAGATGGAGAAAATTTCTTTGTCATTTAGTTAACTAAAAAGTGTAAAGAGTATCTCTAACAGATTCCCCAAAATGGAGAAAATAGAGATTTTGGGAATTTTAGGCATGTTTTTGGCTCCAACAAATTCTCCAAAACCTTTCTCCGAAATGGAGGAAGTAGGAAAGAGAGCGTAAAATTCTCCAAATTTGGAGAACACCCCCAAAATGATTAACAATGAGAGAAATATTATTTAATACATTTCCACCAATAGGAAACTTTTTTTTTTTTGATTAACCTGGAGCCGACCCGCTACGCGAGCAGACTAATCCCAGGGCGACCACCTGCGCTTTGCAGATAGCCCGGAGTCACCGCATTTGAACCTCTGTGGCCACAAGGGGATTTTTATTCCTCCTTGGATTTGAACTTGGGACCTCCTGGTACTTTTGACATTTGGAGCCAAGCTCAAACCCATCAGGCACCACCCTTGTGGTTCATATTTAGTTATATAATTAATGTTATAATCTCCGATATGGAGATTCTGTTGTAGTTGAATGTGTACCCTTGTAATAGAGAATCTGTTGTAGTTTAATCTATTGTATCCCCAAAGATAATAGCCAGGAAAATCCCCTGTGGCTTTGGAAAAAGCCTTTATCTGCTAATTGATTATTTGTATTTTACGCGTTCAGAGATGGCGAAAATGGCTCGTTTTTGACCAACGAACGAGTTGAGCTTATTGGCTTGTGCTTTTTTTGCAGGAGATCAAAGCTTCGGGGTCTGCAGGTATCTCATTGAGCACTCTTGCTGGTGGTGTTAGCTTAAGCAAACTCACAATGTCTCTGAAATGGAGTAAAATCGGCACCCTGCATATGGTCCTTGTTCAGGTACATTCGTCTTTAATCTTTGGTTGCGTATCATTAAATGGGATATTGATATCGTTCAGTAAAAAAAAGATGCATTTCGACTTTTAAGGTGAAATAGAGCTATATTCCAATTAATTTGACACCCCCGCATTAAACTTTAAGCTAAATATACATTTTGGTAACCCGAATGCTACTCCCTCTGTCTCAAAATAAGTGTTAGGTCACCATTTTAGTTTGTCTCAAAATAATTGTCGCAGTTTTAAAAGTAAAATCCTACTTTCCCATTCTAACCTTAAGAGGTGGAGAAAATTTCTCTATTACCAGGGATAAAATTGTCCTTTTGTTAATTAAGGTGTAACGATTTCATATTCCTAAAAGTGTGCAATTTTCACTGTGGACATTTATTTTGGGACGGAGATAATATTTGATTGATCATTAAAAAAATCCACATCGATGTCTTTTTCATTTTAGGGGAGTTTGGATGTGGGTTTTTAACGTGATTATTGTGATGTTTAAGAATCCAAATTGAAATCAGATAATTAGTTGCAACAAAGGGATTAAGGTGAACCACAAGGATTGTGGCATAGTGGTTGAGGTTATGAGGGATGTTGTGGAATATCTCATCTGTGCAAGGTTTGGTACAGTACACAACAATTATGGTCACTGAGTTTATCAGGGTTGATTTCTTGTAGTCATAGTTTGTCGAGATTAGTTCAGGCATATGTGACACCCTTCAAAAAAAAGGGATTAAGGAACCACAAGGGTGGTGCCTGATTGGTTTGAGCTTGTCTCCAAAGGTCAAAAGTACTAGGAGGTCTCAGGTTCAAATTCAATGAGTAATAAAAATCCCCTTGTGGCCACGGAGGTTCAAATGCGGTGACTTCGGGCTATCTGCAAAGCAGGTGGTCGCCCTGGGATTAGTCGGCTCGCATAGCGGGTTGGATATCCAGGTTAATCAAGAAAAAAGAGGATTAAGGTGAATTGGAATAAGATAATTAGTTGCAACAAAGAGATTAACGGTGTGGATGTGAATATGTGAAACCCCATTAGATTACTCTCCAAAAGAGCTTTTGAGAAAAGAAGTTAGGGAGGTTCCATTACGTATTGAGGAGAAATGGTCCAAGTTTAACTGATGTGGGACTCTAACGATGGATAATTGGTTAATTCACATTTACTCCCAAAAATCAGTTCTACTGTAGCAACTCCTTGCATATTTCTTTCAAAATATCGCTATGAGGAAAGATCCAGAGAGAACCCTAAAAAACAGAAGAACCCATCCAAACTGTTGATTGAGATGATCCGATTGAAATGATTAAAAAGGTGGTCTTTATAAAATAAAATATTATCTCTTATTTGTTAAATCGACAAAATATAATGAAAATCGGAGCCAAACGAATTACACCAAAAAAATTGTCATTTTCTTATAATTTGACATCAAATTTCCGTATATTTTTTTCTATCTTCTTTTTTGTGGTTCGTTTTTTTCTTCAGGGTTCTCTTTAGATCTCACCCCTGCCGTTGTTTTTGCGTAAAAATCGAATATCATATTTGTCAAGCATCAGAAAACAAATTATTGCAATGGAGCACATACGAACACGCCTCGTAGTATCCTTCTTTTAAAAGTATATATTAATTATAAAAAGCAAAAATCACGCACACTCTTCACTTTTTGTGAGGCTTGAACCATGTTCCTCTAAAAAAGTTGGGATCTAGCGAAACGTGGATACTGCTAGACAATTGACGTTTTGGTCCGGTTGGTATATTTGTCGGCAATCATGTTGACGTTTTCTTTGTCTACAATATCTTCAACGAACCTTGGACTTGACGCAAGTTTTTGGAATTTTTGCAGTCTGTTATGTCGGCGTTTCTGAGAAGGATCATCTTACCGGTCGTGAATTTACGTCTAAAGATAGGATACTCTTTACCTGATTTCCATGGCTACGGGCTTCAGAATGCCTCGATTATCTATGGTGATTCGAAGATTATTGTTTGTAGTGATGTTGATCGTGCATATGAATACGTTTCTCACTTAATTTTGAAGTGAACGGATATTGTTGTACGATAGGTATTAGATAATTTTGGAGTCTCGGTATGTCGATCGGGATCATGTATTGAGTAGTCTTTGTATATTGTACTAGTATTAGATATCATGTTGTAGATGCAATAATTTAGTTGTATATTTGTAGACCAATATCCAATTAATGCAATAAGCCTTGAACCCTTTTAATTATAAAATTAAGGGCAAATTGCATGAAAATGTTATGTATTTTAACTTGATTCTTATTTTGGGTAAACGTGTTTTTAAAACTTCTATTTTGGTATCTAAGATGTAAAATTTTAAACATTTAAGTATCCGGATAACCGATTAAAGCATTAACTGGTTATCGCTCTAAGTCATAAAAAAGTACCCAATTTTTAGATTGATGTTGTTATACAAAATTTGGCCAAAAGACTAAAATGTCCGGATTGTAAATCAAACATTAAAAAATTCAGTTGTTACAGTATACAAAATAACTTTGTATTGGCAAGCCAGGTTTTTTATATTAACTTGGATATCCAACCCGTCATGCGAGCCGACTAATCTCAGGACGACCACCTACTTTGCAGACAGTCCAGAGTCACTGCATTTGAACCTCCGTGGTCACAAGGGAATTTTTATTCCTTCTTGGATTTGAACCTGAGACCTCATGTACTTTTGACCTTTGGAGCCAAACTCAAACCAATTGGGCACCACTTTTGTGGTTGAAGTTATCTCTTTTTAAGTATAATATTTATATACGGCAAATTAGAACAAGTAAACTCACACACCCTCCTCACATTTGGTGAGGTTTGAACCCCTGACTTCCTAGGAGACCAATGACTCACATGCTGCTAGGCCAAAGACCCTTTGGCAAATTTAAAGGGTATAGTCAACAACAAGAAAGGGGTTTGCCGACAGCCAAAGCCGAAAAGAGAAAGGAGGGAGACAAGGGGGGGAATGCGAAGGGGAAGTTTGTCGCCGAATCCCTGTTTGGATGGGTAAAAAATAACTTATAAACTAGCTTATTGAAATGTTACTTAAAATAATTTTTTAATAAACTTCAAAAACTTTTTATCGTTTTCTTCCAATTAACCCCTAAGTAGTATTAGGGGATGTTTGTTTGGCTCTTAATGGTTACATTAAGAGCCAACCTCTTAATCGGTAAGAGGTTGAGGTTGTTTGACAAAAAAAAATCTCTGAATGGTTACATTTTCCCTCTTAACCATTTTGCATCTAAGGGGTTTCTAAATCATTCAGACTTCTCTTTTTCCATATTTGCCCTCTCTCCCATCATTCCTCACACATCGCTCACAGCCCCTCCCCCCACCCTACAATCGCTGCCGCCTCGTCGCCGTCTCCGGTCGCAATTTCTTGAGGATTTGATACTGATATGAAGAACAACATCTTTTCTATATATCCGTTTAGAATTTATTGTATTTCTTGAGGGTTAAAATGGTAATTTGTTGTCATTCAGAGAACAATTACCAAACAATCTTGTTTCATTCAGCACATAACCATTCTGATCCTCTTAGCCATTCTAACCTCTTAACTATTCTGAACTAAATCATTCAGCAACTGTCAAACAGCCCCTTAATATTAATTGTAGATTACTAATAAATACTTAGGTGGTGTTTGTTTTTTTAAGAGGTACTGAAATCTGAAGTTCGATTTCACTTATGATTTATAAGAGGTGGTCCTGAAATTTGACATCAGTAAAATTGTTTGTTTTTACGTTTGAAGTCTGAAATTTGAATCGGTTAAACTAGTGCAAAAATATAAAAGATAAATAGTCTTTTACAAAAAGTATATAAGATAAATAGTTTTTGCTAACAAAACTCTTCCAGTCTCCAAAATATAAATCATTTGGTAGAGGGAAGATTAAGATTAAAAGGTATTAAAGTATATGTTTACCACTTAAAACTTCAGATGACATTTAGGGGTTTTAAACTCTTATCTATACTACCTTTTAAACCAGATTTATCAAAAGTCTTAAAAACAACTTTTAATGCACATAGTACTATACATTTATGCACAGAGTCTTAAAAACAACTCATAATGCATTAAGTACTACTACTTTATGCATTAAGTCTTAAAATCTCTTAATCTACAATTAAAATAACATATAGTACAAGTTAACGATGCACATTATTACCTTTTCTTTTCATGTTTCCAATATATCGTTGACACATTTCACTCATTCCTTCACATTCTCATACCTCTATGTTTTCTCTCCACCCCCACAGTGATTTTTGTATTTTTTAATGAATTGTTGCACTCATTTTTAGTTGTAAGCTTATTATAAAATTTGACATCCCGCCGCATTGCGCGAATAAAATAAACGCTCTTAATACCCAAACGTCTGAACAAATCGGACTTCAAAGATATTAAGAAGTAATTTTGAAAAAACAAACAGACCGTTAGACATGCTTTTCAAGGTCCTCAATTCCAATTTTTCAATATTCACAACACATTAGTTTTACTTCATGTACAAAATGCATATGCATGATATTATCATTCATAATATAAAGTTGGTAAAAAGAAATATATTTGTACAATAGAGCGAGACGTAACGATAACTAGAATGCAACAGATATCTTGAAGGTAACTTCGTTTGAAATCAACACAAGGGTAACCTTGTCATTTTACCATTTATTTGCATATCTTAATGAAATTAAAAGTACAACAATTAAAATCATTAAGGGGTCGTTTACCCAAATATATACCCAGTAAGTGCTTACAGTAAGAGTCAAACTATGGTTTATTTTATCGGATAAGATTGTAGTACATCAAAACGTATCTTATGCAACAATTTACCTGGTTAGCGCTTACCCTAGTAAGAGCCGTCACCCTCACTTACCGGATAAGACTCTTCATATTTATCATCGTTCTTGTTAGGTAATATTTTTGGCTCTTACCATGTTCATCAGTGAGGAAAATTGCCCAGTAAGTACTTACTAGGTAAGCGTTTAGTAAACGACCTCTAACACACGTTACAGCCTGATTATAATGGATTTAATGTTATACGAGCATCTCTGATAAATCATCTAAAACAGAGAAAACGAGGCTTTTGTTCAAACAAGTTTTTTATATTTTTCTATGAAATAAGAGAAAGCTAGAGAATACTGCAGATTTAAAATACCTGATATATGGCGAGAAAATAATTTTTTATTCATATATACCGATGAGAATAAATTATTATTATTTTATATAATTTTTATAAAAGCATATTAAAATAATAAATTTATAGGATATTTAATGATATAATATATATTATTGCTGTAAAATTTCAAGTGTAAAAAGGTGATGTCATGGGTCTCAGGAAAACATATTGATGTCATGTGATCCCAAGTGTAGATAGTTATTGGAGCATTTTTTTTTTCTTCCCACATCTCTAATTTTTTTTAAAATAATATAATTGTTGGAGATGCTCTAATAACATCTCCAACATATTCCTAAATTTCTCCAAAAATAAACAACCAAAAGTTGAAATCTCTAATGATACCCAACAGATTTTCCATTTTAGAGAATCTAACATTAATTAAAATATTTCATCTCCCTAATAAAAATATTATTTATTTCTCTAAATAATTATTTTCAAAGTTTTATATTTATAGAATTATAGTAAAAAAAATACATCATTTTTTAGATGGTCTCCGTATTTGGAGAAAGAACCATTCTCTTTCATACTTTCTTTGTTTTGGAGATACTTTTAGGTAGTCTTTGGTATGCAGACTGCACGAGACGAGACATGATAGAACTGAACAAGACTGAACTAACTATATGTCTTACGTTTGACATGACTAAGACATAAGTGGACTAACTGTTTGTCTTCCATTTGATAATATGGTAATTTTGTTAATTAGCCCTGTCTTGTTCCTCCCAAAAAATCTTAGGTGTTGTTTACCAAACGCTTACTCGGGTAAGTGAACATCAAGTCACATTACTTTACCGGATGAATATGGTAAGGACCAATAATCTTACCCGGTAAGAGCGATACAAGGACCAAAAGTCTTACCCGGTAAGTAAGGCGCGACGTCTCTTACCACGGTAAGCGCATGAATATGGTGAGGACCAATAATCTTATTCGGTAAGAGCGAGACAATGACCAAGAGTCTTACCCGGTAAGTGAGGGCGACGAATCTTATCACGGTAAGCGCTTACCGGGTAAATTGTTGCATACGAAACCGTTTTGGTGGACTAAAATCTTACACGATAAGTAAATAATAGTGTTAAATTTTACCGGTAAGCGCTTACCGGATAAGTGTTTGGTAAACGGCTCCTTAGTTGAAAACTAGTCGTTGTCCCATCCTATTTTTGTCACATGATATACCAAACACGAGACTATTTTTTTTTCACGTCTCGTCTCCATTTTTTCATTTTAAAGAATTCGTTAAAGATACTCTGATAATCTTAAAAGCAAAAAATGACCATCATTTTTTATACTCTACTTAAAATACTGATCTTAGGTCCTTTATGGTTTGCAAGAATGAAATGAATTTGGGGGATTTGGATTTCAAATCAATTCCAATCCCATTTTTGTTTGTTGAATTGTCCGGATTTGAAATCCTATAAACACAAGATTTTGAAATCATCAGGGGGTGCTCGGGATTTCGTAGGATTGTATGCAATAAGGTTCCAAAAAAATGTTAAAACGTTTGTTTTGTAATAATCGATTAATAAAAATGTAATTTAATTATTTTTATAAATAATGGAATCCAATTCCTACAAACCAAACACACCAATGACCTTAAATTCCTTCCAATCTAAATCTATACATCTATACTATATTATAAAACATTTGACAAAAAATCTTAAAAATCGTTTTTAATGCATGAAGTACTGTATATTGATGCATATTACTTAAAAATCAAGATTACAAGTAAATTATGCATAAATACAACTTATTAAAGTTCCATGTTTGAATTTGTGTAACTAACTACGGATAAACACAATCAAACAGAGAATAAATATCTTATTTTAAAATCTAAAAAATCTAAAATATAATTAGGATAATTATCGAGTTCTAACAAAATAATTAATTATTATCTTTATAAGAAAATTATATTATTAAACAAAATATAAATTACTTCGATATTGAACCTAAATTAAATTATAATAAAAAAATAATTAAAAAATTACACAAAAAATAGGAATTTTAAATAGTAAATTTGATATAAATATCGATATATTCTTGTCAAAATTTTATGATATCTTTAAGTTTATATTTTATTCAAAAATAAAAACACCATCGTTTTTTCAAAATCACATAAGACCATACTATAACATCGACTGAGATAAAAATAAAATGAAATATTAAAATCAAGATGTATCTTGCTGCATTGCACGAATACCCTTCTAGTAAAATCTGAATCCCTCAAAAATAATCATAACAGACACTTAGGGATCGTTTACTAAACGCTTACCCAGTAAGTACTTACTGAGCAATTTTCCTAACCGGATGAACATGACAAGGGACAAGATTCTTACCCAGTAAGAGCGATGATAATAATGGAGAGTCTTATCTGGTAAGTGAGGGTGACGATTCTTACTCGGGTAAACGCTTATTAGATAAAATGTTGCATAAGATACATTTTGATGTACCACAATCTTACCTAATAAAATAAATTATAATGTTGACTCTTAATAATAAATACTTACCAGATAAACATTTAGGTAAACGACCCCTTAATAATTAAACCTCTTAAAAAAATAGTCAAATTAGGGCACGTAATTTTGAAATATAATCGCTACTAATAAAAAGCAACAAAAATCCCCCTTTATTTCTCTCTCTACACATCTCTTCCATTCTCTATCTCCCCTCTCTACACCACACACTCTCTCTCTGCTCGAAGTTTTTTTGGCCCCAAAAACCCCCCTCGCCCCAAACCCCAACTATATTCGATTACAAACCCGCCAAAAGGTATTTCATTTAATCGATCTTTTCCCCAAATTTCATTTTTCAAATCATAAACCCTTCTCCTTTCCCTCTTCCCCTACTCTCTGGGGTTTCTTGTGCCCTTTTCGCCCATCTTATGGCATCTAATCTTTACCCCTTTTGCAGGTTTTTCACCAAATTTTGGGGTGTTCACGGTGTTTTTCGTTCAACAACGGAAGGAAGACGTGTTTTATGGATTTGGGTAGGTGATCGATGGAGAATACGGGTGTGGTGGAGTCTATGGATGGATCGGAGGTGAGATCTGAGAGTTTGGGAGAGAAACGACCGCTGGAGAATGGATTGGATCGGGATTTGGGTAGTAAGAAGGCTAGAGTAGGAGGCGAGGATGTGGTGTTGGCTGGTAATGTGAAGAAAGTGGCGGAGATTGTGTTGTTGTTGGCTACGATGGGGAAGATGAGGGGTGGTCGGAAGCCGACGGCGGTGGAGGTGCAGATGATGGTGGAGGCGAGGGAGAAATTGGCTGATGTTTGTAAAGAATTCGCTCCAAAAGATATTTTCCCTAGGGATGCTTTTGGGACGGTTATTGAAGATCTCGGTCTTAATAGATTGAAGGAACAGAGGTTAGGGATTCGACCTCAAAAGATGTCGATTGCTGAGAAATTGAAGTTTACAAAAGAAAAGGTGTGATTCTAACCAATAATTTTTTGAAATTGCAGCTGCTTAATTGTTTAAATTGGGTGTTATTCGAAGCTCTGTTTACATGTTTACATGTTTAGGGTTTAGGGTTTCTTATTTACATTTCTATTGGTGTTAGGGTATGTTTATTAGCAGCTTAATGAGCTTAATATGGCTTGCAGCTTATTTGATCAAGCTATACATGACTGTTTGGTGGTGACTTAATGATACAAAAAGTGGCTTATTCAATAAACTTATAGAGGAAAGGTTTATGCAGAAAGCCAGTTTTGTTTTCCAAACATGTCCCTTCAATTAAAACATGCTCTTTTTATCTATGAAAAACCCTTTCCAACAAAAACCTTCCAAATCTATACTGACAAATTAATCCACAAAGACAGCTTTATCCATGCATGACATGAAAAACCAACCAAACAGCCCCTTAGTCATGTTACATTTTGATGCATCTTGCCTTTTCTTGATATAATATGAGTCGCTTACAGCCTTACAGGTGATTACTCTATTTTCATGCAGACACACTTGTGTGTAATCCTATCTGGTTAGCTAGTTTTCTGATCAGGGGACTGTCAAAACAACCAAATAGTCCAAAATTTTTAGCCAAATTAAGGACTGAAGATTTTGATGAGTATCTCTTCATTGTACCATATGTTTTAGTGCTGATGTAGGGTTCTGTTTTTTGCCTTATCATTCAGATGGAAAAGTCTGAGGTGTTTCCATTGCGTTCTAATATCTATACACCTCCGCGGCTGCAATCAAACTTAAGTGGGGCCGCTGAAAGCCGTGGGACGTCCAATGTTCGGATGTTTTCATCAGATAAAGCGAATCCTGCATCTGTTTCTTCTGGAAGCTTCCAGCATCCTTCCAACACGGTTCATGCTTCCGCAGCCAATTCACGGACTTTACCTTATCAGTTGCCCACCAGTGAGGTAAGGCCTGGGGTGTCAAGTGTCTCACCTAGCATTCAAATGCTTCGGGCTGAGAGACCACAATTCAGATTAGATGTTGGATCAAATGGTTCTTCTTATGCATCAGAGTCCCAAGGTACATCATTTGCTCTTTTCGATTACGGCGAGTTGCCTTTCTTGATCAAAATGAAGGACATATTTGTAAGAACATCAAATGATGCTAGTTTGCGTATTGTGTAAACTGTAAACTATCGGTCTAGCTAGGTGTTGGTGTTCTAAAACAGTACTCCTTCTGTCCCAAAATAAATGTCCACAATGAAAAAGCACACAATTTTAGAAATGCGTAATTAGGACTTAGCAGCAGACCTACTCTATTGGATACGGTGGCACGTGCCACTGCATCATTCCTCTGTCATAGTGTAAAAAATTATAGGGTAGTGAAGGTGCCACCGCATTATTTTGTTAGTGCTGTTGCAGTCCCATATCAGCTAGACTTGGACCATTTGTCCTGTATATATCTTGGAACCTCCCCTTTCTCCTTAAGGGCTCCTTCGGAGAGTGATGGGGTTCCACATATTCTCACATGGTATCAGAGCCAAGGTTTACCATTCTAGGGACTTGACATCCTGGCTAATCTTCTCTCGACACCCTGTGACAATTTGTTTCCATCTAACCTCCATTGGAAGGGGCATGTTGGAGTCCCGCATCGGCTAGACTTGGACCATTTCTTCTGTATATATGTAATCTCCCCTTTCTCCTTAAGGTATCTTTTGGAGAGTGAATTGGGGTTCCACAAATTCTTATGTGCAACCGTATATATTTTGAAACTACGGTGGTGACACAAGTTTTCCTTGGTAGAGTTGGTTTGCATAGCTTTTTTTCCACGCCAGATCCAAGTTTGAATCCCGTTTGTGCCATTTTCCTTAGCTTTTAATCTCATATTTATTATGTCTCTGATTCTTTTTGGCAATAAAAGACTTGAACGTAGGAACTCACATATGAAGAGCAAAGAACTAACCAATAGATCAATAATGATTTTGTAAAAAATCCAAACCATCGTTTCTTATGGTCAAACAGTGTCCACCATTTGAAAAAAATCCTAGGTCCACCTTTAAGTGTAATTATTACACCTTTTAGTTAACTAAGTGACAATTTTACCCTTAATAGAGGAAGTAATAGCATTTCATAGTTAAGGGTAGAATAGGAAGGTAGACGTTTATTGTTGAAAGTGGACACTTAGTTTGGGACAAACTGGGGGTCTTGGTTGGTTTCTCATTAAGTGTTACATAGATAAAGCTGTCAGTGTGCATTAATCTGTCTGTATAAATTGGAAAGATTTATGTTATGAAGGTTTTTCATATATGGAAGGGTATTTTTTTTAATTGGGAGAAGCAGGGTTTGGAATTATTTTGGCTTTCTGCCCAAAGATCCCCCTAGAAGCTTATCAAATAGGTCATTTTCTATCATTAAGCCACTACCAAACATCCAATGTATAATTGACCGAATAAGTTGTGAGTCTCATTAAGCTCATTAAGCTGTTAGCAAACAGACCTTAAAATAGAAACATGCACACTTAATTTGGGAAGAAGGGAGTATCTATTACAGATTTCATGTTGTAAACTGCAATAATAAGTCTAGATGGAAGCGTGGTTGCATACTGTCTGTTCTCTTTACAATTCTACATTTCTCTATGCTGCTTTTGGTTTATTTATTTATCGATCGGCAAAGATGATTTCATTAATTATTACCAACATTATTCACTAAATACAGCAATTTCTGCTGGAGATCACATGAAGGGGAAAACTCCAACATGGTCCATGCAGCCTCAATCTGGCTCCTTTGCTAAACTTGGATCGGATAAGATGTCTGCTAACACTTTCGTCAAGGCCGAGGGCTCATCTGATATGGCTACATCTCGTGTTTCCTACCAAGGGATTACGTCTAAACCTTTCATCACCCAAGTAACATCAAGTCCTATGACTGCAAATCACATGCAACACCGTATGAACTTCATTCAATCTTCTGATACCCATGGTGAAATTAGTAAAATCGTTCAAAAGTTACTTCAACCACATCTGCCCGACCATCCCACATGGAATCCGCCTTCACGGGATTATATGAGCAAGGCTTTGACTTGTCAAATGTGCAAGGGTACGATTAATGAGGTGGATACTGCACTTGTATGTGATGCTTGTGAAAGAGGGTATCACTTGAGATGCTTACAGTGCAACCCGAAAGCTATCCCTAGAGGTGAGTGGCAGGAATGGCATTGTGCAAAGTGTTTGGCTATAAGCAACGGAAAACCGTTACCTCCTAAATATGGGCGGGTTATGAGAAACATAAGCACACCAAAGTTATCTTCCAATGCTTTGGTGGGTCAACCATCTTTAGATAAGAAAGTGCAATCTTCACATGTGAATGTAAATCAGCAGATGATGACAACAAATGAGAACTTTGTGAATATTTCACAAAGTGCTTCTGGTGGAACCGCGGGTACCGACAGTAAATTGGCAGAAGTGCAAGCTAATGATAAGAACGAATGTGGAATTCACGGATCTCTAGAACAATCTTCCGTAAGCAGCTCTATTGAGGGATCACATGAAGAGAAGTTAGTAACAGTGTCAGAATCACAGCCTTCTGCTAATTTTTCAGAATTTGGTAGTAACAGTTTAATTAAGGAGGATAAACAAGGTGATCATGTTGAAAAAAGTGAAACCTGTATTGTGGGTAGTGAGCATGAGGGCCCTTCATCGAGTGACATGAATGAAGTTGAATGGCTTGGGGGTGTACAGAAAGAAACTGATGGAAAAACATATTACCATTCTTGCTGCATCAATGGAATTGTATATAAAGTGAAGGATTATGCTCTTTTCAGCTCTCCTGGCAACAAATATTTGCCGAATAAACTACAGGTAAACAGCTTGTGTGTTACTCATTCCATCCTGAAAAAAGCACAGTTTTAGAAATGTGTAGCTATCGAACTTTTTAATTAACTAAATGGCAATTTTACCCTTAACAATAGAGGTAGTAATGAAWGATGCCATACAACCATCCCTTCCCCTCCTAGTCCAAAAAAAGCTAAATTTTGTAATTAAGGGTAAAATTGGAAAGTAGACACTTTGGGGTAAATTAAGGGGTTGTTTGGTTGGTTTTTCCCTTAAGTCCTGTACGGATAAGGTTGTCTTTGTTGATTAATCTATTTGTATAAATTGGTAAGGTTTCTGTTTGGTATGGTTTTTCATAGATGAAAGAAATGTGTTTTTTAATTAGGAGGTGCAGGTTAGGAAAATCTTGGCTGCATAAAGCTCCGCCCTAAAAGCTTTCTGAATAAGCCACTTTCTATATCGTTTAGCCACTACCAAACAATCATGTATAGCTGACCGAATAAGGTGAGTCCCATTAAGCTCTTTAAGCTGCTAACAAACATGCCCTAAAATAGAAATGTGGACACTTATTTTAGGATGGTGGGAGTATTGTGCAGTCATTATCTTTGTATCTGTGGTTTGATCCGCAAATCTTACTTTTGAACCACCTTCCGCTCTTCTGCTCCTCCCTGTCTCCTGCTTGTTCCTGAGCAGGATTCTTTCCTAATATTAAATACTCTTGTTGTAGAAATATTTTTTATGCCTTGATCTTTTGGCTTTGAGTGAGATGCTGTATTTTTCTGCACTGCAACTTAATGAATATATAAGTGAGTCAACCGTGTTTGACTCTTCTGACTTCTTATTTTTAGCTAAGCTTTCCGAAACATTCACCTTTTTCTGAATTTTTATATACATACATACATATAGGGAGGGGGTGGGTTCCCGCTGAGAATGGAAGTTATGGTAAGAAGGATCTCCATCATTGGATCAATTCTAATTAAAGATCTACAGTAATGAGATGCACTGGATCAATGCCTGTATCAAGCGCAATTCATAGGGTGTGGATGAGATTAAAAGTGATCAAAGGGTTCGATTCCCTTTTAAAGCTCCTCATCTTAACTCTTATTCTCACACTATCCTTCGTCTATAGGGAGGTTCAAATGGGAATGACAAAGATGTTGAGAATGTGAAAATTCAGATAAGATGATCCAAGTTCCAAGGGACATCCAAAAGAACCAGCATTTTATTCTATTTAATTGGACATCCATGTGTGTGTATATATGTATATGTGTGTATATATATGTATATTTTGGGGGATGGGAGAAGGGTTTCCCAAGTTGTTTCTTGGATTTTATTTCTAATACCAACAAAAACCAGTGGACACTTTTTAATGCCATGGATTCTCTTGATTTTTCTTGATTTAACAATTTCTCATTGTGCTAGTAGTTCTTATATAAGAAGGTTTTTGCTGCAGGCCATGTGGGAAGATGGCAAAACGGCAAAAAAGTGGGTTACTGTCACCCGCTGTTTCTTTCCTGATGATTTGCCTGAGGGTGTTGGTCGCCCATGTGCCCCAGAAAGCAATGAGGTGAAATTTTTAATACAACTCTTGGTTTTATCTTTCAGATTGTCGATTCACATGGTATTAAAGTAGGGAGATTTAAAGCATATCCCTTTCTGCTCCATTATCACATATTTTGGGACAGGGGGAGTAACATCTTTTCTTCCCTCTCAAACTTTTACTTCACTCCATAAGGGGCTGTTTGGTTGGTTTTCCATTAAGTCATGTCCGGATAAAGTTGCATGTGTGTATAGATTGGGAAGGTTCTTTGTTCGGGAGGGTTTTTTCATAGATGGAAGGAATGTGTTTTTTAATTGGGAGGGACAGGTTTGGAAAAACTTGACTTTCTGCATAAAACTCCCCCTTAATAGCTTAATGAATAAGCCACTTTCTATGTCATTAAGCCACTACCAAACAGTCATGTATTGCTGACCAAATAAGCTGTGAGTCCCATTAAGCCTATTAAGCTACTAACAAACAGATCCTAAGTTGTTGATAGCACTTGCTACATTTGCACTCTTCTACCTTCCATACTTGTGCGGAAATTTTGCGCTTTTTTATTTTAGAAGTCTTGTATGACTTATGTTTTTGTTTTTCTTTAGGTATATGAATCCAATCATGAAAGTATGCTAGCGGCTGGCTTGATTCATGGCTCATGTGAAGTTCTTTCTCCAAGCAAATTCTCTGAAGAAAGTGTTGTGCGAACTCGTTTGAGGGCAAGAGGCAGTGATAGACCGAAACCACTATTTCTCTGCAAGTACGTCTGGTTCATTCTAACCTTAATTGCTACTTGTAATCTTTCTTCGGGTCAAATTCCACTTTTGATAGGCCCAAATATTCTTTCACAAAATAATCCATCTTTTTCTGGTTTGATAAAGAAACGAAATGCTAAAAATTCTGCCCCTCCTCCTTGAAGAAAAAGCATATAGACATAGTATTCCAAAGTGAAAAAGATTTTAACAATGTATATCCATAAACAATAGTCATAAATCATGATATCATACTTCCTTGGTTCCAAACTAAATGTACATAATGAAAAAGGCTCATAGTTTTAGAAATGTGTAATTGTTACACTTTTTAATAGCTAAATGACAATTTTACCCTTGGTAATGGAAGGAGTAATTGCATTGTCTCATAATCAAGGGTGGAAATGGAAAGTAGGTACTTACTTTTGAAAGTGGACACTTATTTTGGGACAAATTAAAATAGAAATATGGACACTTAATTTGGACGGAGGGAGTAGAAAGTTCCATTGCCTACTAATGAAAGGGTAATCACGTATCTTGGCACCACATCCCTGTAGGGGCTGGTTCAAATGAGAATCGTAAATATCTTGTGAACCTGAGAACCAATTATTTCATGTGTTATTCATGATGAATAACCTAGAAATATTCATGAATATCGTTCATCATGAATATCACGCAATTTCTATATAAATAGTTTTCATCATGAATATCTATCATGATATTCATCATGTATAGTACGTGATAGTTGTTTCCTTGGCTATCAAAATGTTTACGGTTCTCATTTGAACATGCCCCCATCCTTGTATTTGTCAAGTATTTACATGTTGCAAAACGACAAACGAGATCAATTTTCTATCTTCGGGCAAAAGAGTCCACTAGGTGTCCATAAATTTCTGATATGGTTACATTCATGTAGGGTGCCGAGTGAAAAACAGAAAATACGTTTCCTTTGGTTTTGTGTTTGGTTAACACTCAATCATGTCTCTGTTTATAGCAAATGTGCATGTACAACCTCTCTGTTTATTATTATTATCTCAATGACTCTTATATGATGTTGTAGCAAGTTTCTGATTCTTTATAAATGTACATGTTTCTGCAGATGGTTTTATGATGAAAAGAAACGGCTATTTCGAGATGTTACCTGCTAGTGTAGTTCATGCAGTCACAGGCAACTCAAAGCTCTCCTTTCACCGGTAAGAGTTACACTCTTCGTATTATCATCTTTGGTTGATTCTATGTTTTCAAGTACATAACTACATATGTTTTTGCTGGCTATTGCATATACCCCCATATTCACATATGAATATTTTTTCAAATAATGCACCTCATGTTTTTTTTGGGGGGGAAACATACACAAATTAGCAGAATTCTTAAGATTGCATATGAGTTCCACAAACAAAGTTGATGAATACTAGAAGGTATACCAGTGTTTGAGAAGCCGGGATCTCCCAAGGCTTACACCAATGTAATCACAAAACCTAATGCTCCCCCCTCCCTCTCACCCCAATTTAACATACTTTTAAAGCTATGTTTCCCTTTTTACCCCTTATAAGGAAGTGTTTGGTTAGAGGTATTAAACAATAGTTAATGCGAATAAAAATAAATGGAACTGTTTTGTTTTAGCCCATGTCCCAGAAGCCCAATTTTTTTTCCATTCCAGGTTAAACCGGGGGGAATGAAATTTCCCATTTTCTTTTTCATTTTTCAGCCTGAACCAAACACCCCCTAAGTCATGACAGAATACTCCCATTTTCAAAATTGATCTTATTAAAACTTTTTTCCCATTCTACCCCTTTACCTAGCCAACGTAACTAATAGCAATTTCTAGGGTATAACTGTGTTTATGGGAAATGGGGTAGTGATTTAAGTCTTAACCCACCTTCATACTTTTTGATCATTAATTAACATATTGCTAGCATTTTTCACCTTGTTACATAGGTGGGATTCGGGTTGGTCTACGTTTTCTTTGCATCATAAGTAGAAATACTCGAGCATGCTTAAACCGTTCGTGCCAACAGGTGATGCTTATCGGAGTTGGGAGCGCATGTAGGAATCAGAGAGGTACGCAACCTGTACAACATAGATGTAGATTGACAGTAGTAGCTGTATTTCTGTTTACCATAGCATTAGGATCGTTAGGCATCTCCCACTCGTATGCCATAAAGGGATAATCACCCTTTTGTCATTCGTAGTAGTGGCTGAGGGGTTCAAAATTTAGCTTCATGATGTGTGATTTCTTTAGAACCATATCAATATGTTCTAATTCTTATTTAATGGGTGGTAGCATGAATTTACATAACGTTGATGTCGTGTTTGGTTTATAAATGTTTTTCAGGAAATTCCATTTACCACAATAAAAAAACCAGGGTAATCTAGAGTAGAGATGCGCAAAAGAGCCCAAGCCTGAAGCTTGACCCAAAAAGCCCGGCTGAAACCCGTTCCAGGCTAGGCCTCAAAGCCTGATTGGACTGATATATTGGCGGCAGGCATGGGTCTAGTCCCGGACCGAGAAAGCCCGACTTGAAAAAGCCCGACTTGAAAAAGCCTGATTAAGCCCTTTTTCAAACCCAAAGCCTGGCATGGGCCTTAAAAAGCCTGTACCTTTTTCATTGCTTACTAAAATTGGGTTTGAAAGGCTAGGCCCAAAAAAGCCCGCCCTAGAAAAGCCCGTATTTTTATTGCATACTGAAAACGGGTTTGAAAGGCTTAGGCCCAAAACAGCCCGGGTATGTGCATCTCTAATCTAGAGTAAAGCCGACCCTTTTCTTTAGCATGATTGGTTTTCTTCATTGATGGTTCCTTTCTATTAGGGTGCGTTTGGTACGTTGACATGACTATCATAATCTAAACTTGTTGTGTCACGTTTGGGATTTACATTAGACTGAGATAGGATGGGACTGAGTGGGTCAAAAATGCATTTTTTTTGTCTCAGCAAAATAGGTGGAACAAAAATCAAGGAAATTAAACAAGATTGGTAAATTACTAAACTACCAGTGTCAAATTTAAAATCCTAAAACCTTCCACAATTCTTTCATCTACTTATCTACTCTTGCATGTACAGTCCTGTTCTCATAGTCTCGTCTGTGTACCAAACACACCCTTATGGATGTATTCATCCGTACTTTGAGGTTCAAAGTAAGGTTTCTTTTGTTTTTTTATGAAATGTCATCTTATTTTGATGGGTGTTCATTTTGCTTTAGACCTCGAGCAATTTGCTTGCAACTTTAGCCAACAATTGCAGGATAGATTAGGTTTTTCACCGATGATTTCATAGGTGAGTTGCAAGCTTAGCGAACACTAAACCAAACTAACCAAGTATATCCAACCCAAACTTTGGTACTGGGAGTATGGTTGGCAACAGATAAGGGTAAACCTATTACCTGTGATGTTTTGACATGTTGGATAAGGGTAAACCCATTACCCATGGCCGTGATGTTTTGACTTGTTGGATAAGGGTACAGGTAAATAAATTTTTATCCACTTATTCATTACCCACTTACCCGACATTTTAGTGGGTAATAATATGGATAAACGGTTTTCGTTACCATTACAGTTACCCGTTGCGATAATATGTATATACATACATATAGGAGTTGGTTCATTTAGGAACCTTAAATATTTCACAAAAAGGGTGGTTCATTTGGTTCCCAAAAATATTTATGGTTTCTAAATGAACCTTCCTTTATACACATAATTACATAAGGTTAAATATTAATATAGAGGGAGGTTCAGGGGAAAACCCCTACAAATTGAAAAACTGAGGAACAATTTGTTAACCATTCATTTCTCGACGGTATACACATGTGCATACAAGTAATAAAAGTGGTTACTTGGTTTTTATGCACATGTGCATATCTGACAAATTGCTTACAAATTACTTATATGCACATGTGCACACCATTCAAACGAACAGTAACCAAGGTGTTCCTCAGTTTTTCATTTATTTTTGCGGTTTTCTCTTGAACCTAACCCTTTCCTTATAGCGTTATTATATAAAGATCCGTGGCTTGCAAGAAATTTCCAGATTAAACTGGCTAAAGATCGATTATGCAAGTTGTTACAAAAAATTTAGAAGACTTCAAAGATGCTCAAAAGATTGTAGATCAGAAGAATGATGAGTTGTAGGAGAAGCAGCCAATATGATGTAAACATCAACTTCAGGTATTCTAAAACTCACCCTCTTCTTTTTCCTCCCCCTTGATGAAGAATCGTTCTCCGTTTTAGTCCCGATTTCTTCGTCTTTTAATGGAAGTCGTTCCGTAGAGATGTTGTCACTGGGATGAACCCGTTTGTTAGAAGTAGCTGGTAACGGTAACGATCTGTTGAACGATGGTGAGCTTAAAATACAGTCGTGTAGAGTCGGCTGGTCGTTTTTCACCAACGGGCATTGTTGCTTTCTCTTGTGTTGTTCCTTTTTCTTCTTGGTGTTACCGAAGAAACATAGAGGTCTCATGAATTCTAATATGGATTCCATCGTTCTTGTGGACTCGAATCGATATTGGTTCAAGGGTAAATTTGGATTGGGGGATATATATATATAAGAAGAAATCGTGGGAATATACGATAATTGTTTGTTGGAAGGATGTTTGACAATCACGAAGGTAACAAGAACACAAAGGTGGTAATATGGGCTTAGACCAATTAGAGGAAACTGAGGTTCTTGTGAGTGTACAACTAAATACCATAATAAGACAGGATTTAAGCTTAGGTTAAGGTGTTGCATTGTGTACAAACTATTACGTTACATCTTAACTTAACGACATTGCGATCTCTAAACCGTAAAAAAGATTTAGCTTTTTTGGGGTCCGGACTTTGAAAAACATATCGGTCTGATCAGGCATCAAGGCTGGGCTTACGTTGAAGCTTAATAGGTGTGTATTTTGCGGTCGGAATTAGTGTATTAGATTAGGGGTGTGAATTTGTAGCTAGCATAGATGGAAGCATGGACGGACCTATGTATGTGGTATAGGTGGCACGTGCCATCGTATTATTTCTCCGTCCAAGGGTAAAAAAATTAGGTTTCGTGAACGGTGCAATTGTATTAATTTGTTGTGTGTCACCGTATGTATTTTGAAACCATAATAAGAACAAGTTTTATTTGGTAAAGTTGGTTTGCAAGACACTTTTATTCCATACCACATCCAAGTCCGGATCATGTTAGTGTAATTTTCTTAGTCAAACGGTGCCGTTGTTTGAAAAAAATTATGTATATTTGTTTCTTATAGTCAAACGGTGTCATCCTTTGAATCAGATGTTCGAAGGAGACTGTTCATGAACATGGATTGTTGGTATACCTGCACAATAGCTTTCTCTACAAGCCTACAAGCTTAGCTTTGGCTTAGCTTCCAACTAAGGCTAAGGGCATGGCATGTTCCCAAGCTAACTCTTGATAACCTCTGTTCACGCTCACGATGTTACTAGCACGGCTCAGCTTCTTTCCATGCTAGGTGAACTAAGCACAGGAGAAGCCTACAGGAAAGGAGATCTCGCTCTTTCCTTTCACCGGTCGGGATGTGCATCCTATCCTATAATAAGCAACTGGATGTATAGTCAAATGGTGTCACTGTTTTAAAAAAAATTTGGATTCGTCCTTGAATGAAAGCTAGGTAAGCAGACGGGTAGCGTTAGTGAGCAATTAGTTTACTATAGATCCAAATGGGACCAGGGGTATGTGGTTTCTCGTATAGGTACAAGTCAGGTCTGCATATATCTTACTTCCCAAACCCTCTTTCGCTGTACACCAAACTCGTTTAATTTGGTTTTTCAATGCATGGCTATTGTTTGTACATTTTCTACTAACTATAAATATTACAAAAAAGTTTACATGTATATATGTTTGAACTGAAAATCAACATTCCAAAACTGGCGCCTTGGGATTAGTGATAATTTTTTTTTTTACTGAATCCTACATATTTTATCTGTTTGTTTTAATGATGCACGAGTTTCTGCTACTAAAAAGTAAGGGTTGTTTGACGGTTGCTGAATGGTTTGGTGTAAAATGATTAAGAGACTTTCATGATATAGTGCAAAATGAAATATAATTATTTGGTAATTATTTACAACAAAATTAGGGTGCTGAATGGTTAAGGAAGACCCAGAATATAAAATCATTCAGAGGGTTTTAGAACCATTAAGAGACTTTTTTTTACCAAACAAGATTAATCTCTTAACGATTCAGAGCTGCCTCTTAATGGAACTATTAAGAGGTAAACAAACAACTCCTAAAACCAGTTTATTTTGAATATATATTTGATTTTGACATCATGTATATATTTAAACGCTTTTTGACAGATATTATTTAGATTGTAAAATCTCATAAAATACTAAAAAACAATTCAAAAATGTAATCAATTCTTTTTTTGTTGATTTCCCTATTTCAAACAAAGGAAACAAGATATAGGGTTAGATTAATTTTTACTTGTAAATTAAGAAACTTATATGACTGAACGAATAAGCCGTTTAAAACTTTAAATTATAAATAAACAACCCATTCGAGGAAGAAGTCTGTAAGGCCGGCGACCCAATTAACATTTTGTCTTTGTATTTTTTGAGCAGACTGTAAACGATTCAAACTTTTAACTACTTAAATTTGAGCTTGCTTATCTCGAGCTGAAGCTTTAATAATTCTTGATCTTAAACACAACATAAAACTTGTTTAACTTAATGAACCAAGCTTCATAAAACTAATATTTTACTCGACTCTTTCTAAAACTTGATTAAATTTTTGCCATTCAAAGCATGCATTTTTTCTTTATAAATGTTCATATGTTTATAAATCATATAATAAAGATATAAAAATCTTCGACCTTGAGCCAATAAATGAATTAATCAATCGTGAGTTTAAGCACAAAGACGAGCACCGAGCTCAGGTCGATGATTCAAAAAATATTCAAGTTCAAGCTGGAGCCTTACTTTGGAAATGTTATGTGAGCTCAAATAACCTACTACTTGGTTCATTTATACCCCTAGTGGTATGCATGTTGACTTGCCTTCCATAATTTTTTTTTAAATAAAGAAGTAAAAGTCAAAATCTCTAGAATAAATTGCATTTAACTTCAACAGATCCTTTACTTTAGAGATTTTATCATCAATTTTATTATTTAAATATTCAATAATTTTATGATCTCAATACACTTCTAATTTTTTGTATATAAAATAACGTTGATACAACTTCTTTTTGAAGTATATAATTTTTATATACAACAAATAGAACAAAATAAATTCACACCCCCTCCTCATGTTTGGTACGATGTAAACTCTTAACCTGTTAGAAAGCCAAAGACTCACATGCCGCTAGACCAAAAGGCCTTTTCATGATTTAAAAAACTCATTTCTCTCTCCTATCGAAAATCTTAGAGAATCCTCCATATTTAGAGTTTTCTTTGTGTTTCTTTATTTTAAAGAACAAAATAGGAAATCTGTTGAGTAGTACAAAGAACAAAAACTTTATTCTAGAGAATCTGCTGAAGATGGTATAAGTTGCAACCAAAGAAATCGTGGGAAATGCAAATAGAAATGGGAGTTGGGTAATTAAGGGATAATATTAATATAATGCAAACAAGCTAAGGTAGGTAGCTAACCAATGTCCAAAGATGCATCTTTTAATCTGGTTATAGTTACATGAAAATCACAAGAGGAAGAGGAGGGGAGTATGATGATATGACATGATATGATCCTAAATATTTTACTCTTAATTTAATTGCTCATAATTAATTATTAATTAAGGTGTATTTGGAGAAGGCTCCGTACCCGACACATGAGACGCTGCATCCTCTTTCGATATAGCCACGTAGTTCAAGGGTGCGATTGGCCTGGCACCGCTATCCCTCTTGCCTGACCTGCCTCCGTTTTGGTTCAGAGACAATCGTCTGTTTGGGGTTCCGTTGGCTGCACCCCCGTTCACACGTGGTCCAACAACCTTCTTTGCACTACTAAGAGGTCGAGCTGGGCTCGGTCTTGAACCGAATATTGCTTCTTGTTCCGTATTTAGCTGTTCATGGAATTTCTTTTGGTCCTGCCATCAACAAGTTCTAAATATAATAAGAATCGACCATAGGGTCATTGACCCGGCAGTACCTGAGTTACCAGTAGAGCCCAACCTTAGGCCATGGCTTCAAACCTCACTAAATTTGAGAATTGTGCGTGAAGATTTGCCGTATATAAATATTAGAGTAAGTTACATTTTTGGTCTCTATGCTTTTCAAAAAGACATTATTACCCTTGTATGCAAGTCACATGGAATGGAAATGGCAAGAAATCAAACAGTGTTTAGAGAGAGGGACCAATTCTGAGCATTTTTGTAAACCACAATGACTGAGTTGTGATTTTTAAACTGCAGGGACCAAAACCTGGGGAAAACCAAAGCACAGGGACCAAAAATGAAATTTACTCTAAATTATTATGTGCTTCAAAAAGAAGAGAGTAAATTATGTTTTTTCTGTCTTTGTGGTTTGTTAAAAATTGCTATTTTCGTTCCTATACTTTTGAAATTACGATTTTCATCTCAAGGGTTTACAATTTATTGTTGTTTTCGTCCTTATGTTTAACAATTTATTGCTACTTTCATCCTTGTGGTTTACAATTCATTGTTGGTTTAGTCCCTTGTACTTAAAGGTAGGAGTTAGCCTCCGCGATGAAAACCGCAATTTTGAAACCATGGACGAAAGTCGCGGTTGTTAAAAAACCACAGGGACAAATAATATAATTTAGAGGTTGTTTACCAACCGGTTACCCGGTAAGCGCTTACCACATTACCTTATCGGATGAAGATAGCAAGTACCGAGAATCTTACATGGTAAGAGCAATGCCAAGAACCGAGTCTTACCCGATAAGTGAAGGTGACAAATCTTACATGGTTATCACCTACCGGGCAAATTCTTGCATACGATGCCATTTTATGGACAAAAATCTTACCCGTTAAGGTAAGTGATATGATAGTGTTGAAACTTGGAACTTACTGGTAAGCGTTTACAGGGCTAGTGTTTGGGTAAACAGCCCCTTACTCGAGAAGATTAGAATGGGGGATTGAAACAGGAAAAGGTTGCAAGATTTTCCTACCCTCATCCTTCGTTTCTCTTCTTCTCTGTCATGCCGAAGCAAAGCATATTCATCTAGCATCGCAAGGAGTGGAACACCATCGTATGCAAAGGTAACTCCATGCTCCTCTTCCCATGCTCGAGTTTTGGCCACCAAGGAGTCAACAAGAGCTGCATACATAATACCAAAAAGAGTCAATGGCCCTGCCGTATCCAGGTTACCAGTATATCCCAATTTCCTTGCAGAGATCAAGGGTTCAGTATATAACGATTTTAAAGCGTCCAAAATTATAAGCATATATACGAAACGTTAAGCAGATGATCAAAAAATTTGTAAGAATCCGAGAGTAATCATAATCACTGCCATGCCAGCAGAGAATTGGAAAGTTTGCCTATTTACCTGGAATTTTGTTGACCAAAATTCTGGCCTTCTCGGCTCGCTTGAGATTTAAATGTGCGCCTCTGCTTGCATTATACCTGTTGTCATCCTGTTATGAAGAAGCTGAAACCATGAACATATTTGACAGCATAATTCTACAGGAACACCAAGAAAAGTCTTCTGATTTCTACATAACACAGAGTTCAGCTATCATATCGTACTAAACTATCGACTTCTACGGGTTAATCTTAGAGTTCTACATCAGCTAGAGTTGGACAATTTCTTCTCGATATATGTTGGAACCTCACTTCTCTCCTCGAAGGATCTTTTGGAGAGTAATCACATATTCTCACATGGTATCAGAGCCAAAATCTACCACTCTAGGGACTGACACTTTTGGGCAATTTGTACACATCTAGCCCCCTCCGGACATTAGCACAATATGTGTTTGTCTAGCCTCCATTGGAGGGGGCATGTTTGAGTCTCACATCAGCGAGACTCGGACCATTTTTGCTCTATATATTTTTGAACCTCGTTTCTCTCCTAAGTGATCTTTTGGAAAGCAATCTAATAGGATTCTTCATATTCTCACTTGGCATCAAAGTCAAGATCAACTCCTCTAGAGACTCGACACTTTTGGGGGCTCCACGTATTCTCAATATATTGGAACGTCACTTCTCTCCTCAAGGGCTCTTTTGGAGAATAATCTAATGGGGTTTCACATATTCTCACGGTTACTTTGCTAACTAAGATGAGAGTGAGAAAGAGAGAGATACCCTATTGTAATCGTCAAGCCAACTTTCTTCTTCACATGCCGACATCCATTTCTCGACCTTATCCAATATATCTTTCCTACTGATTGCCTCTTCTTTTGCTTTTATGATTTGATTATCCATGTCCACTAGCAACTCCGAAGGCTCGACATTCCCAGAATCAATGAGAGCCAAAATTTTCTCCCTAGCAGCCTGTGTGTCAATCTCTATGTGTGCACGTACAAAAATCTCTTCAAGTTCACCTTGTCTCTTCAAGGCAATCTCTTTCATTCTGCTAGCTTTAAGCTTATCTAGCCTTTCGGCTTCCACCTCAGCCTAGAGAACAAAAACAGGTAATTTTTCAAGAATTAGTAGCCATATTTCTTATTGTGTTCTTTAAAGAACAACTAAACTATGGTTGAGGCCCAGGGGGATAGGGATGTGGTGGGATATCCCATCTGCCCTGGGTTCAATTCCAGGCATCCACAACAATTGTGGCCACTGAGTTTATCAGAGTTAATGCCTTACAGTCGCAATTTGCTGGAATTAGTCTGGGCATAGCCCGGGACACCCTTCCAAAAACAACTAAACTAGTGCTTGTGATACCTGTTCAATCAAATCTAGAGCAAGAGCACCTGGAACAGTTACTTCATCCACTGAAGCCGATATGTTACAGGTAACATGATCAAACAAGCTGCGTTCTTCTTCAGATGTATCCATCAAATTCCAAAGATCAATTAGCTGAGTTGCTAACTCTTGAAGCTGCAGAAAAGAAAGAAAGACATGTCAGATGATTGAGGTGGCTATGAATTGATGGAAATGTCCATATAAGTCAAATTCTTTTATACAATCTACAACGTGCAAATGGACTAATGTTGTGTTATCGAAACCCTTTTTACGAAGGAAAAGAAAGGGAGGGAAAGTGAGGGAAAGGGAAGGAAATTAAAAAAAAAAACCGTGTTCTTAAAACTTTCTAGAAGAGGAAGGAAAGGAAAAGGAATGAAAATAATAAGTTTCCTCCCAAATGTGGGAGGAAAGGAGTGGAAAGGGAAGGAAAGGAAAGACATTGATCTTTTAAAAAAATTATTAAAATTACAAAACTACCCAATCTTTCATTCTAAAGTATATTTGTTTAAAGGGTATATTGGTAAAAATGACATCTTTCCTTTCCTTTCTCTCCTGTCAAGAACATGAAAAATTATTTTCTTTTTTTCCCTTTCTCCTTTTCATTCCCTTTCAAGAACACAAATAAAAAAAAATTCTTTTCCCCTCCTTTTCTCTCTCTCCCTTTTTTTTCCTTCCCTTCCCCTTCTTTTCTTTTCTTTTCTTTTCTCCCCAATTTCGAGAATGCAGCGTAAATGCAGACGGATTCTGTATTGGTTGTGTGCAGGAATATTCAAAATGTAACATGAACTGAACAGTTCTGATGAGATCCTCACGGAAGAAATAAAGAGGTGCAAGATGTTGTACCTTCTTCAACCGTTGCTTCTTATCTTCTTTTAAAGCTAAGACGGTCTTAGCAAGCCTAGCTAGTGTGCCATTGCTTATGCTTTTAGACTGTACACCAGTTGCATCATTTAGGCTTGGATGAACCTCTGTCACTGTACTGTAAAAGTCGATCCCAAGGACAGCGCAAAGATCATGTACAGTGCTTACAAATTCCAGGACCTTGTGTAATCTATCGCTCTGCCAAATCGAACAAGATATCAACATTACATATCTCACAGGCAACGATATTGGGGAAGTTGACCAAAATACTCAATCTCCCCGGCCAACTTCACTTTTTAGCCACTTTTTCAATTGAATTCCCATTTTAGCTGGAGTTTATGCAAATGTCTTACGCATTTGGTAAAGTCAATTTTCAGATTAAGAAAAAAGAATTTGTGTAAAAGATTCAGATTTTGCGTAAGGATTCAAATTTTTGCACAAAGAATCCTTAACCATATGTGCAAGGAATTTTTTTTTTCATTTTTCTAGAAATCAGTCTTTATGCAAATGCGTAATGCATTCTGTGTAAAAACCGTCTATTTTGGAAAGAGGCTCTGAAAAGTGGCTAAAAAGTGAATTTGATTGATGATATTGACTATTTCAGTCAATTTCCTAGCGATATTGCCCAGTGTTATATCTAACTAACAGGTGGCTAAGATATTGAGGTAAAGTTATACCTTCTCTTTCTGGAGTTCTTGCAGCTGGTCATGAAATTCATCCAACTTCTTCAAGGATAGGTCAGACTCGTCAACTGTTGGGCTTCCTGCCTGCTGATTACTCCCTGCAATTTCTCCGCATATTTTTTGTATTTGTGTTTGTACATCCAAAAACTCTTTTATCCTCTCTTCCTTCTGCTTCCACAATTGTTCTAGGGCTGGTGCAATAGCAGCAAGTTGTTCCTTAATGGTTCCTGATGTCTTTTCAGGCTACATATCAAACCACAAGATACAGAAAAGGGCATCCCAAATTATAAATACTACAGTCCACTTCTGAAGTTCCGGAAAAGAACTAAACCCTACAAACTGAAGGTCACGAGTTACATACAATTCCAAGAAATGTTTTCTCTCCAAGGGATGCAAGAAGAGTTGAGAGTTCAAGTTTAGCATCCGCCAGTGTCTGAAGAAGGTGTGCCCTTGACTTTGCAGCCTGGTCAACTTTCCTCTTGTATACATCCAAACAATCTTGCTCTAACTGAAGAAGCATCTTATCCCTTTCCTCGTCGCTTTCACCAACCTCATCCCAAATTTTCTGCATTCATATGGAAATTTTCACTCGATGGTCAATTTGGAAAGCACGAAAGTTAACCTTCCCATAAACATCATCAATCACTTCATTCTAATAGAGATTCTGTGAGCATAAGAAAAGACAAAATCTCTTAACTATGAAATTAGTAGAAACTACCATGTGAAATCACATTTCACCTGCAATTGATGCAGTAAGGTACCACATGTTGTTTCTCCAATTAGAGGATTTTGAACATCCACTTCTGCCATTTAGTATCACCTCAACCTAGCCTGCATCAACAGCTAGGAATCAAAATCTATTCAAGATATTAATGTTCATAATGGCTAACCTATTGACTGTACTTGATTAACACATTGTTAGGACAATTAACCTGGTCACCAAATATTGATGAAATCAAAATTAGAGAAACATTGATGTTCACTTAGATAGATTCCCTACCAGAAGGAATAGCCCTGATTAAACGTTCGCATGGCATCAATTATAGGTTGTTTCATACTTTTCTAGTTTTATACCAATATATAATTCTCTTTAAGAGTTTGGAGCCTTGTAAATCTCTGAACGTTTGTGTAGAACACACTAGATACACAATTGCATCATAACCTGCACTGGGACAAAATGCATATCTACAAAATTGTCATAATTTACATTGTTCAAGCTATAACAACAATCGGTCACTGAAAGGATTTCTATCTTCAAAACATGTACAAATTTTAACAAATTGCAGGATATCAATATCAGTCAAATGAACCAACACAAATGGGCACATAAAAACAAAATTGATTAAAAAAATGATAATAAAATCCACAAGTTCATTTTCACTCAAACCTTCTCCACTAAACAAAAAAAATGATAATAAAATCCTGTATTCCAAAAATCAATATCTCAAATCATGGAAAAACACATGTCTCTCACTAACGCAATTCACCTCCCTCAATTCTCGATAATACACAAAATGTACACCAATCTATGACCAATTAACACTGAGTTTGAACATTTTCAGCTTCTTACAAACTTCAAAAGTTGCAGATCTCGAATAAGCTCCGACTTCAAGTCGATGCGAGAAAAAAAAAAAACAGTGTACTCAAGGTATCAAAAGTGTACAAAAAACAAGTACATTCATATTAAGGATGAAACAGGGAAGAACTGCTTATAAAGATCGTACACTGGATTAGGTTTTGTTAAGCTTTTGTGGTCACAGATCTGTCCAGTCTCGATGTTTTCTGCTGTCGAGATGAAGACGAAGAGAGAGAGAGCGAGAGAGAGATGTCACTGGTGTCTTGAATAGTTTGATATATGTGCACCCGTGTTTTCTGAATTATTTACGGGAGTGGCATTCCAATGTAAGAAAATGACGAATTTGCCCTTGAATAGTTTGACCGGTTAATACACGACCCACAGACTTTTGACTCATCCGTGATAGACGGAACGGGTACAAATTAAATAAGCTCTTAAAAGCGTTTGCTGCAATCTATTTTAAGGGCGAAAAATCAATTGTTTTTTTACCTCTTAATAATTTTATTAAGAGACAGTTTTTGAATCGTTAAAAGGTAGATCTTGTTTGGTAAAAAAAATGTCTTTTTTTTAATGGTTTTAAAATCTCTGAATGATCTTGTATTATGAGTCTTCCTTAATCATTCAGCGTCCTGATTTCATTGTAAATAATTACCAAACAATTATATTTCATTTTGGACTATATAATAAGAGTCTCTTAATCATTTTGCTCCAAACCATTCAACAACTGTCAAATAGTCCCTTAGTCATTTTCTTTTAAATTTTCAAAAATATCATGACCATCATAAATGACACCTACTTGACTTGTAGATGAGCTAAAACACAAAAATAAATCACTTTTCACCCACTTGTGGAAGTGCCAACGGACCTGGGTGAGAAGTGATTCTTTTATGTCTTTTAGTTTCTCCACAAGTCACGAATGTGCCACTTACGAATGTAGTGATATTTTGGAAATCTTCGAAGAAAAATGGGTAAAAGATTATGATATTTTGTGTGTGTATATATATACACATAATGATATTAATTAATCACCATTCATTACAAAAAGAAGATCGCAAATCCATGTTTTATAGGAGACCTTACGATGTTTTCTCGAATTTGGAGATAAAAGAAAAGAAAGAGAGGGAACATAAAAGAATTTTTCTATTTGTGTTATCGAAAGTGAAAGAAAAGAAAACAGTTTTTCATATTATTGAACAAGAGAAAAAAGGAAAGCAAACATGTCATTTTTTTTATTAACCTGGATATTCAACCTGCTATGCGAGCCGACTAATCCCAGGACGACTACCTGCTTTGCAGATAGCCTGGAGTCATCTCATTTGAACCTCCGTGGCCACAAGGGGGTTTTTATTCCTCCTTGAATTTGAACCCGAGACCTCCTGGTACTTTTGATCTTTAGAGTCAAGCTCAAACCAATCAGACACCACCCTTGTGGTTAAAACATGTCATATTTACGAACATACCATTTAAAATCATATCAATTAAAATAAAAGATCGGGTAGTTTTGTAATTTTAACAATTTTTTAAATAATCTTAATTTATTTACATTTCCTCCCACGTTTGGGAGAAATTTTTTGGAATGGAACTAATCATTATTTTCCTCTCTTTTCCTTTCATTTCTCTTCTAAAAAAAGTTTCGAGAATATGAGTTTTTCTACTTTCCCTCCCCTTTCTTCCATTTCCTTCGTAAAATGAGTTATGAGAATGCAATATTAGAGATTTGTCCACATTTAGAAATTTCCATCTCATCTCTCTTTTTCTCTCTATCTTAACATAGCTATACTGCCTTATAAACCAGATTTATCAAAAGTCGTAAAAACAATTTTTAATACACAAAATACTATACATTTATACATAAAGTCTTAAAAACAACTCATAATGCAATATATACTACTACTTTATGCATTGAGTCTTAAAATATCTTAATTTACAATTAAAATAACATATAGTACGAGTTATGAATGCACATTATTACCTTTTATTTTTATGTTTCCGAGATACTTTTGACACATTTCACTCATGTCTTCACCCTCTCATATATACCTCTATGTCTTCCCCTCATCCCCCAAGGTGAGATTCAAATTGATATTCACCATGAGTTATTAAAAGTTCTCTCATTCAATTGTTCTAGGACTCTCGGTCTCGCTCTTGATTCTTTGCTCTTGGTGTAAATCGAATACATTTGTGGAGTCGTTTATATATGTTGCACTCTAAATATATTGAATTTTAAATTTTCATACAATTTTTTTCATCGATAGACTGTAATTGGAACCATAACTCTTATTTATTCAAATAATATTAATATGTAAAGACCAAGTGTAACTTATATCATCATTAAATCTGCTCTAATACAACCAGTGAAACTTCAAAATCGTTAAAATTCACGGCTCCCGCCGCATTGCATGGGTACACAACTAGTCATTTTATCATAACTGTTAAATCAAAAAAAAAAATCACAAATCTTCAAATTTTCATATTTTAATATAATTGTTGGAGATACTCTTAAAGAAGAGTTCTATATAGTACTTGGAGGTCCCATATTCAAATTCAAAAAGGAATAAAAACCCCTTTATGGCCACGGAAGTTCAAATGTGGTGACTCGGACTACCCGCAAAGTAGATGGTCGTCATGAGATTAATCACCTCGCATAACGGGTTGAATATACGTAATGTCGGAAATGCAAAAGTAATTCAATGTTTTTTTTTGGATTAACTTGGATATCCAACCCGCTATGCGAGCTGACTAATCCCAGGACGACCACCTGCTTTGCAGATAACCCGGAGTCATCGCATTTGAACCTCCATGGTCACAAGGGGATTTTTATTCCAGTAATTCAATGTTTTTTTAGTAGCATTATTGTTCTTAAAACTAATAATTAACAATTTAGTGACGTGTTACAAATTAAACAAATACATTTAAAATATTATGAAATAAAATGCTTATTGATTTGTAAATTGACCCCAAATCTTTGAAATTGGTGGGTCTCCACGCCCAATATCCTTAACGTGGCATAAACCATTGTGTGTTTAGGAAAACCAAATATACCATTTGTTGTATTGAAGAATAAATTACATAATTAGCCCTTGTGGTTTCGGAAAACTCTAAATATTACCATCATTTATGAAAAAATACACTAGTGCCTTTAAGGTTTTGATCTACTTACCACTAAAACAAATTTGGGTTTATATGACACCCTCAATCTCTAAGTGTCCCAATAGACCGTTTTATATAACATAATTTATAGAACCAAAACATAAAACGTCATAATTAAAGGTGTTGTAATAGTTTTATATGATGCTTTTGGATATCTTAACAAGTTTTTAAGAACATTTGTAATATAAAGTGTCACATTAGCAACTTTATAAGACATTTTTGAGAAATTGTCCTATAAACTCAATTTTTTATAAAACACTTGTTTTTATGGGACATTTTTTTCAAATAGTGTTCTATAAAGTTGATAATGAGACGCTTTATATTAAAAGTGTCCTAAAAAACTTATTACGACATCAAAAAACGTTATATAAACTTAATACAACACAATTAGATAGAACATTTTATTTTTGTTGTTCATATAAACTAAGTCCTATAAAGAGGTCTATTAGGACGCTTAGAATTCGGAAATGTCCTATAAATCCAATTTTGTCGTAGTGTACGTCTATGGTACCTAACTAGCCAACTCTATCAAAGGTCTGTTTGTTAACAGCTTAATAAGTTTAACGAGATTCGTAACTTATTAAGTCACGTAGGTATACATAACTGTCTGTGGGTTGTTTAATGATATGAAAAATGACTTATTGAGTAAGCTTCTACGGTTGAAACTTTATATAGAAAGTCAAGTTTTTTTCTTCAAATTTGTTCATCCCAATTAAAAGAATTATCCTTTCATCTATGAAAAAACTCCCACAAAATAAAAACATTCTCAATATATACAAATAGATTAATCCATACATACGACTTTACTCATACATGACTTAATATAAAGTTTAAATTACATGAAAAGGTAAAGTACTTTAACTTGATTTCTATTTATGGTAACATACTTTCAAAACTTTTATTTTGGTATCTAAGAATACTCGGTTAACTGGTTGAAGCATTAACTCTTTCTTCTAACAAACTACAATACATAAACATGTCAGCAAATAATACTGAGTTGGATACCACATCACTCACGACATCAACATAGTAACCAATTAATGTTTCAACCGGTTACACAAATACTTAAATATTTAAAACTTTACATCTTATGTACCAAAATGAAGTTTTGAAAGTCCGTTACCCGAAATAGTAATCAAATTAAAGTACATTATTTTTTTTATACAATTTTCCCTAATATAGAATCAACCAATAACATCTAATGCATCTATTAGGTGCCACTCACCTAAGAATCATGTCCATCTGTTAAAAAATAATGGGTTGTTTGACAGTTGCTGAATTATTTGGTGCAGAATGGTTAAGAGACTCTTATAATATAATACAAAATGAAATATAATTGTTTGATAATTATTCAGAATAAAATTAAAGTGTTGAATGGTTAACAGATACCTAAAATACAAAACCCTTCAGAGTGTTTTAGAACTATTAAGAGACAAAAAAATTTTTTGCCAAACAATATTCATCTTTTAACGATTCAGATATTGTCTTTTAATGAAACCATTAAGAGGTAAACAAACAACCCCTAAATAAATTTTAATTTGTTAATTTCCTAAACCATAGGGACCATTTATGTATTATACTCAGGAAATAAATATACATGTTTTAGTGACCTTGCGTGTAAAATCTGATGAACTCTTAATGTTGTGGTTGGAAGTGGGGACAGGACAAGATACAGAGGGAAAATCTTATCAATAATTAATTTATTGTGGTGGGCTCCACTTGTTTCTTTTTTAAGTAAACTATAAATTTGGCTTGTGAGGTTGGTCAAAAATAACAATGTTTTTCGTACAATTTTAAAATTACAAGATGGTAATCGTGATTTATAAAAACATGTGATTTTAAACGTTTTCGTTATTTTATCCATTTTTTTAAATCTTTTATCAATCAAAATCCACTGGGACTGTCTTTTTAATATAAAAACAGATAAGCAATTTATATTACACGTGATTTTTTTTGGCGATATATAACAAAAAAATATATATATAATGTTCATACGAGTACACACGTTTCAAGGAAATTATCAAAAAATAATTATTTTATACATTGTACATTAACAAAATTATCACTTTCTAAAACTTTTTAATAAAATGACCACTAGGACAATTTTGACTATAAGGTACGGATGAGTCTCATATGTATATCATTTGGGAGGACAAAAATCAGTTATTATATCTGAAAAATGGGAAAATCGGCCTCAAAAAGTGAAAATCTCCCATGGAGTCAATTTTGACTTCTATTTCGTCTTCTAATGAAGACAACTTATGATGCAACGATTAGACACAACAATGACGATTTGATAAGACATAGGGTGATTTTTATTGGTATTTTGTCTTTTTTATGACCAAATATAATATACATAAATATTGTAATATTCTCTATAAAATTGTAGTGATTTAAACACTTTTATTCTCACAACCATTAACCCGTCACTTTGAACACATAACATACATGGAACCATTATCACTTTGACGTTATTTCATATTTGTGTTAAGGGTTGTGATGGTAGATTGTGTTTAAAGGTTAAGGGTTGTGAGAGTATAAGTGTTTGAATCACTAAAATTTTATAGAGGATACTATAAGATTTATATATATACTACATTTTGTCCTAAAAAAGACAAACACCAATGAAAATCGCCCTCGATGTTTCGTCAAATCGTCATTGATGTGTCAAATCGTTACGTCATAAGTTATCATCGTTTTGAAGAATTTTTTAAAGTTTCTTGATTAATTCACAAAGTTTTCAAAAAAAATTCATTTTTAGTAAAATACGATTTTTGTCCTTATGGTCTGTTAATGATTTCAATTTTTATCTATGTGAATTGTCATTTTTGTCCTTATAGTTTGCAATTTATTTTGTTCCTGAAACTAATTTCTACCTATAAGTACAAGGGATCAAAACAGTAAAGAATTGTAAACTAGAAAGACAAAAACAATAATAGATCGTAAATCATAAAAATAAAACTAATAAAGAATTACAAATCCTAGGGACGAAAATGATAATTTCTAAATCGTAGGGATGAAAACCGTAAATTTTTTAACAAATCACACCAACGAAAATTGTAATCTACTTTTCCTTTCTTTAAGAAAAGAGAGGGGGAATAGGGATGGGTTGAAAGACAGAAGCATCAGAAACGTGGACCGGTGTGTATTCCAATATTCCTTCTGAACCGGAGGTAAACCGGGCCTGGTGGGATCGGGGTTTGTTTCTATGTGCATGTAATTGTAACCCATGCAGTGGGACATGTTGTCCAGGTGTTCCTCACATGCAATTTGGACTCATTCTTCTAATCATCACTGCTCTTCAATCATTTATTGGATAAATCTTGCACCAATTTTTTAAAAATAAATTTGTATTTTTTTTTTAATCTTAAAAAATATTATTTCAAAAAACATGTTTAATAATATTATGAGGCCGTTTACCAAACGTTTATTCGGGTAAACATTTATTAAATAACATTATCTTATCGGATGAATATGATAATTACTAAGAATCTTACTCGGTAAGAGCAAAGACAAGTACCGAAAATCTTACACTGTAAGCGAAAGTGATGACTCTTACCACTGTTAGCGTTTACGGATAAATTGTTGCATTTGATACCATTTTGGTATATTAAAATCTTACCCGGTAAGTAAGTGATAATGTTGAATTTTGTCGGTAATCACTTACCTGGGTAAGCGTTTAGTAAACGGCCTCATATATCCATGTACATAATTTTTATTTTTATTTGTATATAAATGTCCAATTTAAAAAATATATATATAACTAAGGGGCTGTTTACCAAATTTTGTATTAAGTCCTGTATGGATAAATTTGTCTGTCTGGATAAATTTGTCTGTTTAGATAAATTTATGTTGTTGTTTACTTTTCTATCTGAATCAACAGTCTGAATAACAGAAATGACCAATTTACCCCTTGAAAAAAACCCAAGAACAAAACCTGCATCTCCAAAAACCCAAGAACAAAAACCCAAGACCAAAACCTGCATCTCCTTCCTGAAATCGAAACCCTGCATCTCCTTCGTGAATGGTTGCTTCTCTCCTCATCTCTCTCGACTTCGATGCATCACCAAGAACAAAACCTGCATCTCCAAAAACCCAAGAACAAAAACCCAAGACAAAACCTGCATCTCCTTCCTGAAATCGAAACCCTGCATCTCCTTCGCGAATGGTTGCTTCTCTCCTCATCTCTCTCGACTTCGATGCATCACCAAGAACAAAACCCCAAAATCGAAATCCTAATACCCAAAATCGAAACCCCAATCTCCAAAAGCAATGACCTGTTTGAACTCTCCTGCGTCACCAAAATCGATTTGAAGTTTCTTCAAATTTGGGATTCACTTTCATCAATCTTTTATGGTTTTTCCTCATGTGGGTTTGTTGATRTTTTTTCATTACCTRTTTGAACTCCCCTGCAACACCAAAATCGACTTGAAGTTTCTTCAAACTTGGGTCTTTTAATGGTTTTTCCTCATGTGGGTTTGTTAGTTTTTCTTCGAGATGGAGGAGAAGAGGCCTTCAATTAGGGCAGTCGATCGATGGAGAAAAGGGCTGTTGGATCGATGGAGAAGAGATGTGCGATCGATGGAGGAGAAGGGTAGGGCAGTCTTTTGGCCGGCTTAATCTGGACAAGTTCCTTCTTCCATCTGGGCGAATAAGCCCATTTCTGAGCGATTAAGCCCAAAATAAACAGCCTAGAAAGTCTGTGCGAATAAGCCCATTTATCCACTAAGCTCATTAAGCCACAAGTAAACAGGCCCTAAATTTAATGTACAAATATTTAAGAATTGTGGATGAAGAGACATAAATTAAATAGGGGTAAGATTGTCATTTGTTTAACTAAAAAGTGTAATAATCATATATATCTGACATTGTGTTCCATTTTTATATTATGTTGGGACGAAGATAATATATATTAGGGGTATCAGAACTATCAATCTTACATTCTCATTTTAATTGCAGACTGTCAGTAACCTAGTTCAGTTAAACTAAGGTTTGATTTAGATTTTAGAGTTTGATTCCAGGGATTTTGTATCTCAAATCCTGTTGGCTGTTTGAGATACGAACTCATTATTCATTTATATACTTTTTGGAATTTGTGTATGATGTAGGGTTTTGATACTGAATGTTTGTGTTTGGACTAAATTGCCCTTCTGTGAGGGGCACATGATGGACTTAATAAACACTAACCCAAGAGTGTTAACTCAATGTACATTTTTGTTATATAAAACACGAAATAAGGACCAATGATATACTTAATGAGTTCTGTAAACTGCTTTTTTCCGCTAAAAATAAGCTAGCTTATAAACTATACTTCCCATCCAATCGAGGCTTGTACGATAAGCTCAAAAAATACGCCAACTAATTGTCACGAAGTTGTCTTCACAAGCTTGCATGCAGCCTTAATTATCGAACTAAGGGGTTTGTTTACCTATTAATAGTTCAATTAAGAGGCGATCTCTAAATCGTTAAAAGGTGAATCTTGTTTAGCAATTTTTTTTTTACCTCTTAATAGTTCTAAAATCCTCTGAATGATTTTGTATCATGGGTATCCATTGTAAACAATTACAAAACAATTATATTTTATTTTGCACTATAACATGAGAGCTCTTAATCATTGTGACCACTTAATCATTCTGCACCAAATCATTCAGCAACTATCAAACAGCCCCTAAATCAGCCAAACTACCGAACAATGATGAGCAAACGAGAATACTAAGAAAATTGGGAGAACTTTATGCTTCTATTATTCAAGTTGTGAAAGCGTCGAGTGTAGTTTATAAATGAAAAACTACTTTTATTTATATTACTCTATGAAACCATTTGAGACTTCATCTAGATATTTATAAGGAAGTTTCTAGTTAAATAAATACCAGAAACCCAACCCAACTCAAATCAAAGTGCAACCTAACCCAAACCGTACGAGTTGGTCAGGTTTATATTTTGGTACGTCAAAGTATCTTCCTAACCTTTAATATATTGTCTCTCTTTAGTCTATTCATAATATATTTTTCATCATCAAACCATTTGGTACAACTTATCCCCACTACTTAAATATATTACATTCAATTAATTTTCTAACTAAATATATTTATACTATATTATAAAACATTTGATAAAAACTTTTAAAAACCATTTTTAATGTATGAAGTAATGTTTATTAATGCATATTACTTAAAGTTTAAGAGTACAAGTAAATTGTGTGTAAGTACAACTTATTAAAGCTCAATTTTTGAATTTATATAACTAATTGCAGATAAACATAATCAAATTCACGATAAACATCTTATTTTAAATATAAAGTTTTTAAAATATAATTAGGATAAACATTGAGTTTTAACATAATTCTTAATTATTATCCTTATAAAAAATCATATTATTAAATCAAAAAATAAATTACTTTGTTATTAAATCTAAACTAAATGATATTTAAAAAATTGAATTAAAGAAATAACACAAAAAACAATAACTTTTAAATAGTTAATTTGATACTAATATTGATATATTTATTTTCGAAAATTTATGATATTTTTAAATTTATAATTTATTCAAAAATAAAAACATTATCCTTTTCTCAAAACCACATAAAAACCGTATTATAACGTCTCCAGAGAAAGAATAAAACGAAACATTAAAATCGAGATATATCTTGCTGCATTCCACAAGTACCTTAATAGTATATATATATATATATATATATAAATATGTTTACAGTTATTGAACATATATACAAAAGAGTTATATAAAGATGAATGATAAATTTATATGAAGAGGATACGTGATGATGTAAATGTTCCATTTACATAATAATAGAGGCTCAACAATCATATTAAATCCAAAAAATAAAATAATATCAGATTTATTAAATTAAGTTGAAAATTTTATAATTCAATTAAATATCAAATTATTTTAGATTAAATTATTTCACGTTGGATTGATTTGGATTTATGCTGTTTTTGAGCACCCTAAATGCACATGTCAATTATAATCGCCTTTCTTTTTTAAATTTGGAACGAATGAAACATGTAAATGAAATGGGAAACACATATTTTTCCAAACAGAGATACGTATGTTGACGTGTCAATCGGGGAGGTTTGATTCGCATGCTCGTCACCTTGTTCATCCCTATTCCGACGATTCAAGGAGAATTCCCAAATTCTTCTTCTGTATTCCGAGAAATCAATGCGTCATATAGATATCTTCATCAATTCTAGAAATCAATCGTAAGATCTCTCCTTAAATAACCCTTTATTAGATTGTTTTCCCCCTAAATTGTATATATACAATCATACTACCATTCATATCGATTTCTTTTGTATTAGAAGCAATTTCGAATCGTTAGTTTCACTTTTAATTTGGTATTTTTGTAAGATCGATAGACGATCTCAATTTGTGAGTTATTATTTGGATTTCGTTATTGGATGAAGGTTGATTGTATTCAATCGGTGAATCGTATTTGTTAATGTGAACGGTTAGGAGCAGTAATACCTACAGGACTTGGATTTGAACCCTATGATCATAATTTTGGTCCATTTGATTGTTGAATATGTTATGAAGTAGCAGGCAATGTTCTTATGTACATATAATGTTGATTGCTTCACATGACTTGTATTCGAGCAAAAGGTTGATCATCGGCAAACCTGACCGGCCCACATGAAACTGCCCCCTAGAAACCACATATGAGGAGTCATTTCAAAGATGACTCGCTGAGGCAAGTGGAGGAGTTTGAGTATTTGAAGTTGAACCTGTTGTGTATTTGAGCAAAGTTGCTCCTTCCCTTCGCCAACTGAGCTACATGCCTGAGCGATTTATAAATCTTGTGTTGAAGGGCTATTTGGTTGGTATTCTATTAAGTTCTCGATAGATAAAGTTGTCTGTGTGGATTAATCTGGCCGTATAGATTATGAAAGTTATTGTTTGGGAGGGGTTTTTCATAGATGGGAGAAGCGCATTTTTTTATTAGGAGAGATAGATTTGGAAATTTTTTGGCTTTCTGCATAAAGCTTCCCCTAGAAGTTTACTGAATAAGCCACTTCCTATATTATTAAGTCACTACCAAACAATCATGTATAACTGACTGAATAAGTTGTGAATCTCATTAAGCTCATAAAACTACTAACATATAGGCCCTTAGACCCTTACACCGAAGTATGTATGTGGGAACATTCTAGAAGCAGTTTTGGTGATCCTTTTGGCATCGAAAGTGTAGGAGGAGGGTTTCTTGTTAGGTGGTCACTCTCTCAACACCTTCTGTTCGCTGCTCCTTGTCACCCTTTAAAAACCGTAATGAATTCCATTTTGTAAAATCTCATGAACTTTCACAGCTTTATAGCTTTAGTCCAATTCATTTGATAATCTTTGATGGTTAGATTTACTTGCTTTTTGCAGCATGCGTGAACTTATTTAATTTAAGGGAACTTGTCCAGAATGACCAATCCGACCCCCTCTTCACTTTATAGCCACCTTTTCAGCACATTGGCCGAAATAGCCATGATTATGCAACTTGCATAACCCACTTTTTTCAATAAAGTATTCAAGAAAACTAGACATTACGCAAAGTTTGCATGATGTCTACGTGGACAGTCTATGGGCAAATACTCCTCCATGGACTATCTCCCAGGTGTCTAATTTTCCTAAATATTTTATGAAAAAAGTGGGTTACGCAAGTTGCATAAGTGCTATTTGCATTACCGTGGCTATTTCGGCCAATATGTTGGAAGGGTGGTGAAGGGGGGGTTGATTGTCTATCTTCGACAATTTCCCTTGATTTAAATTATACTCGGGTTCTGACACCCGACCAAAAATGAGCACATTTTCTTTAATACCATCTTTTCTTCTATGCTTTTTCAGGTGCACATACATTTGTTGCCAGCAGCCTCCAGGTGCTTTAATTTCGGGTGAAAAATGAACGTTAGAATAATGGAAAGGGATATTCAAAGCCCTAGATCGCCTTCAACTCCGACTTCCCGAGCTCGGCATCGGAGAAGGTCAACTGAGGTTGGTGGGATAAGAAACATAACCTCTAAGTCTAGTACTTCTACTCTCACTACAATAAAATTGATTTTATAGGACACTAAAATATAGAAGCGTCTTAAAGAAGTACTTTATAAGACTTTTATAGGGCCAATCTAAAAAGCGTCATTTCTAAAAGTGTTACAATAGGTTTATAGGACGTTTTTAGGTGTTATAACAAGTTTTTTAGGATGCTTCTAAAATAAAGTATCGTAATAACTAATTTTATACGAGACTATTTGAAAAAATGTCCTATAAAAAGATAGGCTTATAGGACACTTCTAAAAAATGTCCTATAAAATAGCTAATAGGACACTTTATTTTAGAAGTGTGCTAAAAAACTTGTTAAAATGCCAGACGTCTTATAAACCTATTGTAACGCTTTATAGTTTGGTCCTATAACTAAAACTCAATTTTGTTCTAGTGCGATCTTATAAAAGCTTCAATAATTTGTTGCAAAATTTTACCTTATCCATCTAGAGTCAATGCACCAACGTAGTTTGTATCATTGCTAAACAAATGACTTTTACCCACAAAAATCACCTGGGGAAATTTCCATGAGTGATGACCAGCGGATCACCTAGAAAATACCCATGTTCAGGTAGAATCCGATGTTTTTCAAGAAAATACCAGCATATCATCCAGTACCTGGGTAATCTCTCACCAATTTGAATTTCCAACCAACAATTTACCCACCAACATTTATGACAAATCACCCCTTTAGCAACGGATTTCCCAGGGAAACATCCGTAGGTAAAAGTCTTCCATTTTAGTAGTGATAATCTCGTGCAGGAGTTGAGCATAGACTCTGTATTTTCACTTTGTTTTGTTTTTGTGGGGTGATATAGGCATTTCCAGATGTAATGAAGTTAAATGAAAGTGACTTGCTCGTCAATGACCAAAACAAATACAGATCGATGTGGATCCGAACATATTCTTCTGTCTGGATGCTTCTTGGCTTCATATTGGTTGTCTATTTGGGCCATCTTTACCTTTGGGGTATGATAATCATCATCCAAATCTCAATGGCCAGTGAGCTGTTCAATTTGCTTAGAAGAGCTCATGAAGATAAGCGTCTTCCTGGATTCAGACTTCTCAATTGGTAATAACAAGGATTATGACAATATATACAACTAATATCCTTTAGGGTGTGTTTGGTACACTGGACATGACAAGACAGAACAATACAGGGATCACCTTTCTACGTTTAGTAGGACTTTTATGTGGAACATAGTAGAACAAAGTGGAGCAGGCGTGTTCCACCCCCACCCTATGGAACAAGGTGGAACGAACCTATATGTTACCAATATAACCTCATGAGAACTTAATTCTCTTCTAAAACATCAAATACGCCTACATATTTACATTTTATTCATTTTTAAAATTTTATTTTACTTATTTTATGTTTTTTAAAATATCACTTTACCGTCCTCAAAATACTATTTTTATACGGTTTCTGTAGTTTGGTTAATTATGTAATTTATTAAATATTAATGATAAAAAAATAATATAGAAAAGGTATAAAATAAAAATTGGAAACTACATAATTTTTTTTATTTTGGTATCATTTTAATTGTCTTGACGGAAACTTTCTAATGACATATTTTGTTATAAAAATATTTATTTTATCATAATTTTTTAAAATTACATAAATTAATCAAAATATATAAAATATATAAAAGAATTCATTAAGGGTAAATTGGTCATTTTATCTGTTCTGTCCTTTCCAGTTTTGTCTTACCAAACGCCTGAGTCTGAGCCTGGACATCTGGTATGTCTTGTCTGGATACCAAACACACCCTTATTGGACTAGTGGAGGTTTCAAATACAAACCATGTAATTCTTACAAACCCACAACCAATGTTTATATTATGAAACAATCAAGTATTTATGGATCATAATCATGATTCATTCATTATGATCAAGATATTTATGGAAGATGATAAGGTTCATTCATTATGATCATAGCTTTAGATTAGGAAACAATGAAGATATTGATGGAACCAGATATTTATTAGACTAGATGGACGGTTAAGGTTGGTTTGTAAGACTTACATGGTTTGTACTTGAAACCTCCTCTATTTGGACTATGCTTCATATAGAGCTTTCATCACTGTAATTTAATCTTGTGTTGTGATCATTTTTTTCTTACGTACATAAGTAAATGGTAATGTGTTGTCACAGGCATTTCTTCTTTACTGCAATGCTGTACGTGTATGGTCGTATTCTCAGCCAACAGATAATGCATGCCGTAACTCCTGAAAAGTTCTTCTATAAGCTTGCGACCAGTTTTATGAAGTATCAGATGGTTATCTGTTATTTCTTATATATTGCAGGTGCATATGTGTAAGAAGCCTTTTACTTGTATACTGTGAGAATATGTGGAACCCTCGTACAACTCTCCAAAAGAGCCCTTATAAAGAAAGGGATGTTCCAACATATATCCAGGAGAAATGGTCCAAGTCTAGCCAATGTGGGACTCCAACATGCCCCCTACAACAGAGGCTAGATGGACACAAATTGTCCCAGGGTGTCGAGAGGGGGTTAGCCAGAGTGTCGAGTCCCTAAAGTGGCAGACCCTGGCACTGATACATGTGAGAATATGTGAAACCCCATATCACTCTCCAAAAGAGCCCTTTAATATTGATGCTATACTTCTGATTTGGTACAGGGTTCATGTGGTTCATTCTCACATTAAAGAAGAAGATGTACAAATATCAATTTAGTCAGTATGCATGGACACACATGATTTTGATAGTTGTGTTTACGCAATCCTCGTTCACTGCTGCCAATATCTTTGAAGGGATATTCTGGTAATCCTAATTCACCAAATTATTCGCTTTCATTTATTTCGATACTCTTCAATTTTACTATTATGTTGTTCTTGAGGCCACAAGTTTATATTCTCTTGAATTCATTTTTCCACTTTCATTGAGAGCGTATCTAGTTCCCGGGCCTTGTGTGTCTCTAGTTCCAATTCACATATCCTTCCGTCCACCTCTTGAAAATCAGTTAAGTTCAAGCAATAGAAATTCAGGACTTAATGTGTATTCCTAAGAGTTTTACCTTTTCATGTTCCTTTGTGTTTCTCTTCTTTGCATATTGCATGGTCAATCCAAGCATATATTATCTAGGGTATTCATGCTCAGGGTCAGGTTCGGGGAAAACTACAAAAAAATGAAAAACTGAGGAAGGTGACCGTTCATATGTACGGTATGCACATGTGCATACGGTTAAGCTGTAAGTAATTTTTACTATTCTCTCATCAATGTTTATTCATATAGGTTTCTCCTCCCAGCATCACTTATTGCGATTAATGATGTAGCCGCTTATATCTTTGGTTTTTTCTTCGGGAAGACTCCTCTTATCAAGCTTTCTCCAAAGAAGACATGGGAGGGCTTTATAGGAGCATCAGTCGCAACCGTTATTTCAGCATTCGTGGTTAGATTAATTACGAAGTTATAATTCAAGCTCATACCAAGGGGCCGTTTACTAAACACTTACCATGGTAAGCGCTTACCGGTTCAATTACCTTACCGGGTAAACACAATAAGGACTGAGAATCTTACCTGGTAAGAGGGAAGACAATGATCGAGAGTTTTACGTAGTAAGTGAGGGTGACAACTCTTAACCAGTAAACGCTTACCATCAATCCATTTTAATGGCTGGAAATGTTACCCCACAAGGTAATGGAGAGTAGTAACTCTTGCTAGAAAGCACTTACTCAGTAAGCGTTTGGTAAATGGCCCCTAAGAATAATTGGTCCCGCCAAATTAAACTATCAATATACTGTGTTGATTAACTACGATGTTATAATCCATCCTTCTAAAGTTTTTAACTTATCTTTTATATAGCTTGCGAACATTTTGGGTCGTTACCAGTGGTTGACATGCCCACGAAGGGTAAGTTCAAGTACTTAAGTTGTCCGTAAGGGTGCGTGTGGTACCGACAGACAGGGCAGCTATAAGCGTTTGGTAAGACAGGATTGGACATGACAAGAATGGTAAAATGACCAATTTACTCTTAATGAGTTGTTTATATATTATGATTAGGTTATGTAATTTATTAAATCATAATAAAATATATTGTTTATAACAAAGTATATTAGTAAAAAGTTTTCGTCAAGACGATTAAAATGACACCAAAATATGAAGTTTACTAACTTCCAACTTTTTATTTTATACCTTTTCTATATTATTTTTTATTAGTAACATTAACAAATTACAAAAATTTAACAAAGTATAGAAAACGTATAAAAATAGATGTTGAGAACAATAATGTGAAAATTTAGAAAGGATAAAATACAGTAAATAAAATTTAAAAAATGAATAAGATGTAAAGGAGAAGACACATTTGATGTTTTGAAGATAATTAAGTTCTATTTTAAGAGTATATTTGTATAATATAGGCTTGTTTCACCTTGTTCCATGGGGTGGGGTGGAGCACGCCTCTTCCTGTCTGGTCATGTTCCATATAAAAGTCCTGCCAAACGTGGAACAATATTACCTGTTTTGTTATGTCTTGTTCAGTGTACTAAACACACCCTAATTGAACATAACATGTAGTTTTACCACAAATTGTTCTCTTATGCCGAGCCTCCTATGCAGGATTTGTCAACGAGTTGGCTTCAATGTGATCCTGGTCCTCTTTTCAAGCCAGAATATTTTGTGTTACCCAAATGGTTAGCTCAATGGGTGGGTGTTAGATCTGACATCTTTTATTTTTTGGTAACCATGGATGTCCGGGGCCTCTTGCGCACACCTCGACTAATCTCATGTGGCCCTGACGATAACCGTCAGTAAAATCCCCAATCGCCGTGAAGAGACTCGAATTGGCGACCTGTGAGGAGGAGCCCCAAGGCCTAGCCTTTATTTGCCATTTGAGCTGGCCGTCAAGGTTACAACTCACTACAACAAAATTGGTTTTATAGGACGCCTCAAATGTTTAAGCGTCCTAATAAAATACTTTATAGGACTTAAGTTCATAGGACCAATCCAAAAGATGTCCTATCTAAAATTGTTATAATAGGTTTATAGGACGCTTTTAAGCGCTTTAACAAGCTTTTTAGGACGTTCTCAATATAAAGTGCCGTGTTAGCTTATTTATACGACACTATTTGAAAAAATGTCCTATAAACATAAATGTCCTATAAAAAAACAAGTTTATAGGACACTTCTCAAGAGTGTCATAAATAGCTAATAGGACACTTTATTTTAAAAGCGTCTTAAGAAGCTTGTTAAAACGCTCAAAAGCGTCATATAAACCTATTTTAACGATTTTAAATAGGACTCTTTATAGTTTGGTTCTATAAAGTATTCTATTAGGACGCTTAAGCAATCTAGACGTTCTATAAAGTCAATTTTGTTGTAGTGACTTTTAAATTTTAGCATGCACCTGGAAAATTAACATGCTTTAGTAAAACATTCAATGCAGTTGCCATGGGAAGAGATATCAGTTTTACCGGTGCAATGGCATGCTTTATGCCTTGGTTTGTTTGCATCAGTTATAGCACCGTTTGGAGGCTTTTTCGCAAGTGGGTTCAAGAGAGCCTTTAAGATCAAGGTGTGTGATGGTTAGGGTGTAAACGAGCCGAGTTGAGTAGTAGGTTATTCGAGCTCGGCTTGAAAATTTTATGCCAGGTTCGAGCTCGAGCTTGAGCTTGAATAACTTTTTCGATGTAGGGCTCGAGCTCGAGTTTGAATATTTTTTGAGTTATTGAGCTCGATGCTCGTTTATGGGTTCGTACTCGCGATCGATTAACTCGTTTATTGGTTTGAGGTTTATAAATTTTATGTTTTTATTGTATTATTTATGAACATATGAACATGTTTGGCTCGAAAAAGTATATGCTCGAATGGCTCGACTTGAAAATTTAATCGAGTTTTCGAACTAGCCAAGTCGAACATTGATTTTATAAAGCTCGATTCGTTAAGTTAAACGAGTTTTGTTCTGTATTCGAGATCGACTCGAGCAACTCGAGATAAACGAGCTCGAGTAGCTCGTTAACATTTAAACCCTAGTGATGGTTGCTACGTTTGATACTAAACTTTGCACTAATGTATCAACACCGTAGTTAACTTTGCACTAATGTATTAACACCGTACTCAACTTTGCAGGACTTTGGTGGCAGTATTCCAGGACACGGTGGCTTTACCGATAGAATGGACTGCCAGGTAATGTACTGAGGTCCTGTGTTCGAGTCTTTTATCTCTAAATTTTCAGAAACGTAAGAAACCTGAAATTAGAAGTTTAAAACTAAGAAAATGATACAAATGGGATTTGAACCCTGGTCTCAAAGGAATGTAAAAGACTAAGCAGACCAACCATGCCAAGAGAAACTTGTGTTATTATTGTAGACTTGTAGTTTCAGGAAATATATGGTTGCACCCAACAAAATAATATTGTGGCAACTTTCACGACCCCTAAATTTTTTACACTATGGAGGAATGAAGCGGTGGCACATGCCACCATATGCACCATAGTGGGCCCGCCCCTGTTCTTACCTTTAATATGTTCCGAACCATACAAGCTAATCAAAATTTAAATTTAGGTTGGGTGGGATGGGGGATAGTGAATATCTTTGTGGAAGGGTGTCCCGAGCTATGCCCAGATTAATTCCGACCAATTGCGACTGTAAGACATGAGCCTTGATCAACTCAGTGGCCACAATTGTTGTGGACGCCTGGAATTGAACCCCAGGGAAATTGGGATATTCCACCACATCCCTTTGAGCCTCAACCACTACACCACAACCCTTGTGGTTGATGGTGAATATCTTCCTGCTCAATTTGATGACATTTTTATTTCAGCATGATCCATACTGTTACAAGACAAGGACACTTTGACACCATTTGTTGTAGAAATTCCAATGTTTAATCGAGGCTAAACTAGCATAAGTTGGTGTCCCAAGAATCTCTAGTTTGAAAATGTTCTTAGTTTAGAAGACAATGTTCTCACAACATACAAAACGATAATAAGCATCCAGCACAAAGTAAAGAAACAAGGTTAGAAGACAACACCGAGATTTACGTGCTAACCCAAAATGGGAGAAACCATAGATGCAGGAGACCAACGAGAGAAATCCACTAGTAGAAGATGAAGTTTACAATGTTCTTGAGGGAGAGAAACTAAGGGTGTGTCTGGTTGGTTTCCCATCAAGTCATTTATGAATAAAATTGTCTGTGCGGATTAATCTAATTGTATAGATTGTGAAGATTTTTGTTTGGGAGGTTTTTTTTCATAGATGGAAGAAGCATGTTTTTTAATTGGGAGGGGTAGGTTTAGAAAAACTTGACTTTCTGCATAAACTCCCCTCTAGAAGGTTACTGAATAAGTATTAAGCCGCTACCAAACAGTCATGTATAGCCGACCGAATAAGCTGTGAGTCTCATTAAGTTCTTTAAGTTGCTAACAAACAAGCCTTATGGTGTGTGGGTGTGTGTGTGTGTATGGAGATAAGGGAATAAGATCGATGATAATACATGTATTTGTGGAAAAGAGGAGTTCTAGGGTGAGTAATATAAATCGGTGAAAGTTGTGTCAAATGCAAGTCTTCAAGCAAAGTTGTGAGAATTTGTGGCCCAATAAGCATGATTGCTCGGTTGGCAAAGGGGCGGAACGACTTTGCTCAAATACACTACAGATTCAAGTTTGAATCATGTGTGAGGCGGGCTTGATCCCTCCGCTAGCCTCAACCACGGAGTCAGCTCTGAAATGCCCCCTCACGTGGGGCAGGGTAATCAACTTTTTCCTCAAATAAGCATGGTTACTTAAGGGACAAAACCCCACAAAATCAGGAAAAGAAGATTTGCTGAAAAATAGCCTAGGAAAAGACGATGAACAGTGGTCATGGCCGTGAAGGGTTTCCTTCACACCCATGAAGTTGGGCATAAGGTTTTCACCTTCCGTGACCCTTTCTTCACGCCCATGAAGAAAGGGTCCCAGAAAGTGAACCTTCTCAATCAAGCTCCTGAAATGTGCAAAAGTCTTGTTCAAAATTTGAACTCACATTGGCTGTAATTGTGAAAGGAGAATGATGCTAAGGTGTCTTTATTTTCCGTAATGCTTGCAGATGGTTATGGCCATTTTCGCTTACATCTACCATCAGTCCTTCGTCATCCCGCAATATTATCCCGTTGAGATCCTCTTGGAACAGGTCTGCTATTTTCTCTTCTACAATTTACATGTTTTAGCTATTTGCATTTGGTATGTAGGACAGGATGAGACACTACAGAATAAAAACTTGCCCCATGTTTGGTGCGACATCGTACTAAAATATGACAAAATTGAGACAAATTTTTCACACCAAAATAGGTGGAATAAAAATAGGAAGATGGGACAAAGTTGGTAAATTAGAGCATATCCAATAGATTCTCCAAAAATGAGAAAATTGAGATTTTGGGCAAATTTTTTGCTCGAACAAGTTCTCAAAATCTTTTTTTAATGAACCTGGATATCCAACCTGCTATGCGAGCCGTTTAATCCCAGGCCGACCACCTGCTTTGCAGATAGCCCGGAGTCAACCTCCGTGGTCACAAGGGGATTTTTATTCCTACTTGGATTTGAACCTGGGACCTCCTGGTACTTTTGATCTTTGGAGCCAAGCTCAAACCAATCAGGCACCACTCTTGTGGTTAAGTAATTTTTTTTCAAAAGCCCAAAATGGCCTAGGCGTAAAGTAACCTGGAAAAGCCCAATGAGACCTATTTTCACACCCAAAACCCAGGTCCTTTAGTTTGCTTGCCGAAAACGGACCCGGAAGGCTCAGGTCTGGACCCAAAAAGACCCAAGCCGTATGCATCGCTATCGTCAATATAATCCAAGGGGCAGTTTGGTCCAAGTGAGAGATGAAAATGACACCCAAGTTCCAGAAATGAAAATTTGGGCTTCTGGAGAACGAGCCAATTAATATTATATAAACTAAACAATCTCTTTTATTTTCATTCTCATTAATTACTATTTAATACCACTAATCAAACACGCTCTAAATGATCTTTTGTTGTATAGATATTAGGAAGCCTTACGTTCGAGGAGCAAGAATTGCTACTCACGAAACTGAAGGAGGTAATAGACGGGAGACAGTTCCAGAACTGATTCGCCGTTGTTTCAATTTTCTTTTACACGAAGAGAAAGCGGTAAATGATATCGATGGCAGTATACATCCGTAGTCATTAGTATTCTCTCATTCTTTGATTCATTTTTAGTCTTATTAGATATTTGTTATTTTGTTTCCGATGTACCCTCTTGAAATTAGGACGAAAACATCTGTAATTCCCGGTAGATGTCAAACACGAATCATGTTTTTTTTTTACTCTCAAGCAGCTGCATTAGCCGAAGCATCGTTCAGGAGGGATTGTATGAGAATACGAGTTTATGGTGAGAATGATGAGAACCCTTCTGAGCTTTTGGATGAGTTTACTTTTTAATCTAACTTAATTTTTTTTCAACTGATTTCAATACTTTCAGCTACATTTATCTACCTTCAATTACATTTATCCACTTATTTTTTAAATCTATCCTCATTTTTAAGTCAATTTCACGAACTTTTACTACATTTAATTGTTTTCACGCGTATGAATTTTTTAAACTTTCGATCATGATGACAAAAGAACAGGTAAAAAAGATGGTTGGATGCAGATGAAGGTATATGAAAGTTTGTTTTCACATTCTTATTATAACTTTTTATTCTCACCCGAACTCAATTATGCTTTTAGGCTTGATTTGGGGTTTTGGGTTTGGGGTTTTGTCCATCTCCACTCCATGCATGATATGATCTTAGAGATACTTGAACGAATGACGACGAAATAGATATGCAACTGAATTTTGAGACTCGGTCACGTTTTGAAACAAATACTGAAATACAAGATATAATTGATCAAACTTCTATATCTAACTTGTATGTCATCGCTTTTATATACCATCTGTATCTGTCCCATTCTCATTATGAAAAAAGAAAAAACTTGCTAGAAGAAAAGCACGACGCTGTCTTTAAGTCGGCATTCATGTTTGACCATCTGCGTCGTTGGCATACGACACCGTTGATATTCCTTTGGGTTATAAACTTAAATCATGTTTGGTTTGCAGGACTCGTAAAATATGAATGAATTGAAATAATAAATTCTATTGAACAAACTTCATTCGGCTTTTTGATTTACACATAAAATGGAATCAAATTCCATAGATTTCATCATTCACGGATTTCATACAGGTGAATTTCATACATACGTATACGAATTGAATTTGATTCCTACCAAATTATAATTCACATGTGATACGAATTGAATTTGATTCCTACCAAATTATWWTTYWCAAAAAACAAAGAACTAGCCAAAAAAAACCTTAGGGGTTGTTGTTTACCTCTTAATAGTTTCATTTAGAGGCATTTTTTGAATCGTTAAGCTGTGAATCTTGTTTGTCAAATAAAAAAGATCTGCTTTTTACTTGTTCTAAAATCCTCTGAATGATTTTGTATTCTAAACCCCTAAACCATTAAACATCCTAATTTCATTGTAAACAATTACCAAACAATTAAATTTCATTTTGCATTATATCATAAACGTCTTTTAACCATTCTCACCACTTAATCATTCTGCATCAAACCATTCAATAACTGTCAAACAACCCCTTAGCCTTACTATATACATACACGACCAACGCCACCCCCACCATAGCCGCCATCGCTCTCATCACTATCGCCAATTAATATTTATCATAACATAGTATTTATAATTTAAGCAAAAAATTATAAAACTAGTCATAAAAAGGTATTTTTGTCCAACTTGTTAAGAGATTCCAATTCAATTTCCAATTTCCAATGTCAATTTCATTTCACTTTAATTCGATTCCAATTCTACCGGATTCCATAAATTTACCTTTTTAACCTTTGGTTGATGTTAAGCTCAGTTTTCATCTATGATTTCTGAACCTACAACTAGCCGCATAAATGAGCTTGAGTAACAGGTTATTTGAACTCGGCTTGAGTAATTAGTATCAAGCTCAAGCTCGATTAACTTTTCCAAAATTGGGTTCGAGCTTGAATTATTTTTCAACGTTAATCTCGAGCTCAATGCTCATTTATGAGCTTGAACTTGAGATCGGTTATCTCGTTTATTTGCTCAAACTCGATGATTTTTATATTTTTATTATATAATTTGTAAACATATAAATTTTTTGGCTCGAAAAATGTACGCTCGAATGGCAAGACGCGACTTGTAAACTTTAATCGAACTTCCAACAAATTGAGTCAAAAACTGGTGTTATGGAGCTCGACTCGTTAAATTAAGTGAGCTATACTTTGTGTTTGAGATCGACTCGAGCTCGAGTAGGTCGTTAAAAGCTCGACACTTTTACACCCGACTAGTAGTAGCACGTATCTTGGCTGTGCCACAACATCCAAATCGCCCCTGTAACACTTTTAACTCGAGATTCTTTTTAACAAGTAAAGACCCATCAATACTACTGTGCTACAAGTAACAAAACAATTGATGATTCCATTGATCAAACCTGCAATCAAAACTTTTGGGTAAACCACCAAATCAAGTTTCGGATCCTTTGTCACCATCCACAGCTATCGTCACACCGACTTCAGCTGGCCGTAGAATTCGATCATGCAGCATGTATCCCGCCTGCAAAACCATCGCCAAAGAAACTTCTACTATTTGAAACGGCTTCAACTTTCAAATTATGTCAAGACTAGAGATGCACGAAAAACCCGAAGCCCAGTCAGGCCTAAAAGCCCGATCAGGCCAAGTTTTTTTTCAAAAAAGCTCGGGACTGAAAATGTCTGATCGGGCCTATTTTCACCCGAAGCCGGGGTCCTTTAGTTTGCTTACAGAGAACGCACTTGGAAAGCCTGGGTTCAGGCCCAAAAAAGCCCAAGTCTTGTGCACCTCTAGTGGATATGGCAGTGATATTTGAACCAGTTTGGATACTTGGGAGCTGTTTAGTTGGTTTTCCATTAAGTCATGTATGGATAAAGTTGTCAGTTTGGATTAACCTCTAGATTTGGAAGATTTTTTGTCTGGGTAAGGTTTTTCATAGATGATTTGAGTGTGCTTTTATATTGGGAGGTTCAAACGAGAACGCTAACTATTTAAGAAAACAAGAAAAAGATCGTTGATGTATAAAATCATATATGAATCAAGTACAAAATCATACATGATCCGGGCGACTTTGCCTACGACTTAAGTGGCCTCAAAAGTCGTCTGCTTCCATTTAATGTAAAATTATTCATCATTCATAATGAATATCCCTGAATAATCACATGAATATGGAAACATTTTCATAATGCATGATTTCATGTATTTTTTATCATAAATATCTATCACAACATTCATCATGAATAAAGCATGAATAATTTGTTCCTAGTTTCTCAAACTATTTACTTTTCTCATTTGAACTTACCCCTATTTCTATTTTGATATTGATAAATACTCCCTCCATCCCAAAATAAATGTCCATTTTCAAAAGTAAATATCTACTTTCCTATTATATTCTTAATTATGAGATGGTGAAAATATCTCTATATTATCAAGGGTAAAATTGTCCCTTAGTTAATTAAAAAATGTAACAATTACAAAGTGGATATAAAGATGTAAAATACTCCACTCCGTCCCAATTAAGTATCTACATTTCTATTTATGTTTTCCCATAACAAGTGTCCAGTTTCAGAAATAGATAACTAAATTCTCATATCCACCCTTAATCAATGCCCAAATATTTAAGAATTGTGACCAGAGATAAATTTTGAAGGGTAAAGTTGTCATTTGGTTAACTAAAAAATGTCATAATTATGTATGTCTAAAACTGTCATTTCTATTGTGGACACTTGTTATGAGACGAAGACAGTACCTTATAACATTTACACCTTGTGATTTCGAATTGCATTTTTTGTTTAAATGAGTGAGAGTGAAAAGCAGATATAAAGATGTATTATAACACGTTAGTCCGTTCGCATACCTTCAGCACAACCGCAACGGTATCAGGAGACTTGGTTGGATCTGGTACTTGAAATACAGCGTTATGCCGGTCGGGATCGAATTCTTCATTTGTGGGGTCATATTTTTCCACCCCAAACTTCTTGAAAACCTGAAAGCACCAATTTCATTAGCCCAGGTGCATTTTGTCACCTTGACTCAAAGATCACCTGCAACTTTCGTCCCTTCGTAATTTCTTTGCCTTTTCTGTCCCTCAATCATGTCTTCCTTACCAATTTTGTCCTCTGTCTAAAACCGTTATTTAGGGTCCGTTTACCAAATGATAACCAGGTAAGCATGGCAAGGACCGAGAATCTTACCTGGTAAAAGGCATGATAAGGACTAGAGATGCACAAATAGGCCCTAGCCAGATCCGTATTAACCCAGGCCTAGGAACCCGAAGCCTAGTCCGAGTTGGGCCTTAAAGCCCAATGCCAAAATTACTTTGGACTTTGGAGGCAGGCCCAGCTCGAAAAAAACCCGGCATGGAAAAGTACGGTTAAGCCCAAAAAAGCCGTAAAAAGCCTGATCGGGCCCTTTTTCAACCCAAAAGCCGATCAAAATCCCGGACTTGCGCCTCTCTAGTAAGGACCAATAAGTGAGGGTGATGACTCTTACTCGGTTAGCGCTTACCGGGTAAGATTATTGCTTCCTATGCCATTTTGATGGCCAAGAATCTTACCCTATAGGATAACTAAGATCAATGACTCATCCCGATAAGCATTTGGTATACGGCCCCTTAATGTATGTTAAACTGAGATCAAAATTGATAAATGACATAACATTTATTTTCTCATTATTTTTGAACTCACATATTTCACATTATTGTTCATTTCTAATTGGCATAAAATTTCGTTATTTTATTTATTATTTTTGAACTTGGATATTTGACATAATTCAATGTAAAACAAAGGGTCATTGGTCCGGTGACCGGGTTACCAGAATGGCCCACCTCTCAGAAGAAGGGTTCAAACCTTACCAAAGAAGAGAAGTGTGTGTGAGTATTTGCCGCACATAAATATTATTTACTTCAAAGAAAATTGATAGTCAAGGCAACGAACGCAAAACAAAAAATGTTTCACCTCTGCTAGTTGTTTTTCAGTCATCTCGACACCTTCCAGCAGGGTTTTTAAAAGCGGGACAGCTCCAGCACTGTCTTGGGAAGTATCGATCTTAGCAAAACTCTCTTTTACAACTGAAGAAGCTCTACTAAGATTATCGGCAACGTCCAGTAAGCTCTTTGCAAAATTCTGCAGGTTTTGAATGTGTCAGAAAGTAATATGATAGTATGAAATAGGAGTGTAAACAATTCGAGCTTTTAACGAGCTACTTGTGCTCGAGTTGATCTCGAACACAAAATAGAACTTGTTTAACTTAACAAACCAAGCTTCATCATGCTCATATGTTCATAAATCATACAATAAAAATATAAAATTATCAAGCTCAAGCCAATAAACGAGTTAATAGATCGCGAGTTCGAGCCCTTAAACGAGCAATGAGCTCCAGCTCGATAATTCAAAAAATATTCGAGCTCGAGCCCTACTTTGAAATAGTTATTCGAGCTCAAGCCTAGTATATTTTTGAGCCAAGCTCGAATAACCTACTACTCTACTCGACTTGGCTTGGCTCATTTACACCCCTACAAAGTTGTCAAAGATTCAAGGCGTACTTGGGCACACTTAGGCGCAAAGGGGTCCCGCGGCCTAGGCGCAGGTTTGAGGTGCATCTTATAAAAAGTGTATATATATATATACACACACACACACACAGTTATACACAACTAAAATATGTAACGAGTACTCCAGTGTAGCAACCAACAGTACTTCGATAGAGGCAGAAGGGTCGGGTTTAAAGAGGGAGCCATGAGGGAGAAGTTTTAAGGTCTAGGTATTTACAGAGAAATAGGCTTGAAGTTATAAGAACTGGTATTTGATATTAGGGCTTGACAGTTGACACTTTGACTTATATCATCTATTTAATAACTCATTTTTTAAGAAATCTAGAAGATATGAAGATGAGAAAACTTATTTAATATTGGGGTTTGATTTGGTATTTAATAAATCTTTATGAGGCACGCCTAGGCCTACAAGGCGCCTCAACCAAGGCACAGGGCCTTAGTGAGCCTCGTAAATACGCCTAGCCTCGACTTCAAAAAAGCCCAAAACCTTGAGCCTTACGAGCCTCAGAGGCACGCTTTAACCACTATGCACCCCTAGTAGGAAATACAATCAAAGCACTTTAAGTGGCTAACAGGCAACCTGTATTGCAAATTTCTTCGAGTTATCTGCTTCTCTTTTTGTCCTCTCCATTACATTTTCCATTTCAGCATATGTTCGAAGAACTTTGTCTTTCATTTTCTCAATCTCTTTGTGCTTTGTTTTAAGTAGTCCCTCTTTCTCAGCCACAAGTTTGATCAGATCATCCACCGAAAGAACCGGCAGGTCTTCCTCATCTGAACCTGACTCTGAAAAATCAAATTCAATTAGGGGGCATTTGGTTTGACAAAATGTTTTTGAGGGATTTGGATTTCGTGGAAGAATTTGGAATCTTTGGTGTGTTTGATTTGTAGGAATTTGGAATCTAATGGAACTGAATTCCATTCTTCATAAATAATTTACAAAAACAAACACATGAAAATAATTAAATTACCTTTTTATTAGTTGATTATTACAAAACAAGTGTTTTTAATAGATTTTTTAGACATTAGTACATATATATCCTACGAAATCCAGTGAAATACCAACCACCCCGTGAGATTTCACAATCCTATGCTTTTGGGATTTCAATTCCAGACTTTCCTTTAAACCAAACATGGGATTGAAATGGAATTCAATTCCAAATCCCGCCCTATAGGATTTGGAATCGAAAGAATTTTGGAATCTTTGGTGTGTGCTTGGTTTGTAGGATCTGGAATGGATTGGAAGTGAATTCCATTCTTTATAAATAATTTATAAAAAATTAGAAAAATAAATAAATTACCCTTTTATTAATTGATTATTACAAAACAAGTGTTTTTAACATATTCTAAAAAGTTGCTACAAACAAATCTGACGAAATACTAACCACGCCCGTAGGATCTCTAAATCCCATGTTTGTGGGATTTCAGGATTTCAAATCCAAGCATTCCTTCAAACCAAACATAAGATCGGAATGGAATTCAATTCCAAATCCTATCAAATCCCACAAACCAAACGGACCCTTAGTAATCCTCCTGGTAAAGAGAAAAGTCATAATTAACCCGAATTTCCTAAAACAAACCTTCTTCTTCTTTCTTATCAGAGGCATCTGTTTCATCCAGATTTCCAGCGTCGGATCTTTCTTTTGCATCATTTGGAATATCTGTAGAATCTCCTCCGTTTCGGGAAGTTCCATTTTCGTTGGGCTGTTGAGATGCAGACGATGATATTCCAGATTTTTGAACGGTGTATAAATTAATAATGGGATTACGTAATTCCATTTGCTCTGATACCCCCTGTGCAACAGAAAACAAGTCTAAGATGCCTACACACCACCAAACAAAAAGAAAGAGAGGCATCCGGGTTAGCGGTAAGATCCCATCCTTCCCAAAGGTCAAGGGTTTTACAGGCGGTCGACCGATTGTATATGAAAATTCCACGTTTCTTTTTGTGCATATCATCATGTAGATTTTATCAATTGTTTTAGGTTTTAAATCGCCTTAGATTTAGCTACGGTTTTACAAATAGTAGATTGTATATGACGATTTCATGTTTCTTTTTATCCATTTTTAGGTTTTATCAGGGTTTTAGCAAGTAACTGAGTGTATCTATGACAATGTGTGTATTCTTAGTATATATTATAAAAGTGAGCGGTGCGTGCGAGTATTTGTCGTATGTTATATACTTTAAAAGAATCCAGTTCAAGGGGGCCTGAAAAATACACCATTGGAACTGGCAAACAATGTTCAAGTCGTTATAATTTGAATCCAGAAACATGAAGAGGCTTACGAACCATCCACCATCACCAAAAACACACAACAGTTTTAGCTACAACTACAATCAACATTTATGAAACCAAACGCATTCCCCGCTCCCTTTAAATTTTTTAGGCATCTAAGGTATAGTTGAAAGGAGCTTAGCCATCTAAAACATACCAATATGTTGCAACTTACAAGAAAAAGATAAATGATCTTCTCTAGATTAACTGTAATCTAGATGCAGGGTATAAACTAAGAATTAGAGCCTGTCTGTTAGCAGCTTAATGAGCTTAATGAGCTTAATGGGACTCACATCTTATTCAGTCAGCTATACATGACTGTTTGATAGTGGCTTAATGATATAGAAAGTGGCTTATTCAGTAAGCTTCTAGAGGGGAGCTTTATGCAGAAAGCCAAGTTTTTTCCAAACATGCTCATTCCATCTATGGAAAATCCCTCCCAAACAAAAACCTTCCCAATATACAGACAGCTTTATCTATACAGGACTTGATGGAAACCCAACCAAACAGCCCCTTAGTGTTACAATATCGCAATTATGCATGTATTTTATATTGTAGAGAGTTGCAAACTAAACAAATGATTATGCTTTCAAAGAGGTCTTATATTTGCTGTTCACTTACAGCATAATGAGCTTAACCGTCTGGTCGGTTTATTCACTTAACCACCTCACTAGCCAGGACCCCTCACTTGTCCCCATTAAGCCACCTCAAACAAAGTAATACCAGAAATGCCACATCAATAATCCAACCCTCTCTCTTTGCCTCCCTCAAACCTATCAGTCTCCCGTCCCTCAGACCGACAAATTTATCTAGACAGACAACTTAACCCATACAGGACTTAATGGACAACGAGTAAACAACCACTTGGTTATTTATCCATCCTACCCTCCCTCTTCTTTCAATTTAGGTCAATAAGTATAATCCTCTGCAAATGCAAATATTTTGGTTAACAACTTGAGATAGCTTCCTTGGCAAATTAAGTCGTTTAACCAATCCCAGATTCAGTTAACAAATTCAAAACCTTTTTATTGTACTCCATGGCAAAATGCTAAATTCCAGAAAGTTACTTTGGATTTGCAATTTTGCAGCTCCCTTAGCAAAGAAGGTGTGGCAAGACACAACACATGTAAGGATTCCATCAATATATTTTTGGCATTTTACTTTTATATCATGTAGTGCATATGGAATGCATACTAAGATTCTTACGAGCTCCACTCGTCAAGTTAAATGAGTTTTAGTGTGTCCTCAATATCGACTCGAGCTTGATAATTATTAAGCTTGAGCTCGAGTAGCTCGTTAAAAGCTCGAGCTCATTAACACCCCTAACTAAGGATACACACATACGGTGTTACATATACAGTCAGTTACTTGCTAAAACCCTGATAAAACCTACAAAATGCAAAAAAAAGAAAAAAAAACATGAAATCGTCAGATACAATAACTATCTGTAAAACCCTAGTTAAACCCAACGCAATTTACAATTTAAAAAAACTGATAAAACCTACACGATGATATGCACACAAAAAAAAAACATGAAATCTTCATATACAATCGGTCAACAACCTGTAAAACCCTAGTTAAACCCTAGGCGATTTTAAAACCTAGAAGTGAACAGTGAATAACAAATGGTATGAACTCTAAACCACGGTCGAGTCATTGGTAATTACCTTGTCCTGAGAACCATGAATAGAGTGAAAACAATTCCGAATGATTGGAATGAAGTTCCGATCATCACATCGACCACGGAAGATTAATGAACCTTGGCACCTACTCACAACGGTCCTTGAAATCCGGGAGATCATACCGCCGGCGACCATTTCTCAGGCGAAAAATAAATTTGATCGGAAAGTGATGTGGTGCAATAGAGGAAGAGATTTAGGGCTTCGCTTCGGAACGATAGACGAAAGAACAAAGAGCGCGGAAAAGTGGCTTCGAGAATAGGCGTCTCTCCTAAACAATGGCGAAATTAACTGGTCAAAATAATCAATAGGTTTTCATGATAAAAAGTGTAAAATAAAATATAATTGTTTGGTATTGTTTACGATAAAATTAGAATGTTTAATGATTAAAGGAGCTCAAAATACAAAATCATTCAAAGGGTTTTAGAACTATTAAGAGACAGACTTTTTATGCTAAACAAGATTTACCTCTTAATGATTCAAATGTTGCTTCTTAATAAACTATTAAGAAGTAAACAAACAACTCTTAATATCAATTCCCTTTTAAAGCATGGTTTATGAGGGGATATGAGATTAAGGGGGTGTTTGGAATTGCTTAAAAAATAACTTGTTGACTTATTCCAGTGAGATACCGGTAATAAACACTTTTAAGTTTTGCATAAACAACTTATACCGGTGTCAAATCAGTAATAAGAAGTTTTTGAAAAAGTTAAACCCTTATGACTTACAATAAATTGATAAGTGTTTTTATAGAAAAACATAAATTGTTTCAAATAAGCAATCCCAAACACCTCATAAAGTAATCAATGGTTCAGATCTATTCTTACACTCCTCATCATAATTTTCCTTCTCACACGATCTTTCGTTTATTTATCTATTAGTTTTTTGTATTGAATCAATTAAATTAAACAAACACAGTATTCTTTATATATGTCTTCTTTTTTAAGAACATACAAAATGGATTCTCCCAAAAAAAAATCTAAAATTAAAAATTAAAACTTGAAATCTTTAAAAAAAATACATTTATATATTTCGATATTGAAAATCATAATTGTAAATCACGATTGAATCTATGAAAATATTGGTTTATACATTCATCTTAGTCTCGAGACGTCCAAGCTTATGGAATTGTTGATCTTGTAGTTGTTGAATGACAATAGTCTGAGAGGGAAGTGGGGTAAATAGCCGATACTACCGGAATAATTCCTCCTTTTTTGAAGCATATAATATATTTTATACATAACAAATGCAACAAATAAACTCACACACCCTCCTCACCATTGGTGAAGTTTGAACCATTGACCTCCTAGAAGGCAATAGGCTCAAAAACCGATAAGCCAAAGGCCCTTTGGTGGAAGAATTCCTCTTGGATAATAGGTATATCTTAAAGATTTTGTCCTTTTTTGTCTTGTTTTTGTTTCAACGGGAATTTGATGAGTCGATCCACCTATACGTCTTGCTTTTACTGTTATACATGAAAAATGGTCCTGACATATGGGTGTCCGATCCTTATGGGCTAACAGGGAAATTAAACAGTGTATTGATAAAAAAAATCCAAAATCAAAAGAGTGATTGGGTTGAAAAGAAAAATAAAGGAGATAATCTAAAAATTGCAGTAGAAAAGAAAATGGGAATTGTTTCAAGCACCAACAGAACCGCCTCCCAAAAGGTAACGGAGGCATGCAAAGGTTTCCTCAAGCTGGATGGATACTGGCCCTTGAGTGCAAAATCAACTCCAGCAGCTTCTGTTTAAAAATTACATTGATTATATTTGGGCAAGTAGTTGATTACCGACAACCTCAACTGGTCTCACATGAAACTCATCTCCAATAACACCAATGTGATGGAACATTTTTTGGCTGGTTCATCGGCTGAGGTCAGCTTCGAGCTCGGGATTTAATCCATGACCCGTCTTGTATTTTGGCAAAATCATTCCGTCCATTTACCAATTGACATGTCTCTTTCTTTTACTTCAAAAACATGAAATATGAACGGAAAAAACAAACAACCCTCTATGTACCATAGTATTTTGACGAGCTACTCGAGGTCGAGTCGATCTCAAACACAAGATATAACTCATCTAATTTATACAGTTGAGTTTCATAACACTGATGTTCGAATCGACTCAGCCGAAAACTCGATTGAATTTTTCAAGTTGAACCAAGAATCATAACACTAACGTTCAACTCAGCTCGTTCGAAAATCTCGATAAAAAAATTTCAAGCCGAGCAAGGTTATTCGAGCATACACTTTTACAAGTAAAACCTGCTAATATAATCATCAATCATACACACAAAAATATATAAGTTATCGAGCTTAATCTGATAAATGAATGAATCGATCACGAGTTCGAACCCATAAACGAGCATCAAACTCGAGTTCAATAACTCAAAAAATCAGCCGAGCTCAAGCTAGAGCCCTACTATGAAAAGATTAATCAAGAGTCTGGTATTATTTTTTTCAAGCCCAACTCGGTTAACCTACTACTTGATTCGGCTACTTAGGGGTTGTTTGACAAATGCAGAATGGTTTGGTGCAAAATGATCAAGTGGTCAGAATGATTAAGAGAATCTTATGATATAGTGCAAAATGAAATATAATTGTTTGGTAATTGTGTACAATGAAATTAGGGCTCTTAATGGTTAAGAGAGATTCATGATACAAAATCATTCAGATGATTTTAGAACTATTAAAAGACATACATTTTTTTTGCCAAACAAAATCCACCTCTTACCAATTCAGATGTTAATTATTAATGAAACTATTAATAAATAAACAAACAACCTCTTATTAAGGGGGTGTTTGGATAAGCTTATTTAAGTGACTTATTGACTTATTTCAGTTTGGTACCGGAGATAAGTTAAAACGGAGTGTTTGGGTAAAAAAAAAAAAGTGCTTATACCGGTACCAAACCGGTAATAAGTTGTTTTTGATAAGTTAATCCATA